CAAATGAACGAAAACTAAAGAAATTTAAAAAAGCATTAAATATTTTTATTTTCTTAATTGTAAAATGTAGTTTTTATTAATTTTATTATATTTGTAACTCCAAGCACTGCATAGTTTATGCCATTTAAAAGATAAGTTATATGTATTTGATAAGGTATGACCATAGTATAAATATGAATGTTTGAATTTAGAGTTTTTACTATTAAAGTATATTGTTTCCATTGCTTAATTTTTGTATATATTTGTAATAGCAGGAAAATTCATGATAAATGGGATTAAAAAAAAGCTTCACTGTATGCTATTTCGTGAAGAGAGTCTTTAATGCATATGGTTATGCTACTGTGTATATTTAAAGATTTTCTATGCAGTTTATGCGAAAAACTTTACTGATTTTAGAAAATGTATTTTTTGAATGAAATTATCACGATTATTTCAAAGAATAGAATATGTTAAGGTATGATAGAAAGAGGAGATGTTAAAAAACCACTATAAATAACAAAAACTATGAATGTTTGATTATATGATTTTTGTTATTCTATTTAAGCATAATTTTAGCTTTGTTGCTTAATTTGATATATGTGATAATAAGGAAGCAATAAATTAAAAAAAATATTTTGACATGTTGTTTAATGAAGAGCAGATTTTAATGCACATAGAAAGTTATTGTGTATATTATTGAAAGCTCTTCCATGTAATATGCAAAGAAAGGTTAATGATTTTAAAAAGCATATAAATGATAATCGTAATTCCCATTATCCTAAAGTTTTGAAGCTAAAAATATGTATATGCACCATATGATTGAAATATCATATAGTGCATATACATATATATATGCACCATATGATGAAAGATATGGTGTTAAGAAACATCAGCATTACTACTAAATATTGTAATCCATAATTATTGCATTTTTAATAATATAATATTTAAAAAACATTACATTTTACATTAATTGCAAATTGCAGCTCTGTTATTTTTCTCTTGGAATTTGTAATATATCTCGTAGTATAAATACAAATGTTGCAAGTTATGTTTTTTAATTATTTCATTTGAATACATTCCATTTTCATTGTTATTTTTTGTACATGCTTGTGATAGCAATAAAATTCATGATAAATGGGAAAAACATTTTGTTGTGTGCTATTTAATGAAGAGCACATTTAAATGTGCAGTTCTTACTATTGTATATATTATTCAAATCATTTCTGCACAGTATCCAGTATTGGAAATAGCAGTTCTGTTACTTTTTTCTGGTAACTCTCAAACACTGCATAGTTTATGTGTTTTTTTTTAAATATTGCCAGTTGTGTATGTTGTTTGTTATGTTATTTCAAATATGAATGTTGGAAGGCCTTTTTTGTTATAAAATTTAGGTATGTTTCTTGTATGAAATATTTTTAATCACATTTATTAGCTAATTTATATAGTATTTCATTTACAAACGTTTTGGAGATATTTATATATTTTGCTCTGAAACGCAAATAAATTAATACTTGAGCCTAGGTAAAATATTAATTATTATCTTAAGAACACCTTCTCAATTTATCATGATAGTGGCAATTTTCATTCAGCGTTTAATTTTTTTTAAATTTTTTTTAAATGTTCGTTTGTTCTGCGGTTCTTTCAATTATATTTATGCGCAAAGTTAATTAAAATACCTGTAAAAAGCCTAAAAAGTTAAAATAATGCATATAAAGCATCCTTTCTTTCAGCTATTTTAATTAACTAAACAACACAATAAAGTTATATTTCCGACGAAAATTTAAAATCCAGATGACTTTCCGACGATTACATCGGACGGAAACCTCCGCCATGTTTATAAAGTGTCATGGCCTTCTCCCTTTCGAAGGTCACAGCTCAGTTTGGTTTTAAACAGGGTACTTCAACAGAGCATGCTCTAACCACTCTGTTGGACACAATTAAAGAAAACCGAAATAACGATCAGCACACAGCAGTCGTGTCGGTCTACATCCAAGGAGCATTCAATTCACTCTGGTGGCCAGATGTCTAGACCGAATTCAGTGCCCGATTGAAATCCTCAGGATTCTTCGCAGCTATTTGCTGATCGGCAAATACAGATAACAATGCCAAATGGTCAATTTCAATGACGACTGCAGCATGGCTGTTCCCAGGGCTCATGCCTGGGCCCAGTCTTATGGAACCTGGTTGCCAACACGATATTTGATCTTTACAATGGTGATGAGACTGTCAAAGTCCAGGCATTTGCCGACGACTTTTTGCTTTTGGTCACTGGAAGACACAGGCTGCAGGAGAATGTACAGCAAGCACTGAACCTCTTTGCACAATGGGCAGCCGATCACAAATTGGAAATTTCAGCATCCAAAACTAACATATTACTCATAGGGCACAAAGGTCCACTGAGGTGGAATCCAACCATCAGATTATTAGGTCATTCAGTCAGGACTGTTTCCCAGTTGAAATATCTAGGTGTCATCATAGACAACTGCCTCAACTGGCTTCCATATTTGCATAATATACACCAAAAAGTAGTATCTCTCACAAATAACATGAGACGAACTACTGGCATGTATTGGGGCATTAGACAAGACATGTTGAAGATCTGGTATCGCACAATAACAGAGAGGGTGATTTTGTACGGGTCTTCAGCATGGATTATTCATCTCAATGGACACCTGAGGAGGAAACTCAATTCCATTCAGCATATACTAACCAGAACTGAAAGACTTTTATGAGAATGTGAAACACCTTTAGAAAATGTAATTTGCCAATGGAAGATGTTTCATGAAAATTTTTGCCCTAAAAAAACAAAAAAAAAAAAAACAAAAAAGACAAAAAAAAAAAAAAAAAAAAAAAAAAAAAAAAAAAAAAAAAAAAAAAAAAAAAAAAAAAAAAAAAAAAAAAAAAAAAAAAAAAAAAAAAAAAAAAAAAAAAAAAAAAAAAAAAAAAAAAAAAAAAAAAAAAAAAAAAAAAAAAAAAAAAAGAAAAAAAAAAAAAAAAAAAAAAAAAAAAAAAAAAAAAAAAAAAAAAAAAAAAAAAAAAAAAAAAAAAAAAAAAAAAAAAAAAAAAAAAAAAAAAAAAAAAAAAAAAAAAAAAAAAAAAAAAAAAAAAAAAAAAAAAAAAAAAAAAAAAAAAAAAAAAAAAAAAGGAAAATGATTTTCTGATCAACAATTTGGGACGCAAAGGATTTATGTGTTTCTTTTTTATTAACATATGCCTCAGGCTCCTTAGCCTGAAATTTTAAGGCTCTCTTTGTTTGACCAATGCAAATTAAATCATATTAGCAAGGAATCCTGTAGTAGAAGTTCCAGATCTCTAGAAGTTCATATCCAGAATAGAGTCCTTAAGTATGGAAATTCAAATAGAGAAAACCTAAAAGTTGAATTTTTGTAATGTACATGCAATTTTATAGCTAATCGATGGAGAAAAGAATTCTTAATCTCCTAAAACAAGTGGTCATTTTTATGCAAAAAAATATATCTAGCACATAAACAATGACGTTCTGATTTTATCAGCAATATCATAACAAAATCGGTACAACCGATTCCATTCTTATGAAGAAATTGATGCAGAAAATAAATGGAGACAAGGGATTTGCATATAAAATAATACAGCCTATAACCTCATTATAATACTATTTTTTAATGTTAAAAATATTAAAAAAGTTGCACTAAACATGCAAGTTTTGGTGTTTTCTTGCACTAGTTTTCTCCATTAAATGGCTCAAACTTTTTTTTTTTTTTTTTTTTGTGTGTGTGTGTGTTCAGTCATTCTTAATAGTTTACCACAATTACTACATAAAAACAGTTACTACATAAATTAAAGCAAACAAAGTTCACAAACTCTACAAAACAATAACACAAAATGCAAATCTCATTTTGAATAATATTTAGTTACTATTATTTTCTCTAAGATACAAATGATTATATCTCAGAAATAAGATGTTGTTTTTTACACTTAATATCTGATCATCCTAGCCAGTTAACACAATATTTACATAAATAATAAAAAACATAGTCAATTCTAGTTATGTAGTATGGGATCTACTACTTATATTTATTTTGCTTATTTTTTAGCTGGCCATACTAAATTTTTTTAAATAATTTCCTTTTCCTATCATTTTATTAAACATTCTGATTTTAAAAATAATGTGTTAGTGACAACATCCAAGAAATAAATAAAACGGTAGATCGCATATTATATGATTGCCTTAACCCTTTGGAAAAAAAAGGGAGTGCCCTTCACAACCTATATACTGTAAAATATTTCTCAGAAAATGGTATGATATGGTACATCATACCATTTTCTGAAAAATATTGTATTCAAAATAAAAATGCATTAAAATAAAACTTTGGTCAGGATTTTTTAGCTTTTTCTCCCAGGAACACATTTTTTTCTGCAAGTAAAATTTAGCATTCTCTCCAATACTATGAATACTGCCCAAAAGCCATGATTGATGTCATTAAATTCAAATACATTTTCTTATCCATATCCAGTAGCTTGCTTATACATTACTAATCACTTTGCATGCTCATCTTCATTTGCTTTCTTACAGGATACTGAAAAATCACCTCATTCAGAATATCTTAATTTGATAAAATCCTTCCCTTCTTTGTTCTTTCTAATCTTCCAGTAGTCCCTCTTAAATGCTTCCTTATATTTTTAAAATGCTGAATGTAAGAAATAATTTTAACAATGCTTATATTACTCTACCTTCATTTACAAAGCTTTTCCTGTTTAATGATATCAGATAATTTTTTCAGACATCAAACCTTTAGTTTCCTTTTAAGTCTCAGTAATGAGATTTATCAGATAAAAAAATCAAAAGATCTTTATAAAACCCTTACATTTCGAACATCTCACGACATTCTATACTTTTTTAGGCTATGATTAGATAGTCGTGATTTCAATGTATTTTAAAATATGCAATTCATAGCTTTTAAGAATTGTAACAGCTATTTAAACTAGGTAGCTAATACAATAACAATAATTAATTACCAAATATTACAAAATATACTCACTGAGAATAATTAGGGTATTTTATCTGAAGTTTAGATAAGAGTTTTTCATAACTATTTTTACTTTCTGACACAGCTGGTTTTTTCTGAAAATAAAAAACATTAAGATTATATATATATATATAATGTTGTATGATCTTAAATTCATTTAGTGCGAAAACAAGTTACTACTACTTGCGTAATTGCTGCAAAGTTAGTTAATAATAATTTATTTCCTAAACAATATTGATTAATTGATTATATTATCTCCTAAGTTTAATTAAAGTAGAATTATTTTAAAAGAGTGAATCCATACTGGTAAGTTATATTTTGAAAGATGTATTGAAGTAATTTGAAAGTAAAATGTTAATAGTGTTTTAACGGGGACTGGAATTAAATCATCATAAAGAACAAAATTTCAATTCCGATCAATGACAATGATTACATGTTTTTAATTTAATTTTTCCTTTTACAATTGAAATTTTGTTCTTCATGATGATTTAATTCCAGTCCCCATTAAAACACTATTAACATTTTACTTTCAAGTTACTTCAATAAATCTTTCAAAATAAAACTTACCAGTATGGATTCACTCTTTTAAAATAATTCTACTTTAATTAAACTTAGGAGATAATATAATCAATTAATCAATATTGTTTAGGAAATAAATTATATATATATAAAAAAAAATCCGAATAAAACTTCTGCTATTACACTTGCAAAAGAAATTTAATTTCACATTATATATATATTATCAAATTACACTCTTTTGGGGGGGAAAAAAAAATCGAAGCACCATGAAGGAAGTGGTTGTTTTTGATGAAACTGAATATGTGTATAGCTCATACACTGTGATTACAAAATCAAGGTCATAGTACCTGTTCACGGAATATGTGTATAGCTCATACATACACTGTGATTACAAAATCAAGGTCATAGAACCTGTTCACGACTCACAATAGCCCATTGACTGTTCAAATTAGTAGTTGGTCCAACCATCCCTGGTGGCAATGCATGCTTGAATTCGTTGCGGCAAGGAGTAGTTGAGGTTTCTAATGTCATCCTGAGTCACATTCTGCCAGGCATTCATCAGTTGTCACTCCAGATCTGCGATATTTTTTGGTGCCTGAATCTGGCGGTCTACCATGTCTCAGACACGCTCGACTGGTGAAAGGTCTGGTGACCTCGCTGCCAAGAAAGAGTATCAACCACACAGAGACAGTCCAGAGATATATGAGCAGTATGCGGCCTGGCATTATCTTGTTGGAAAATGGCCCCAGGATGACATGCCATGAAGGGTAATGCAACAGGCCGCAGGATGGTATCAACATACCGTTGAGCTGTTAAAGATGTATGGAGGATGACTAAAGATGACCTGCTGTCATAAGAAATAGTGCTTCACACCAGGGGTTATTGGCTGTATGCCTTTGCAAAACAAAGGCTGATTAGGACTGCTGGCCCCCTCCTCTCCAGACAAACACGGTGGTCATATGCTTCAAGAGTGAAGCGGGATTCATCGCTGAACACTATACGATGCCAGTCTGATGGCAGCCATGATGATCAACTGCGACACCACTCCAGACGACTCTGCTGATGTTAAAGGGTCAAAGGCAAGGTCTCTGTGAGCGTAACCCCACCTCAGACAAGCACCCGCTGAATAGTTCACAATGATACCGTTGGGGCAGTTCGGGCCTGGCGAACAATCAGATAAATCTTGTCTTGCATTTGTGCTCCTAGGCCTTCCAGAGCCTTCATTTTGTTGGCAATTTCCTTGTAGCAACAATTGCTGCCAACATCTTTGCAAAGCAGTGTCTCTACACTGCAGGTGGCGGCCTATTGCTCGGTATGACCACCCAACTTCATGCAACCCTACAATGCGACCACGTTCGAAGTCGTTTAGTTGTCTGCAAGGTCTTCAATATCGTTGTAATGGCATCTTTAGTTGCTTCTTTATGGAATTACAAGGGCAGCAACAAAAAGAGATAAATTTTCCGCCTCTGTTACTGGTTTTATACTTTGCGAATTGTGCACTAGAAATGCACGCTATGATCGCAACTCCTGTTCATTTGCCTTGAAACTTTGATTATTTGCATGTTCGATCAAGATGTTTTTACATACTAAATTTCGTCACGATTGCAAAAGTCCTTCTTGGTGCTTTGATTTTTTTTCTCAAAAGAGTGTATATACACTATCAGGGTTCATTGCCACATTTTAGTTAAAAAAATAAGCACCTATAAGCACTTTTCAAGCACATTTTAAGAAAAAAAATAAGCACCTGTCTAATTACATTATACACAACTGCATAACCTTAAAAATTAAGACTCGTAATTTAAAATATGAGAAATGCAGTATTTATTAAGAGAGAATAAGCATTACCTCAACCATAGAAAATAATTACTTTTTTTTTTTTTTAAATTTTAAATAACAGTTAAATTTTCAGAACTAGTTTACAATGAGAGAAAAAAAAAAACTACGCAGAACTAAACTATATTACACGATTTAATGATGAAATTTCAGTTCAAAATAGAGGAAATAAATAATAATAAGGCATATTTATTCTATTCGCTTGGAACTTAATAATAAATACAATTTATTTTCCCCCACTCATATTGATATTTAACTAATTTAAATCTAAATTCTGAACATTTTTTTTCTAAATTTTCATCGTATATCAGTTTTCCTTTAACAGATATTGCAAGCAAAGTAATTTAAGTAAAAAAGAGGAACATTTCTGAAATCAGAAGACAGAAATCTGCTTCATGCTGTCATCCTTTAACAGTAAAAGCTTAACTACCCACCATACTTGAAAACTGGCGAATATTCGGACAGTCCAGCGTAACTTGAAAAAGAGGAGCGGAGGGAGGATAGACTGTAGCCATTCTTTAGATTTTTCCGCTAAATAAATGCTTTTGACAGTTCGATATGTGCATCATATAAAACCAAACCAACAGAACAGAAAAATATTCTGTTTTGCAAGCACAGTAAAACTCTTTTAAGTGTTCATAAACAAATCTCGGACCGAACATCAAAATTAATTATTTCTGCAAAATATCGCAAACGTTATTGCGTAATACGTGCGCCGTAATTCTTCCCTACATGATATTACGCAATCGGATTCAACATCTGCGGGTATTGGGAGAATAAAGAACTAAATAAAGGAAAAGAAAGAGACTTACCAATCTGGGGTGTTTTTCATTCTAATTTTCAACAGACTGAGTTAAATTTCCGGAACAGAATCATTCTTCGCTTCGGTTAATAGGCCGCAAAACTTTTAGTCCTATTCAATCCAGATTGGAAAGTGACCAAAAAAAAAAAAAAAAAAAAAAAAAAAAAAAAAAAAAAAAAAAAAAAAAAAAAAAAAAAAAAAAAAAAAAAAAAAAAAAAAAAAAAAAAAAAAAAAAAAAAAAAAAAAACAAAAAAAAAAAAAAAAAAAAAAAAAAAAAAAAGACCCGTTGCTTGTTTTGCAGCAAACTGTAAACAGTTTCAACAGTTTCATTCAATATTCGAGATTTTGCGGAGAAGGGGAGAACCTCCCAATCTTCGTACCGTTACCTATAATGTATTTATTGGCCAAAAAAAATTAAATTATTTTGACTATTCGATTACTTTCCCTTTATTTAAGCCATTCTGAATATTATTCCTTAGAAAGCTAATCTGTGTTAAAAACACAACCATTTTTGGAAGTTCTTCAGCAGTTACTGCAACTATGTTATTAATAAAAACATTTCATACACACTCATAATATAAAACATAACGATCATAATAAACACTGAATATGAACTGACCAAGCGGAACGAGAATGCAAAATTATTAAGATTTTTGATAGAAATTCAAACGTGTGTAGTATTTGGGTGGGAGGAAAAGAATGCCGAATGTACCGAAATTTTCTACTGCTTTGGCAATTCTTTGACCAACAGAACGACGGGCACCTGTCTGTACTCTCCGGTTATGTTAATGCAGAGAAAGGGGGAAAAGCTATTTCCGAGAGTATGGTTCACAATCTGACATTCCATATTAGGAAGAAAGATTGTTTAATTAGTTTCGGCTTTGGTACAAAAAAAATTGCACGTTCATTTAAAAAAAAAGCACTAAAAGCAAAAAATAAGCACTAAAAACAAAAAAATAAGGGCTTTAAAGAAAAAGTCAGCACCTATAAGGGCCTTTATATTTTATTTTCAAATATAAGGACTTACAAGCACTTATAAGGACCGCTACGAACCCTGACTATATATTCACATTACATATTTTGGAAAAATGGGAATTTAATATTCTGCTGTCAAAGTACAGGGTGTTTAGAAGAATCACTTGATTTGAAATTCATATATTATGAGAAATATTGAACATACAAACTTAACATTAATTTTATACTACATGGTTTTTTATAATTTTTTCTTAACAAACTAATTTAAAGATGCTCAACATGTCCACTTTAGGATGCATGGCATATGTATATGGTAGTCAACTTCGTCACAAACTTCTGTAAGCGTATCAACACCGACTGCAGTTGTTATGCGCATCCTAAGGTTAGCTAATGTAGCTGGAAGAGACACACACAGATGCAGTCTTTTATAAATCAATCAAAGAAGAAATTGCACATTGAGAAGGCCGGCAATCTCGGAGGCCAGTGATGTTTAAGTGAATTGCCAGATCTCGAACAGCTGATACATTATCGAGGAATGCGACTTTTAAAAATTCTTGAACATCCAAGCCCCAGAGTGGTGTTGTCTCACTCTGCTGGATTACAAAGTCATTCGAAAAGGTTTCTAACTATGTAAAAAGCAAGTTTTCAAGCATATCAAGATATGAGATTCCTGTAACAGCTGCCTCTAAGGGATTAAAAAAAAGGCGATCATACACATTTTCTGAGAAACAGCACAAAAAACTTTAAATTTTGATGAGTCACTTTCATGCTGCAAAATTTGCTGTAGCTGTTCTACACCTAACATTATAGCAGCTAACCTTGCCACTTAGATGAGACATAGCTTTGACATTAAACACAAAGCATGTTAAAAAATTGTCATCTTGTGAACACATTCTGAAGGATGAATTCATAGAACTCCACATATCATGCTTTGTCTCCCGTGTGAAGAGCTTGCAGCAACTGAATCCTGTATGGTTTAAAAAGCAAATACCACCACAAATCATAACAGACATATATTGCAGGAATGTCAAGTTCCCTACCGCCAGGGTGAGTGAATTTCTAAGGACTACATGTGAAATTCTGTTGGATGCACGCCATATTTTTATGCGACATATGGGGATGGCCAGGTAATTTCCTTTTACTCAGACAACCCCGTCTTAGAATTATTTATACCATTGCCTAATGCTCTAAGCCACAGGATGTTGAATACTAGAGGAATCATGTTTAACTATTGTTATGGACTTGCATTTCACAAAGCATAGAACACAATACAATTTCTGTTGCACAGTTGCTATCTAGAACAACACTGAAGAGGAGGGTGAAGGAAGAGCATTAGTGCTACCTGTCACCAATTGCATGAAATAGAAATTTCCCCTACCTATACACCATTCAATCAAAATAGACTAAAAGCTGAATAATCAGGATTTTTTTTAATTGACTGATTCTTTTGGAAACACCCTTGTAATCTAGTTATGGATAAAATTCACAATATGATGGAATTTCAGTAATCTGCAAACACCTATAATTCATGCTAAATTCAGGATGTAAACAAAATTTATTTTAATTTTCTGAAAATCCAGGATGCCAAATTTGATGGCAATTTTTATATATGAAAATAAATACTTTAAGGAAAAAAATGCAAGCTATTTATAATATATTTTGCCTGAAAAAGCAAAACAATTTTATTGTTGAAGCTGATTAGTATTTTTTACATCTGCATCAGCGCTCTTTTTATAATCATGTGGAATGTGAAATTCAAGACATATACTTTAGATAAACCTCTACTTTTGGTGCATATTACACTATCTTTTGATATTAATTCTGAATTCTGGTTAATTTTAAAATTATGCAGCATATAAAGAATTTATTTTCCCATAACTTTTCATGTTGTTATTGTCTTGTTCATGGAATAATGGTTGCCAGAGCCTACTCTGAAGAGTGGTTGGACTTCTATTTTCCACCCCCAATTTTGAGGAAGAGCATCCGGGGGATTCGTGGGTCTCCCACCAACCACATGAGAGAACTTTCGGCTCGCTGCATATTTAGAGTGCCACCAATGCCGCACCAACACTATACATTTACAAACATCCCTGTCTTACCCGGGTCCTTCGGTATCGTAGTAGGCTTCCCTAACCACTATACCATCTGGGCGACAACTTTTCATGTGTTGCATTCAATTGGTTTACTTGATCATGGCAAAGCACACTAGGGTTATCTGCTTAAGGGAACGGATGTCTTTCAGAAGGACTAAGGAAACTGGCTCATATACATACATGTGGGGAAAATCATTGATAATCATATATTTTGTATTCATAATAGAGATTGTTAAATGGCATAATTTTAAGCTCATTAGATTCAAAATTAATGGTGAATTATGTTCTTCACGGAAAATCACAACAATTTAGCAAGAGATGGTTTCATCATGAATAATATCAAATATTTCAAAGGAGGTGCTCAGCTTTAATTTTCGGAACGTTGTAGCAATTAAGCATGGCTTACTACAAGTAGTCTTGGATACATTTTTGGTTTTATGATAGTACAATAGTGTTACACATTCCACAGGAATTATATTTGCAGAAATTTTGAATCTTGACCTTTTTTTGTTTAACAGAACATTAAATATGATATGCATAACACACAAGAAAAAATGCTGACATATGGATAAAAAGTATTTCTGCTTATTACAATATAAAAATAAAGTATATATTATTTTTATATTGTAATAAGGAGGGAATATAAAAACTTAGTATCTTTTAGAAAAATATTAAGCTTGATAAATATCAACAAGTGTTTATGCACCAGTGCCTTCTGCAAGTTATTTTGAACCTTACAAGATGAAAAGTGAAATTTATTATTTTACTTAACAGCCCTGTCTTCAAGAAATTAACTTTTTAAAGGCATATTTCTAGCAATGTACTTTGATGACGAGTACTGTACACACACACACACATCGTTTTTTCATGTTCAGTACAACAGTTGTGAGATAATACAACTTAAGATATTATAAACCTTATATTGAGAAAGGTTTTGTGTTAAATAATTTTTTACAACTCTACAGAAATGTCTATATTTACAATAAACTAAATTGTGTTACCTGATAAGATTAGATGTACTACATGTATTTTTAACCTAATGATACATTCAACTTATAATGGTTTAAAACATGGCTAAATTCATGAGCACCTGTACAATGTAAATTCCATTTAATGCATCTCCATAATTTGCAAAAATTTTAGATCTTTGCAAAAAACAGTTTGAAATAATATGTGGTTTAGATTTCTAACAGAATGTTTTAATTCAAAAAGACTTGGAAACATATGATTAGCTAACATTAACTGTCAGAATTTAAACCTGTAATTTTTTCAACTGTTTTGTACATGATGTTAAAGTTGACATACAGTAATAATAATAATAGTAAAAAATCATACAAATTCACTGTATTGTTTACAAGTTTTAAGGATTTCTATGCTACTTCTAAGATGTACCAGAAACATACATATGATAAAATTGGTAGGTGAATAGGGAAGTTAAAAACACACGAGTAACCTGAAAGTATATTTCAAGATTAAGAAGTTATCGTTTGGTGGTATCTTAAATTTAACTTATTTTGGTAGCTTGGAGTTTCCTCTGTTTTTTTTTTTTTTTTTTTTTAATGACATTGTTTAATGAAGAGGGGCAACAATGAAGCATGAATGCTGATCGAATTTCAATTTTAATGCACACATTTCTGCAGAATGTGGTGTTAACTTTTTTAAACTAAGAACTGTAAATGTTACTGTTGCTTTAAAAATATTAAATATCAAGGAAATAAACTACATTTGTTTAAATCAATCACAGGTACTTTTGTAGGCAAAATATATACTTAGACATAAAAGGGGGAGAAAGAGGTTCTTAAGATCTGTGGAATTCTCCTTTACAAAGAACAACGAAGAAATGATAATATAATATATACTGCACCTGAATATCAGCTGTATTATAGACTGGAGTTGGTTTTTCAATTCCATTTTCAGCAACTTTATACTACCATGAAAGAAACCATGTCTTGGATTAGAATTTTAAAACATAAAAAACACAGTGACTTTTTAATCATTCAAAGCATAAAGTACATACTCCTAATTCTAAGTCTGGTGAGGTCATTCTGTTACTAGCACCTTTCACTTCAACTGCAATAAAAATCAGCAGAAAAAATTATGATAAAGGAGCCATTTATAATTACATATAATCAATTTCATAAGAGAAATAACATGTCAAGAAAAATGAAATTCTCTCATGATGGTAACTTTTGAAACTGATGATATTTTTAAGATGACTGCCTCTATAGAAAACTCAAAATATCAAGTATCACGGGGTGGTTATTGTTTTACAGAGGATTTAATACACATTCAATAAATTTTAAAATAGCTCTTCCTTTTATGGGGTAGGGGGTCAATACAATAATCAAGGGGATAAAGTATGAAGATCGAATCTTTGAAAAATGTCGTCAAAAAAGTTATAGAGTCAATTTATTGCACCTTATTATTAGGTAAAAATCCTGTGAAATATATTGCAATAAGTGACTAGATGTTTTAAAAATCTATTTAAAAAACGAATGAGCAGTCTTAGAAAGCTTTAGTTTACATCAAAAATCATCCCATTAATTCAAAATTTTATCAGACAATAATAATAATAAATTAAAAAAATAATAATTAAGATCCAAATTTCACTAACACGTGGCACTGCACAATTTTCTTCCTCTCCAAATGATATTTAACAAATGTAATCTTGCTAAAATACAGTACATTTACTTACAAAACTTTTTATTATATTCAGGGTTTGCACAAATTCCTGCACATAGAAATTACGTACTTTTAAGGAACATCATTGAAACAAATTAAGGACCTATCTCTAAACAGGAACTGAATAAACTAAAGAAATTATCTACAAACGAACTTCATCTCATATTTTAAGCATAAAATAAATCTGTAAGCAGAATTAAAGAGAAAAAAATAGAGAGAGAGTAAAATCAACTTAATTAGATTTTTCAAGTAATTAGCATTACAATTATAAAATTTCTTGAAGCATTTATATTTTTAACTTATTATAGTCCACATATATATATACAGGAGAATAAGTGACATTTTATCAGAATTTTACTTAGCTTTATATTAATTATTTTTTTTATGTCTCCTTTCGTCATGTATTCACTCAGTGCAGAGGTTTATACCTACTTTATGTCAAGCAGCATATAAATCATAATCGGCATGTTCGTAACAGAAGATTGGCTGATACCAATATGGCTGCTTGCTTAGTGACAAAGAGAAAGAGCTGTTGATCAGAACAAACAAATGCCTGACTGGTTGGCAAGTGCTGAAAGTTAGTTGCACTTTGTCTGTCTGATACTGCTAGCATCATAGCTTCACATAGACTTGTTGGAGTAATAACTCAGTTAATATATAGTGCTTAAGATTAAATTCCAATAAGCCACTGAAGCACCAGAGGTCATAAATTGTTGTTATTTTAAGTCTCATTAGCTAATTCACCATTGAGATGACATCCAAGCTAAGGTCTTATAAAGACCAAACAGATCTGAAATCATACCGATGGTATTTAATAAGTTGTAATACAAGAAAGGTTACAGGAGAAGTCTCATTAGCCGTAAAGAATAAAGTTTTGCATTAATTTTTACATTTTTGTTTTTGTGTCCATTGTAAGGATTAAGGAAATGGTATAACTTGCTATAATTTATTGTGATAAGACTATTAATTTTTTTTATTATTATTTCTAAAAAAAATATCCATTAAAAAGCCCTATTAAAATCATAATCTAAGGAAAATACATTACTGAAAATAAATATAAATGTTATTAGGTCAGGGCTGAAGCCAGATTTTTCAGAATTTAGTGAAGCACCGAGCAACAAAATTTAGGAATGGCAAAATTTTTTGAATTTAGAACACACACTGGGCAGCAGAATTTAGGACCCACAAAGATTGTACTCGGTAGCACAATGCTTAGCGTTTAGCCCTATGTATTATGCTGACACATATAAGATGTATCTCTTAAAATAACAGTTTCAGTTTCTTTATTGATAGAAAAATAACTTCATACTAGCGCATTTGGCAAGATAATAGCCATTTTTGCAATTTTTCATGCTTGTGTCAAATGAAAAGATGAGGAAATAAAGAGATGATAAACATATTAAAAGAAAGCCTTCTAGGATCAAAAGCACAAAATTCAAATAATTTTTAATTCCACTGTTTCTTCCAAAAATTCTCCAAAAAATAAGAACTTCATCACAAATTTCCTATAAAACATGTCAATTATGCATTAATACAATGATGACATTTTTTGTTTTGTCACATTTTCCTGGAATCATAGATCTATAAATTTTACCTTCAGATCCTCCTAAGATGAAGGTCTAAATTCTTAAGAAAAAAACTTTTGCTACCAACTATGAAATAGGAAAAAGACCAGGGGAGGGGGGATGTCTGAGAAAAGCAAAAAGTGAATTTTTCAGAGAAAACTGATACACATGAATATTCTGAAAGAATTACATGGGGGGGGGGAACTCTTAGCATGAAAAAATATAGAAGACAAAAGAAATAAATTTAAAAATAGCTTTTTTTTTTTTTTTTTAAAGTGTTTCGGAAACCGTGCTTTATAGCATTTATTATTTTGTTTATTTTTCAGAATAAATTTATTTCTAAGTAGCCAAAATGGAAAGTACCATCACTTTTGAATATTATAAGGTATTTTCTCCCTACTTTCCAAATGTATTCATAGCTTAATTGGAAGCATATTTGATGCGTTTACTAGAGGTCCAGGGTTTGAATCCCAGCAAGGGCACTACACAATTGAAAGGTAGAGGATGATAATTTGTCACCACGAGGATTTGCTGATTGGGTTCCCTAATGCCCAGTCACCCTTTAAAAGAGGGAGTATATACGTTATTTTCTCCCTCCTTTCTGCAGGCCTTTGTGGTGTAACTGGAGGCATACATGAAGCATATTCGAGAGGTCCAGGATACTAGTTTTGGAGAGTGCATTGTACATTTTTCATGCTTTCTGTTAAAAAAAAAATAAAAAAAAAACAACGCCTAATGACTCTACATATGATTAGGAAAAATCAAAAAATTTCATTTTAATATTTTTTAAACACAATTTTAACATATTATTATTATTAAGAGGTATTTATCAATGCTATTATGTTTGTAATCTCTGAATAAAAAATTCTGTATACAAACTGATCTTGAAATTGCCAAAATATTCATATAAGATGCCAAATTAGCATCACCAAACTCATATCCCCAAACTAGAAAAGTTGTTTTTGACATAATATTTTATGAACTCTTTCATGCACAAAACTGAAATAATTTTGAGATGTTTATGTTTCAATCAAAGCAGGGCCTCACTCCCAAAAACTCTCCACCATTTATATTACGATGTAGGAAAGAATTTAAACCATAATCCATCAGATATTTCCTGGTAAACAAATTGCCAAATATGTTCCTCCAAAATGTTATTTTACACTCAAAATGGTAGTTCCCCCCCCAAAAAAAAGTCAGATGAAAAGAAATTAAAAATTGTTTCAAAAAATCTAAGGACTTTAAGGACCCTGGAAATTAAGCGTTCAATATGTTCCTATCCACAGAAAAATCATATTTTTTAAACATATCCCTACTCATGCACCAACGTATTACGGTTCTACAGAAGCAACTTTGCAGAAGATTTTAATTATGCTAGGAATGATGGTTTGCTAGTATACAAACCTAAGACTTCAATTAGTTCCACAATCCAAAATTTACAAGTGTTAACCCAGCAACTCAGGATGCCAGGCTGAACACCAGGTGATTAATCTGTAGCTCAAAACTAAATACTGTTATGAAAAACTGTTTCAAAGAGACTGCTTTTGAAGGAGTGTATGATTTTGCATCAACACCATAGTCTCTAAGAGATCTTATTCTCACATAACATTTTTAGGTTACACTAAATTATGCTGTATGTTTTCCAGCTACATGCTTACATAGTTCTTCAGAAAAGAATGAGCAAATAATGAGGAATGAGATACCTTTAAGATATATACAGCAAATCATTGCATTCATACAAACTTCTCTATAAATAAGCAAGAATTATTCTATGCCAATATTACATATTAGTTACAGGGATCAAAAGTTTCATTCAGTGAAAAATTTGCTTTTATCTGTCCAAAAGCTCTTCAGACTCATCAAGCATCCCCAACAACTTTTCTCAATGCCCATGGAATTAATTCTCCCTTATAAAAATTTTTAAAGATACAATTACAACATACACAAGATCCATGACACTAATAACTCCAAGAGACTCATGGCTCCCATTGACTGCTGCTCTATGCCTTACAAGAAATTCCATAAACAACAGTTTACTCTCGCTATGGAAAACCATCCATTTACTAAGCTTTTGTTCTGTGTGGGATTGCCAAATGACTTATCACACCACCTTAGAATGACAACTACAAATTCAAAAGAAAATTTAAACATTTTTATTAAAGTATTAAACTACAAAATTTGCAAAGTTTGTGCTTACGAAATCTCTGCTACATGTAGGATTAAGTTAAAAAAAAAAATATAAATTAAGGTTAAAAGTAATTAATTATGTAAATTCACAAAGCAAATCCTAGCAAGTTTTGACTCAAACTTTTCTACAAATGCATAAGCAAACTCAGCTAGCAAATGGCTAATGATGGTTCAAAGTAATTCTCAAAGCTGGGCGAGGAAATATCACATAGCCAAAGACATCTCCTAATTTTTCAAAAGCTCTGTTCTTATACAAACACATAACTATCCTAGTGGCACTTATGAAAGTAGAAATAACAGAATATATCAAATAATAAGATAAGAGGTTAATTAACATAAACTTCCCATTGTAATCTTGATCAGCTAAACTCTAAGTTTTCTGGCTGCACAAGAGTTTTACTGCAATCAGAGTCATTAGACCTCAGTATATTTTGATCCATTTCTTTGCATGAAGTGTCGTAAACTGAAGCAATTCATTCCTTACTCACGTACAGTAATTTTATCACTAATGCCAACCAATGAAATTCAAGTTACAGAGCTCATCATTATTCAAGTTAAAGAGCTCGTCTATTCAAGTTGCAGAGCTCATATCATCATTCAATTGTGAATATCAACCCATACAAAAAACTGAAATTTAATATGTTGACAACTTTTTCTAAAGTATGTTTCTTCGAAAATCTACAGTTCTTATGGTACCACACCATCTATCAAAACTCTGAGTTTTCCAGACAGAAAAAATTATGAATTCATGGCACAAACTTTGAAGAAAATCACATCCCCATACGACAATTCTGTTATTTTATATGAATATTTAAAAGGACTAGCGATTTTTGGTTCCCCATATTTACATGCTTAAAAATTATTAAAATCATGAAGGAAACATATTTCATACAATGTTTAAACATTAAATTAAAAAGTTGCAAAAAGAAAAGCAATTTTTTTATAAGAAAATTTTCCAATTTTCATTCTCATCAATCTTAACTTTATTAATTTAGAACAGTTCAATTCTTACTACTAATTTGCCTTTCAACTCTAAACTCAACCATCTCCATTTATAATACATCGTCAAATCCTTTAAAATGGTAAAAAACTGAAATTCTCAGGCATGAAAAGGCCTTTATTCTTGTTGGGAAAAACCCATTTAATAGCTGCCAACTATGAAATATGAAAAACTGGGAGGTTTCCACATTGGATAGTGGCACTAAGAACTCTGAAGTTATTTAAACTCATTTTAAAAACTCATCATAATACATGAATCAGGTTACTGAACAATTTACACGATTAAATATTACAAGTTTTTACTTACCAAATTACTAGGAAATATGCTAAAAATAAAATTAATAATATAAAATACACACTAATGTGTGGATAAACTTAGCAATTTACCATTTATTGAAAAAGAATTAATAACTGATTAAATATTGGTTGAATCTTCATAAAATATTCTACAAATGTCTGCAGTAAAGAAAGACAATTTTTTAAACAAATTATGCTGAGAATCAGAGGTTAGGGAATGGAATTTGCTCACTTTAAATTTCATTAGTTCAATAAATTTATTCCTTTGAAAAATTTTTCCTTAGAAAAGTCTAAAAAGATCAAGATATTCTAAGATTTATGAGGAAAACAAGACGTGATGAAAAGCCAGAGAATTGGTAGCTATGTTATTCTAACGTCACTACACATTCCCCCCCCCTTCTTCAAGTTTCCTGCAAAAGTATTAGAACTCCCAGTACGAGAACTAAAAGTAATAACACAATACTTGTTAAAGATAGACTATTTCCAATAAAACTTTAACAAGAATTAAATGCAGAACTTATTTGCACAGGTTTTTATATCAAATTCTTTGTTTATTATTATATAACACAAACTCCACATTCTTCTATTAAAACAATAGCTAATATTTTGTAATAATTTAAAACACATTAAAGGTGTACTGTACCATGAGTAAGTAATTAATTCATTTTCAGAGATACCTGATAAAAATTGCTTGATTAGATAAAAATAAAAATAATGACAACAAACAAGACAGCTTGTATAATAGACACCTATGTATTTCTTACCTTCAGAAACATTTGAAGAGAAATTATCTACTTTTGTGGCAGATGAAGATGGTTGAGGTATTTTTGGATTATTCAAAGATAAAACTGTTTTTTCTTTTTCCTGTACATCAGATGATAGTTTTTTCAAACTAGATGTGGGAGCAGGCTTTGTAATCATATCTTTAAATAAAGTTCCACTTTGGACTGCAGATTGAAGTGATGGATTTAATGTTCCAGGCTGGACTGAAGACTGAAGTAATGGATTTAATAGTCCACTCTGAACTGCAGGTTGAAATGATGAAACTGATGTTTTACTATTTAAATATGGGGCAGAAGTTTCTGTTGTGGCTGCTGCAGCTAATGGAAGTGAAGGAATTTTGATTTCTGAATTAGCAGGTGGAACTACTATTGAAGGTATCTGTTGAGGCAGGAAGTTCATTGTTTGCTAAAAAAATCCATACACATTATTACTAAAGAGAAATATACACTGCCCTCCAAAAGTTAAGGAACAACATGTTTTTCAATTCTCACCATTACAAAAATGTCAGTAACATTTAAATTCACAGTTCATATGCATGACAGTAATGACGTTTAAAAAAATGTATGCAAAAACAATAGCTAACACTTTTATTTTAGAGAAATGAATACTTATATAGGAGTTAGAGAAAAAATGCAAAAACTGCAAGTTTTGTTCCTGAGTGTGGATCTTCAATTGTTATTAGCAATTTCATTGACAATATCCATGAGAATCTATCAGTGTCCAGGAAAAGTCGTTTGCTCGATTCACTGAGGTGGCAGGTGATCGGATGGATGGAAATGGGGATATCACAAGCTGATGCTGCCAGACGTCTCAGTACCTCTCACCGACTACGGAACCAGTCTGAATCCGGCAATTCTGTGTCTGGAAGACATGTTTCAGGCAGACCTAGAGTTACAACACCTGCAGGAGAAAGTTATTTAGCTCTTTTGGCCCGAAGGAGGAGTAATATTACTGTGCCTCAGCTCATGGCAGGAATAAGAATCTCAGCGACTACAGTGTGCAGATGCCTGCGCAATACCAGTCTGTATGTAAGACGACCAGTTGTTTGTGTCCCCTTGACCCGAGGACACAGAGGTGCCCATTTATGTTGGGCAAGAGAACATGTCTCCTGGACCAGTCAGCAATGGATGTCTATTCTTTTCACAAACGAGTCCATGTTCACAATGAAGAGCGACTCAGGTCGTCAGCTGATTTGAGGGGGGGGGGAGGAATGCACCAGATACAACCAACCCCACATTGAGGAAAGACACAGTTAGAGATGGTGGAAGTGTCATGGCATGGAGCGGACGGAATGGTCAGCTCAATCCCCAAACCTGAATCCGATAGAACATCTTTAAAACTACCTTGGGAGACAGGTTGCTGCTTTAAGTCCGCCTCCAAGGTTGTTAGATGAGCTTGGATTACTCAGTGTCTGATCATTGCTTCCCATTTTACTGACCGACATGTCACTGCTACCACTATATTGTAGCTAGGGGTGGACACATTCTTTATTAAAACCCATTTTCCCTCAAAAAACTCTGATATACTGTTTCTCCAAGACTGGATTTTTCTGCCAAGAGTGCAATTTTTTGTTGTAATTCATATTTGTGTGAAACTTTAGAACAGTTTAGTGAACATGCCCTGTAAATTTCTTGTTTCTATGTTGCTTCACTCTCTAATTAGACACAAAAAACCTACTGTTCTTTAACTTTTGGAGGGCAGTGAGTGCGTGTGTGTGACAGCGAAAAAAACTAAGGCATTATTGAATATTGAGACAATACCTGAGAAAAAATCTCATAAAAATGTACATTAGACATAATTTTAAAATAATTACACTAGCTTCTATGATTTTGCCAAAACAGATTAAAAACTATGCTTTATAACATACATAACATTATTTAATTTTCAGGATCAAGTGACCAAAATGAAAGGTTGAAAATATTTTAAAATACAACAGGAAATAAAAACATTTTGTTTCAATGTTTTTTTTCTAAAATATATAATTTTTAATACATTATCACTATTTTAATGACAAAAAAGAAATTTTAGAATTTGCACACTACAAAATAAAAAATTACGCACACAAAATGACCTTAAAATCTCCAAAATGTTGAAAGGCCACCAAATTTAGTGATCACAACAAAGGAATTCATATTCCCAGAATAGAAAGTCAATCTTGATGTAATAAAGTACAATGAATTCAAATGGCAACCCAGATTATGCAAATTCAGTATACATTTGGCAATGAATTACCAAACTGGCACAAATTTTGACACCGTTACAAGAAATACAGATTCATACAAAGTTAATTTCATATGCAAAACCATAAAATTATCTGGTTTTGTAAAAATTACATAAAATTCATAAAGTTGTAGGCATAAAATGATCCTAGTGGCCCTAGAGCTGGACATTTAAAATCCTCTGTGCAAATATGTTGCTCTCAAAGGATTTAAATTTTTGTAACAACAGCAAATATTTTTGTCCTTCTTCAAAATTTTTTTTATCATAACTTTGAAGACTTTCTGAATCCATAGATAACAGTGGTGGAAACTTGACTTTCATGCTTTTGTTACACAGTACATAGCAGCATAGTCTAATAAGACAAGGCTGAAGATCAAGAAACCCTTTTTTTAAAAACAACATTATAAGCATTGCATTACAATCTGCTTTGAAAGGTTGGATGAACAACCAATCAAGCACTCTAAAACTTTCATTCCAGGAAATACCAACTGTTCTCTGTTCACAATGCCAATTTGTACCTTTATCATAAACATGTGGTTCGAACTTCACCCAACATGTTAATTCACACTTAAAAAGGCAGAAACGTGCAGAAATGTCAGACAAGCAAAATTAAGAATCTTTTCAATTACAACCACGGATGAAAATCACTTAAAAAACTAAGGGCTAAGTCTATACAAAAACATATACCAGTTGAAAGTGGTCATTGCCTCTCTGAACTAACCTTACTGACACTCAAGTTAGATAAAGCAAAATAAAAGTTAAAAATTTAAAAGATAACAGAGTTGTCTTTATCTGACAAAAAGTTTTTACATTTCAGCAAGTTTAATAAATTTCCCCAAATTAAAAAATAATAAATAAATAAATAAATAAATAAAATCTTTAATCTAATTCTAAATGACAATGGATATTCATACTATTATTTTTGGTCCAACAAAAATATCATTAATACAGATGCAAGTAAATTACACAAAAAATAAAACTTTTCAAAATAAAATATAATCATAAACTTATTTAGAACAAATACATTAGAAACAAGCCTCCTTTAAAAATTTTCTCATATCTATGATATCTGAAAAATGAGAGGAGATAAAAAAAAAATCAACATACAGCATTTGCCTGGCTCCATTTAGGAATTTCAGGTAATTCTGCCACTTCTAAGGGAGGCAAATCTTTTAACGGAATGCCAGATGTTACTCTTTGGATCTGATGATCGATGCTTCTCTGTGATAAAAAGAATTAAAAAATATAATGTAAAAATAATAAAAAAAGTTTGTAAGTGAAACCATAAAAATGTAAAAAAATGCTTAATATATATATATATATATATAAAACCTAAAATAGCACTGCCAAAAAGAATTCATTATGTATTTTTAATGCTAATAAATTACACAGGAAATTTTCATATATATACTCCTTTTCATATGCAACAACACAAACATAAAATTTAAATAATGCTCACATATTAAAAAGAAGATAAAACTGATGTAATATTTGATTTTTAAAGAATAGAAACTATACATATACACTAGTGACCAAAACTTAAACTCTGTAACCATAACACCCATAGTTTGAATTTCTTATCCAGAGCTTAATTTAACTACTTTTAGTATTGTAACCACAAACAGTAGAAAAATCAGTAATTGCCATACTCACTCATCATATTTAATCCAAAATTTTGCTGAGATCACTCAGTCAATTGTAAATTTAACTAAAAGGAATGTACCTTTGTAAGGAATCAAAAGTGTCAAAATACATTTTAAAAATTGCAGTCAATAATGCTGACAAACCAACTGTAAGAAATATTAATGACAATGGTGAAATATTCCTAATTACAGATTTTTCACAAAAGTAGCCATTTGTGACATTCTGTTGCAAAAAATTTATTACAAATTCATTCCTGTAGAGTTTTACTCGAAACTTCTAAATCATGCAGAGTCGAGATATCCATCTTTTAGGCATAAGCTTTATGCTACTTTCATTAACATTTATATGGCCCATATGCAATTGATAAGCAGCCTGACATTGTTGCCAGATGGTTGTTATTATTTGCAGGATTTTGATCACACTTTGAAATATATACAGTCAAAAGTTGTTAATTCGGACACCCATAATCCGGAATGATCTATAATCCGGACCTCAAAGCTACAAACTTTCTGCGCATGCGTCATGTTCACACATGCGCACAGGCGTTTACGAGAGCGCGTAAGACCCTTACGGCTGCGAATATGTTTGTGCGCATGCGCGTGGAGTTATATGCTAAGCTAAAGTTATCTAATTCAGTTAATGTTGCCGATTGCGTTGTTCCTTAATCTTCGAATTGGATCCTGCTTATTATTTTTTGCAGACTGTTAGAGCAATTTTATAAAAGTAAGCTTGAACTTTCGATTATGTCAAATAGAATTTCCGATATATATTTACTACAAAGGGAAAGTATGTTTTGAAATCCGAAATCTGTTTATCAATTTCCCCCCTGCTCTGCCGCAGAGGGGGGGGCAGAAACGTCATTATTAGATTATGATAGATTAGAAAGATTATGTCAAATAGAATTTCCGATATATATTTACTAATATGTAATTTGTATCTACAAAGCGAAAGTATGTTTTGAGATCCGAAATCTGTGATTGGAAGTTGATCTGTCAGCACTATCCTTATCTTCAGGGCAGATGTTTTTATTTTATTTGGTTTATAATTCCATACTAAGTGTAGTATTTCATTCTGTCTTTGATATGATTTAAATCAAGTTCCTCCTCATATAATTATTCACTTCCAATAGTGAAGAAAGTGACCCAGAGGTTATTGAAAACGAAAACATTTCAGTATTCTCAACACAGCAATTATAGGACTTGAACAGCGGAACTTTGTAACTAAACAAGAAATTATGTCTGTTTAATAGAATTAAAGAGAAAGTATTATCACATGAAAGGAAGCAACTTACATTGAAGGAAATGTTAAAAAAGTAAACAAATAAATATTAAGCTTTTTCTTTTTGTAAATTTTGATACCCTTTAGATCATAATTGTTCTTTATTTCATAAATTACGGTTTCATATTTTTAATTTTGTAATTTCTGTATGCCATCTTACCAGATTTAAACTGATGAAACATTATATGGAGAATTAATAATAATAATGCTGAAATTTGCAGCAAGTATTTTATTGATAAGAATAATGGTGTGGTAATGATAAAGTTAATACCTAGAGCATATCATTTAAAAACAAAGCATTTAGAAAATAAAATTCTCCTTCCTAAATCTTTTGTAAACCTTTGTCTAGAAATTGCTTATGCTCCACAGTTTGGGATCAATAAAACTTCCTTATGAATTCATAAGGAAGAAATATTTCTGAAAAGGCTTTTTAGATTAAAAAAAAAAAAAAAAACTTTTGTGAAAATTGTCAACAGTGTTTGGAGAATAAATCCAAACCTTCTAAGAACACTTATGAGTAATATAGAAAAGTCTGATTTAGCTCCTGGAGAAATGTTAGCACAACTGATAAAGTAGACAAATTAAACAGACCACATACATGATCAAAATTTTTTTATTTTAACAATCACTGTTCATTACTCCAGATATTTAGATACTATTCCTTTAACAATTATCACCACAGCAAAAATCATAAGATGCATGAATGTATATTTTTCGAAATTTGGTATCCCTAAAAGAATATTATCCAACAACAGATTAAATTTTTGTCTGGATTTGAAAATTTCCCAAAAGATCTAAATACTGCTCATAGGAGAAGTTCCATTTATTATCCAGAGTCTAATACTGCTATAGAGAGAGTTTATCGAACAATGAAAGAAAGCATTGCTTCTAAGATAAGTTTATAGAGTGGACAGACAGAATTTTTTAAAACTGCACTACAATAATTCGAAGCACACAGTTACAGGTTTTATTCCTGAACAATTATTTTTTGGTAGAAAATTAAATACACCTTTGTACATAAACAATGAACCATCAGTAGTTGAAAATCCTTCACAATAGTTGACCTGTCAACGAGTACATCTTAAAAGCTGCTAGAAATTTAGTCAAACAAAATGAAGACAAGCAGTTTGAGCCTCATGAAAAATTGGTGAAAGGCGGAGAAAGGCCTAAATTCGAAACTGGGGATGAGGTTTTTTAAAAGCTTTGTAACCACCGTATGTCTTACAACCAACTTATTTTAACACTCTTTCATTTGGATTATTATAGCTATTAATTATCTCTACAATAACAAATCACACTGGGCAAATTTAAAGCAAAAACAGGCCCAGCAGAATCGAGTAGCACTAAGAGACAAAGGAAAGATGAAAGAAGATGTTCCAGGGAAACAGTTACCTGATGTTTTTATGGAAAAGGATTCCTCATTCAAACTATAACATTTTAAAATTTTTTCTCCATCACTATCCATTATGCTGTTCATTTTCCTTCACACATTATAATATAATTAAATTCTGTTTTTGCCTTATCTAATCTACTTAATATTGTACCTGTATTTTTCGTTTTAGATTTAACAATTTCCATTGGTTTCCTGTTATGAATTTGTGCAAAAAGTACTGTTGTGAAGCTTAAATAAGCAATCATCTGTGGCCAAGGAATGGATAAGTACATTCAATATTAATTCCCAGAGGAAAAATAGCCTTCAGCCTGAAAAATGGTCTTCAATTCGAATTGCATTTTATGAACTAATATTTCACCATACAATAATGCAAGCAAAGAGTATCTGGATCTGGCAAAAATACTGCAGCAAATACACTGCGGATGAAACCGTCATGAAGAAAACATCACAAGGTGAAAACGTCGATGTACAAATCATCATCATAAAAAATAAAGTGAAAATTTCAGTTTAAAAGCGCAGTTGTTGAAAATATCATGGTTAAAAATAAAGCACCTAGAAATCATGGCATGACGATAAGGTCAGATATATGCATTTTGAAGCTTTGTAAATTTATATATTTGCATAATAATTTGTGACTGCAAGAAGGAATGAGGAATGTTTTTACTTTTACATTTCATATTTTTGAATTAGACACTTTTTCAGAAAAATTAAGAAGGAAATTTAAGCATTCAAATACTGAAACTGAGTAGAAAAATAATTCTAGGTATAGCCATTAATATAATTTTAAACATTTATAGTTAACTAATTAGTCATTATTTAATTAATCTTTTTTATAAAGTTTTATCGGTAATTTTTCATGAAAAACGTAAGTTTAAAACAAGATTAGAAAAAGGAACTGCTTGTGGTTACCTCTATTAAAATTTTTAATTAATTGTGTTATAAAATTATGTTAACCGCTATAAGTAGCATTAATTTTCTACTCAGTTTTTGTATGCTTAAATTTTCTTCTGAATTTTTTAGCAAAAGTATTATAGTTAGTTCAAAAATATGAAAGTAAAAACATTCCTTTTTGATCTCACAAATCAAAATTATGTTAACCGCTATAAGTAGCATTAATTTTCTACTCAGTTTTTGTACGCTTAAATTTTCTTCTGAATTCTTTAGCAAAAGTATTTTAGTTAGTTCAAAAATATGAAAGTAAAAACATTCCTTTTTGATCTCACAAATCATTTTGTCAATATATGTCTACATCTTTTAAAACCAAAAAGACAAATGTCTGCAATGTTATCATCATGCAATGATTTGTTAGCACTTTATTTTTTTACCACAATATTTTCGATGACGATGTTTTCAAATTGCAAAGTTTATGATTTGTTAGCACTTTATTTTTTTACCACAATATTTTCGACGACGATGATTTCAAATTGTGAAGTTTTTTAATCGCTTTATTTTCAATGATGATGTTTTGTACCACAATATTTTAGAACTGTGGTGTTTTCTCCAAGATGTTTTCATCTGCAATATTTTTGTCTGTAACCCAAGCAAAGACATCTCTTAAAAGATTATGCAAAACACACACATACAAAAAATATTAAAAGACTTATTACCATAAACACATGACGAATTTCTCCTAGCTTGTTGATGTAGCTACGTATCTGTGTTAAAAGAGTTTCCATATTTTTGACAATAATTGGATTTAAAGCTGGAGAAATACTAGAAATAATAATATAAATTAATAAAGTACATATTACACGCAGGGGGATATGAATAAAAATCTAAGATTTAAAATAAGTTGTTTTTCATATTTTAGCAAAGGGGGAAAATATCTAATAAATCTGATAAGAAATAATTTTATATTATTTTAATAGCTACTTTTTAAATTTGCATCAACGTCTTATGGAAAACATTTTAGTATTTAACCTTCCAGCGGGCGCGCGTATGTGTGAAATACACTAGATATTAATTTTGCATTTGTTTCGAGAGGGCACTATGAGCATGTATCCTTGGCTATTCTCTAAACTTCATTCGCCCTTCTTTCAATCGTCTGCTGGATTTTGAGGGGTTAATGCGAGTCTGCAGATTTACTATTTGTATTCCAGAAATACGCGCGACCGTTGAAGTAAGTTTTTGTTATATCCAATTTCCTTTTTTTTTTATTACAGAAAATCTTTATTCTTTTTCATCTAAATCTTATGATTTTATATAATTTGTGTGCATAATTACTTTTAATGATAAAATAGAAGCATTGTATACATCACATACGCTCAACCATGTACGATATTTTTGTTCTTTTCTTTTCAGTTATGGTGAATAAAAGTAAAATGCTCAACATGAATAATCCGAAGGATCTTGAGATTATAAGAAATAATGCTTTTAAGTGACAATGAGGACGATGAGGACATTATTTTAGATGAAAGCATTACAGATGAAGAAGAGAGAATTTCAGAAAGAGAAGGCGATTCAGAATCGAAGATAAGTGCAGAGAGCAATTCTGAAGAGGAAAATAATGATGATAATTCTTCTGAAGTGTATACAGCTCATCAAATGAAAAAAGTCATCGATTCTTGGACATGGCATAAAGAACCATTTAAGAAAACTAAACGAGCGCCTCGTAACATATGTGTTCATGTTCCTGGAGTCATCAGTGAAGCTAAATATCTAACAGATATTTTGGATAGATGGAAATGCCTCTTTAATGATAGTATGATAAAAATCATCGCAGAAGATACGAATAAGTTTATTTCTTCTGTGAGGTCCTAATTATTCTCGTATAAGGGACATCAGAGACACAGGTGGTTAAGAAATAAAAGCTCTTTTGGGCTTACTTTACTTAGCTGGTATTTATCATGGTAACAGAGTTAAGGAACTGTGGATGATTTTAAAGTAGTAATGAACTTAAAGAGATTTTTGTTTTTACTAAGAGCTTTACGGTTTGATGACATAAACACAAGAGCAGAATGAAGAGGAGTCGACTGCTTGGCTCCATTAAAAAACATTTTTGAAAAGTTTGTCTCTAATTGCCAGAAGTGCTATTCACTTGGAGAGAATGTCACAATAGATGAGAAATTGGAAGGATTTCGAGGAAGATGTGGTTTCCTTCAATACATTCCTAAAAAACCGAACAAATATGACATAAAAATTTATGCCTTGGTAGACGCTCGTATGTTTTACACATACAATATGGAAATTTATGCTGGAGCGCAGCCAGATGGTCCTTTTTGCATAAGCAACAAACCACAAGATGTTGTAAAAAGGTTGAAAAAACCTATCCATAACACTAGAAGAAATGTAACCGCATACAACTGGTTTTCAAGTTTTGAGTTGGTACGAGATCTAGATGAAAAGAAATTGTCATTTGTAGGTACACAAGAAAAAAAAATAAACCTCAAATTCCGGATCAGTTCAAGCTGAAGAAAACTCGGGAACCCAATACGAGTCTTTTTGGATTTAGAAAAAATATGACACTTCTCTTCTATGTACCAAAATGTTATAAAAACATCATATTGATTTCAAGTTTTCATGATGACGTAGCAATTGATGAAGATACCCAGTACAAAAAAAAAAAAAAAAAAGCCTGAGATTATCACATTTTACAGTCGTACGAAAGGAGGTGTGGATACAGTGGACAAACTTTGTACTTCCTACAATGTTGCCAGGAACACCAGGCATTGGCCTCTTGTAGTTTCTCTATGCTGAATATAGCAGCAATCAACAGCTACATAATTCATTCAACGAATAATAGTGAAAAATTACTTAGAAGGCAATATCTGCGAAAGCTAGCAAATGCTCTTATGAAGGAAAACGTTGAAAGAAGAAGCACTACCTCTCTTCAAAGTGAGCTGAAATTAAAATTGTTGAAACGAAAAGCAGAATTAGGTGTTGTTGAAGAAATGACTTCAGGGGAAAAAAGATGCAAACCCTGCCAAAATGACAAGCACACTAGAATTAAGAGGTTCAGCTGTGAGATTTGTTTAAAATTCATTTGTCTAGAGCACTGTAAACATATTTGTTCAGACTGCAGCGATGCAATAAAGTGATTATGAAATTGATTTTTTATGTAATATTTAATGTGTTTTTCCACTTACTCATTAAAAATATAAAAGTTCAGTTGAAATATTGGCAGTTTAATTTTGCTTTACTTTCAAGTTAGTTTGGTAAGTCTTCAGTTCTTTTATACTGTTTTAGTGTTTTATACTTATTTTATTTTCCTTAATTTAAAGTTAATATTGTTTAACTCAATTGTACTTATTAACATTTTACTATTTACAAAATAATTTTCATATTTTTGCTTTGGAAAATTTAATTTTTATAATAGCTTATCTAGGAAATACGCACGACCTTTCTTGTTGGTGCAGAAGGTACGCCCGCTGGAAGGTTAAGGCAAGCTATTTGTGCAAGCTAGGTCACTGATACAAACAACATCCATTTTTATCATTCTCAATAAAATCTGTTTCAGTTTTTGATTTTAATAAGAAAACTGTTAAATTGAAAACTATACAGTACGAAGTCTTTAATCAGGACGTCCATAATCCGGACCTCAAAGCTACAAACTTTCTGTGCATACGTAGCGTTTATGCATGCAGAGAAATGCACATTTAATGTATAACAGACGGTATAAGTTAGTGGTCGGCAAAGTGCGGCTCCAGAGCCGCATGTGGTTCTTTAAGTGCGGCTCTGGTACAAATACAAATGTGTTCGAATATAACCACCCAGCATATCGAAGATCTGAAATTGGTTTCAGCTTTATCAATAGCAATTGACGAGTCTTGTGACATAAAAGATACAGCGCAAATTTCACTTTTTGTGAGATTTATGTCTCATACAGGCCCTAAAGAAGAACTTTTAGGATTATTGCCACTCAAAGGTCAGATGCGTGGAGAAGATATCGCCAATACTGTAATTGAGTGTATGGATAAACATCATATTCCCCTCAATAAAATTGTCTCGATTTCAACAGATGGGGCCAAAATATGACCGGCGTAAGAAAAGGGGTTGTTGCTATTTTGAAAGAAAAAATTAATCACGAGATACTTGTTTACCATTGTATCATTCACCAAGAAGTGGTTTGCGTGCAAACATTTCCGGAAGAAATTGTAAAGTTATGGAATTAGTGATTACCATTATCAACTCCATCTCAGCTAAAGCTCTTAATCATCGCCAATTCAAAGAATTTTTATTTGAAAGGAGAGTGAGTACGCTGATCTTCTGCTTCATAACAAGTTACATCGGTTATCAAGAGAGAACATTTTAAAACATTTTGTGTGCCTTTTTCCAGAAATTAAAGCATTTCTCCTTGAGAAAGGCATTCACTATCCAGAACTAGCAGACGATCAGTGGATCCCAAACTTTTATTTCATGGTAGACATTATATCTCATCTAAATCAGCTTAATCGTAAATTACAAGGGAAAGGAAACTTAATTTTTTCGATGTTAGAAGAAGTAATAACATTCGAAAACAAATTATCCATTTTTGCACAGGATTTTGAAAGGAAACATTGCTTCACTTTCCGAGCCTGCTGAAGCATCACCAAGAAAATAATTCCTCTATTGATAAACACCATTTTAAAACAATAATTTTAAATATCAGGGAAGCATTTCTCAGCAGGTTTCAGGAATTTAAAAACAGCAGAGCAACTTTAGCATTTGTCAAAAATCCTCTTAATGCTACAATAACCGAGTTGAAATTTTCTCCTTTTGAAATTGACATTGGTAGCTTTGAAATACAATTGCTGGATTTAAAAAACAAGGAGATATAGCGCTCTAAATTCGAACGTCTTTGTGTTGAATTGGAAATATTGGAGAAGAAAAAAGATCTTAGTTCACAACACAAATGGTCTGCTTTGAATGACCTGAAGAAGGCAGACATGATCATTTTCAACGCTTGGAATAGGATTTCTGACTCTTACGATCAGCTGAAAAAGCTCGCGTTTGCCCTTCTTTCCCTTTTCGGTTCTACATATATATGCGAACAATCTTTTTCAAGTATGAACATTATCAAGAGTAAACTGAGAAGTTGCCTTATTGATGAGAAATTGGAATCATGCCTAAAATTAAAAATAACAACATACAAACCTGACTTACTCAAACTTTCCAAGGAGATGCAAGCACATTGTTTGCATTAATAAATATTAAGTATTAAATTTAGTTTTATTTAGTGAAATAAAAGTTTACTAAACAAGCAGATTTGGCTCCCAATTTTTTTCAATTGTTGTAATGTTCATATTTGGCTCTTTGGCTAATAAGTTTGCCGACCACTGAGCTAGGCTAAAATTATCTAATTATCTATTTCAATCAATGTTGCAGATTGCGTTGTTCCTTAATCTTCTAATTGGATCCGGCTTATTATTTTTTTGCAGACTGTTTTATAAAAAGTAAGCTTGAACTTTCGATTATGTCAAAAAGAGTTTCCGATTCTGGAGCTGCCAAAGGATCTACAAAGCGAAATGTTTCGATGTCCATCAAACAAAAAGTGGAATTGCTGCAAAAAATAGATAAAGGCATGAAGAAAGTGACAGAGAGGTCAGTGAAAACGAAAACATTTCGATTGACAAGTTAGTCGGTATTCTCGGCACAGCAATTACAGGACTTGAACAGTGGAACTTTGTAACTGAACAAGAAATTATGTCTGTTTATAGAATTAAAGAGAAGGTATTAGCAGATAAAACAAAGCAACTTAAACAACTTACATTGAAAGAAATGTTATTAAGCTTTTTTTTGTAATTTTAATACCCTTTAGATCATAATTGCTCTTTATTTCATAAATTACGGTTTCATATTTTTAATTTTATAATTTCTGCATGCCATCTTACCAAATTTAAATTGATGATCTATAATCCAGAAAACCCCCTCCAGATTAAAGACTTTGTACTGTATAATTCAGAATGTGATAGCACACAGCATATGATTATGAATAATATTAATGATAATAGTAAAAACCAAACAAAAAATTATGAACCACAATTCCTGTTATTACAGGCGACTTTTTTTAATGACCAGTCCATACAAAATAGTACATATTCCTTGATATGCTAACCAAGAAAATTTAATTAAATTTAAACAGAAAATACAAAAACTCCACTAAAAACTTATACTACAGATTTTAGAAAGGGGGAGGACTTACAGGGGTATTCCTCCTTGTAATTCTTTCATTCTTTCACCAGCTTCAGAAATTTTTTGATCAATCCTTTTCAAAAATTCACTTTTCTTCAGTTTCAAAACTTGATGCTGAGGAAAGAAAATGCAATTGAGTACAAGCTTTCAACATATTTTTGACATACAATTTTTAAGGGTAAACATATTCTACAGTTCTTGAAGAGCAATAATTATATACTGAATTCCCGAGAAATATGATAGATAGAATAAAATAAGTTGCTTTTGAAAATATGAAGTGGGTTTTGTTTTCTATAGGTATATAAATATCTCAATCAAAGCAAAAGCTTAAAAAATAATCATATCTATATGCAATATTTAAAAGAGATATTTCTTTACAAATTTTGCACGGTTGGTTTGTTAACTGATTACTGCATGCAAGACACACGAAGACTATCTACATTAGAAGAAGAATGCTTTTGTGGAAAACCGACATATTTATGTTGTACAATGGAAAGCTAACATAACTAGCTCATTTGTTAAAATCTGAAACTAGGTTCAAATAGAAACAAATCCATAGATGCATACACGTAATTAGCAGTCTGACTGGACCAATAAAAACCAGTTGAGGCAGGTAATCTCAGTGAAATGCTTTCAATTGTTCATACAACAAGGATTGCCAATAGCAGCTCTATTATACTTCTTATTTCTATGGTTGGAACATGAATTTGTGCTAATCCAAGTTGCCCACAACTAATAAATCACACTTTAAAATCATAGGAAAATGGTAAAAAACTTTGGTACTTTCTGATCCGCACTCTCGATTTCAATTGCCATGTTTTTGAAATATTTTACAGTAATCATGCAATAACAGTTAGTTCATGCATCACATAACATACACGTGTTTAGTATGTGTGGATTTACAGGCTTACATGCTTTCACTAGGCAATATCACCAGCAATAAAAATGTGAATTTTGGCCAGTAATATTTCTGATTTTGCTCACAAAATGCTTACTATCATTATTATTTCAGAACATAACAGCACTTCTGAGCCGTAAAGACAGTCAAGTAAAAGTTTTTCACCAAATCACAAAGTCAGAAACTTTTTTTTTGAGGGGGGAGGTGTAGAAGGCCAGAATGTACCAATGTTTTATTAACCCTCTAAGCGGCAAGGCCGTAAACAGCCTAGAATATTTTTTTTGTGATATCTGTAAGAACGTATATATACATGCATATTAAAATATGTTAATGAAATTAAGGCAATATATCAAAAGTACACAAATCCAGGTATGAAATACCAGGAGAGTTTTTAGATTAAAACCAAAAAAATAATTTGTTCTCATAGTAGTTTTGGGAAATTTGTGCTTTTTTAGCTAAAAACCTGGTCGCTCAGAGGGTTAAGGAGGTAGAAAATCATGAACCACTGTTTCTGCAGAATAAAAGTTATTAAACTCAGGAACTTAAAACAGGAATAAAATTAAGACCATGCTTTTTTACATTGTCTCAGTTTCTTGTTGGGGGGATGTGATATGACTGACAAATTATTTGGAAAAGGAGAACAGAATTAATTTTTTTGAAAAATATCAAATCAGAAGAGCAAAAATTTAATTCTTTTATATCGAATACAGCAAAGCAGCTTCAATGCAAATGAAAAGGGAAAGAATCTCTACATCTTGAGAGAAAAATTCAATATGGAATATTTGCTACATACCAACTAATTCAGTTAGTAGAAAGAACCATAAACTGATTATGAATATTGATGACATATTTCAAAGAATTAACATAACAGCATTTTAGGATAATAACATCATAAATGCGGAGGTTTTGAATGAAAGACATGGTATAATTATATCAATTTAGAAAGGTGATCCTTAGAGTAATAAAAGTTCACTTTTTAGTTTTACATAATAGTGAAATTTCCTTAACATTAGAAGCAGGATAAATAATAGGAAACTCATTATTTATATCACTGGTATGGTTATAGGAGCTTCATAATAATAAATGTAATGCAATACCATACAGAATTTCAAAAGTATAAATATTTCATTAAATGACTTCGATTTAGAATACTTAAAATATTTAAAAAATCGTGTCAAATTAATTAAGCTGAAAGATACATTTATTCTAAAAGATAAATAACCCAAGTTATTTTCTGCAACAGAAATATAAAATACTTTCTAGTTTGCTAAAAGTATTATTTATATCAATTAAAAATCACCAATAAATGTTCTTACTTCTGCAGTTTTTGCTCTTTCAGTCATTTCATGAATTTTTTGCTCTAGATTTTCAATAGTTTCCATGTATAATTTTCTTTGCAGTTCAGAAGATGTTCTAAAAGAAATAAATTACAATCCAATTGTTCTCATATGTTTTCAAGATAATTTACAGACTGAAAAACATGCATAGATGAACTATTATATTTAAAAACATAAAAAGGTTATAAAGATTATAAAAAAAGATATCTTCATAAAGACAAAGGAATGACAGACTAGTCTATTAGAAGTGGTACAGAAAAAATAAATAAATGACCTGTTTGATCATCCTATCCAAAGCTTTTTTTTAAATGCATGTCTAATTAATTACCTCTCTATATACATAATTAATAATTCTGACTATTGCTTTTATTTAGTTTTTGTATGATTGCCAAATATTTACAAATCATTGAATTTTTAAGCATCAGAAACAAAAAAGGCTTTATATTTGTCAACATACCACAAAAAACAAATTATTCAGACAACATAAGCAACAAATGCCTTCTTATGCATTTTCCCCAACCAATAATTCTAAATGGTGCAATTTTAACTCCAATACCTTATTCTGTTTTAAAAAGATTTTCAGGTTCAAAATATTTTCAAAATTTAAAAAAGCATTTTGAGGCTAAATATGATTTGGATAAGATAAACAATCTACATTATCTACATTAATTTAGGACTGTGCTGTACACAAAAGCTTTTAAATTTGGGATTTGATCAAATAATTTTCTGGTACAGCCATACCAATTGTTCTTTTATTTATTTTTTTTTCTGTTCTTCAGTTGTATAGCAAGAATGTTATGCCTTCTTTACCCAATCAAAATACTTGAATCAGAAAGATGAACATCCATTAAATTATTAACTACAGTGACATAAATAAAAAAGAATTCCTAACTGAAAGAGACATACTACAGAATTTTATTTTATTCAAAAATGACATAAAATGAAACAGAGAGATGGAAGGACTATCACTTTGAACCTAGCAGCTTATTCTAATGTAGCCTCCAAATATTGTAATATTAGTGCAAAGATTCCTCAGACTGCTTAACTGTTACTTTTGCATACTCACCTTGCTAATTCGTTTTCACACAATTTATCTTCTAAATGTTCTATATTTGCCCTTGCTTCTTTCAATTTATCATTTAAATCTTCCACATGTATCCTCATACTTAAACATAAAAGCAGAACAATATAAGCAACAATACGCAGCAAAATACATTTTTATTAACAATAAACAGAATTGCAACTTAAAAAGATCTATTTTGTAGAATATTTAATGAGAGCTCTTAATTTATAATAAAAAAGTATGTTTCTTTTGAAATAAATCTATAGCATTGATTTTTTATTTTCTTTGGAGTCAATTAAATAATTACAATCCATATAGCTACATTAAAATAACACGTTTTACAAGCATATTACTCCCCCACCCCCAATAAACATATATTATTTTCCAGGACTGGATTGTTATTTAATTATAACTAAAAAGTATGTTTCTTTTGAAATAAATCTATAGCACTGATTTCTTGTTTTCTTTGGAGTCAATTAAATAATTACAATCCATATAGCTACATTAAAATAACACATTTTAGAAGCATATTACTCCCCCACCCCCAATAAACATATATTATTTTCCAGGACTGGATTGTTTAGTTTAGGCAATGCATGCTTTTAGAACTCAAAATAAAATAGCAAAATACTAAAACATACATGTGTGTTTCAGAAAGCTTACATGACTAACTAACTTTTAAATGGCTGGCTCTACACTCATCGTTTCAGTGTAAGTATGTGTATCGTTTCAGTATAAGAAAGTAATAAAATAAGGTTAATATCTAGACTGAAAATTTTAGCCTTGTGATGCCTTTTAGTAAAACTCAGAAATATTTCAGTTTTCATGTTCTTCTTGTAGGAAACAAACAAACAAACAAACAAAAACAAAACAAACTTCACAGAGAAAATTAAGATTTAGAACAAGATTAAGAGAAGTCTTCCACTGACTTTAAGATCCAAGGACCTAGCAATTTAAAAATTTTCACATAAAACTTTAATTCATAGACAAAAAGTATGCTGAAAATCAGCTATGAATGTCAATAATAAAGAATATAATTTATGTAAGTAAATGTGAAGATACAAACATGGGTTGAAAGCCGCATACAGGGATGGGCTATATGAATGGCTTATACAGGGTGTCCGAAACGTCTTTCCCTGATTACATAAATTGATAACTCAGACTAGAAGTAAGATACAAATATGAAACTTGTGTCGAATTGTTCACAAACTATCACTTAGGTTCGCAATACATAAGTAGTGGATGAGGTGCAGTGCCCAAGAAGCCATGTTAACCAATCAGGAGAAGGCACAGTGTGTCCTGTGGTACCATGAGACACGATCATCAACCACAGTGCAGAAACACTTCCAGACAACATTTGGAAGTAATTCACCTGATGTCAAGAGTATTAAAGCCTGGTATGAGAAGTTCAAGAACACAGGATCGGTTGCTGACCTTCCGAGGTCTGGTCGACCAAGAACCTCAGCAGACAGGGTGGAAGCTGTGAGGCAGTCTTTTCTGCGAAATCCGAAGAAATCGGTGTGCAGGGCCTCACGTGAATTACAGATACCAAAAAGCTCTCTCCGTGACATTTTACACAAACGTTTATTGTTTATTGCATACAAAGTGCAAATGGTTCAGGCATTGTTGCCCAATGACAGTACACGTCGATATGACTTTGCGGTCGAAATGCTATCACGTATTGAGGACGATTATGGTTATCTCAGACGAATTGCCTTTTCCGATTGCCACGAATTACCTTTCCGCAACGGATAACCACAGTTGTTGAATCGATCCCTCCAGTGATGTTGGCTAATGTGTGGACGGAAATTGAATATCGCCTAGATGTGCTACGTGCTACCAAAGGTGCTCATGTGGAAGTCTACTGATGTGTGAAAAAAACTTTGATAGTTTGTAAACAATTAGACACCAGTTTCATATTTGTATCTTACTTCTAGCCTGAGTTATTAATTTATGTAATCAGGGAAAGAATTTTCGAACACCCTGTATGTCATTAATGCAGTACAAAGACCTGGTATTATTACGACTTAAGTGTTTTTGGATTTTAGATCAATAGGTCAAATTAAGTAAGATGTAATGTAGAAATTATGAAATTAATAAGTTGAAAATACTATTTATGGATAATGAAAAATTTATGATTTTACGAAAATTTAAAAAAAAAGGGGGGGAAGAAAGAAAGAAGCTATATTTAGTTACTTGTTTTATTAAAAATTTCTTTTAATGTTATATAAGTTGTTTCCCTTTTTATGCTACATTTTCTTTAATTTTATAGGCAGGCTTTTTTTTTTTTTTTTTCCCAGTGAAAAAGTTCATTGTTGAAGTTTTGCAACTGTCATGTCGAAAATTCTCACTAAACTGTTAATCGGCAGCAACATTTTCTGGATTTAACACCATTCTGCAGATTTCACCTTCTGCTTGCTGACAGCTGATTGGGCATTGTCATCACAAAGGAAAACTTCTGTTATACCATCTTCATTAATTATCAGTTTTCAACATTTCTTCACAAATTCCATTATTTGGAAAATTTCACCTTCAACAGTATTCAAAGCCTACACCAAAATAAGGTTGCTGTTTTGCCTAATTTTGAAAGCTCACTTCCTCAAGCCCAAATTAAACCAATGCCATTTTTCTCACGCCAAGACCACTGTAGAAGGCAAGTACCAAACATCTTTTAACTCTGCAGATCCTGTTTATCTCAAGAATTAAGAAAGTCTTTTGGACATGATCAAAATTCCAAACCTTAATTTTCTTAAGATAGTTGTAAAAACAATAGACTGCAAAAGTTAATAAGCTCTATCAAATTAGTTAAGGAAGAGTAAACTTTGCTATGTTAACTGCACTTCTTCCAAATCTAATTCTTTTTCTTGCTGTCATGCCGACAAGAGAAAATCACTATCAGCAAATCAATATGCCTTGCAGTTTAATCTTGTTTACATCAGACAGAAAAATATTAAACACTCAAGGCTGAAAGTGTGGCCGCTACTAACATCAATCAATGTACTGTCAGTGACCAGGATGATTCCCAGCCAGCAGGTATTTCAACACATATACAGGATGACACATACAGGAGTCTCACGCCCATTGAAGGAAAATCACTTTTATGATGCATTTGCCTTTTCTTGGTGTATTTTATTCTCCATTCCTAAATCCATTTAAAAAGAAAAGCTATTGGTCTGGATATTAGATTTTTCTGGACACCGAATGGTTGGATTTCAGACTTTGTACAGTATTTATTATACACATGTGTCCAAATTTATCTTTACATAACCAAAAATAATGGTTGTCCATGAAATATCTAATCAATACAATCTATTTTTGCAGGGAATGCATAAAAGACAAGCATAATTCACATTATCATTTGAAGGTGAATGAAGCAATTTGTGCAAAGTGGATATTTGAAAATACAGGAATTAATTTCGGTGTGTATGGTTTGTTATGGCTTCAAAGTATCATTTGAAAGAATTTGCAGAGTGACGAATCATCAGCCATTTAAAAATTTAAAAGGAGGCAGACAATCATGGAAGCACTGAGATGTAAGAACATTTCAAGACAGACAGTCTCTATAATTATGGAAGTAATTTCAGAGCTCTAGGACTGTTCTAAGGATGCCCGGACAAGGTCATAAACGAATAGCAACATCTTTTCAAGATCGACAACTGGCAATAGCTGCCTGTCATAACACAAGGTTTACTGCTTGGTAATTAAGTTCAGAGCTTGCAACCACTACTAGAACTGCTGTAGCATAGAAAACAGTACATACAAAGCATAATGAAAAAGGCCTTTATGCCAGACAGCAATTAGTATGTCGTTCACTGTCTTCAAAATAGAAGAACTGATTTAATTGTTGCAAATCACATCAGAACTGATGTGAACAAAAACAGTCCCATGTTCTCTTTCATAAAGCATCGAGGTTGTATTTAATATCTGATTCCAAATATGTTTACATCTGGAGGGAGTCAGAAAAATAAAATCTTCCTCTGAACATTATAGAACATGACCATTTTGATAATGTATAAGTGTTACAGTATAAGGAAGAATAATATTTGATGGGCATATGCTCCTACATACTTTCAACAGCCGATTTGTGAAAAACCAAAGTCATCAAGATGAGATATTGGAACCTTATGTATGACTTTTCAGAGGTGTATATAGATCTGACTATTTTTATGGATGATAATGGGCATCCACATTCAGCAAACCTGGTGGATGAATTCCTTGAAAGTGAAGAAAATGAGAGAATATTGTGGCCAGTAAAATCTCCTGATCTTAACCTGATAGAGAAGATCAGATTGCTAGAGTAATGGAATCCAAACTGTGGTTAACAACATTATTGGCAGCATGAAAACACACTGTGATATATGAGTACAAGTTACAAAAGATTACATACCATACTAAATTCACAAGCCTTAAATTCTTTTCAGAGTTATTCTTTTTTTTTTTTTTTTTTTTTTGAGGGGACCTGCATTTTACTGCTATTTTAGTTTTTATAGTTTCTTGATACAGCATTATACAATATGCAGTGCTCTTACATTTTCCTTTTTTATTTATGTCTTATGATGTTATGTATCATTTCTCATTAACTCAGAAAATTATAGTTCACATTTTCTGTGAAATCCATGATTTCATGCATGTAAAGATAATTTTGGATATAAGGTATTGGCAGCCATGTTGTCTGCTCAGGGCACAAATATTTCTTAATCCAGAATAGCCAATGATAACTATCATATATCAATTCTAAACAATAATTTATTGCTTAATAATTTTCTTATAAATTCCATCATTAAACTTTGAATACAAAATACCTTTCTCCCATTCAATTTACGAGATCTTACTGAAGTAAACATGGAATTTTTATGTTTTAATGCATATATATAGATTCATTTTAACATTATCCTATTTAACAAATAATTTCAATCTGACCTTACATGCACTCCCAGAAGATATGTTACATCTAGATCTGATTGCATTTGCAATACATTATAGAGTTGATTAGTTGCTTTTTAGTATTATTATAACAAGGTTCAGATGCATCACACACATGTTAAGAATACAGACACATAAAAACCTCAAAGAAAATAAAAAGTTTAAACTAAAAAATATTAACAGCACAATATCAAAATCAGTCACAGTCTGATAATAAAACTGATGGCATATGATGCAAAAAATAGATAACTGATCCTTTTGATTTAACTCACCTAGAGCAAATAATTGAAAATTAAAACACATTCTTATTACAGTCATTCTCTGTGTAATTAAAATATACAATCACAAAATGAGCTACAGAATGTTACATATAATTTCACATACATAACAAAAGCTGACATACACAGATAAATGCTTGCACAATTATGCAATAATATGACAATAAAGCCATACATGCACAGATACACACATATACATTCGTGTGTAAAATTAAGTTAATTTGCAAATTATGTCTATTTTTAAGAAAAATGTTTAACCTAAGGTACTAATTATGCTGCTAAAAATTTTATGCAGATATTAACTGATTTAATTGTTGCAAATCACATCAGAACTGATGTGAACAAAAACAGTCCCATGTTCTCTTTCATAAAGCATCGAGGTTGTATTTAATATCTGATTCCAAACATGTTTACATCTGGAGGGAGTCAGAAAAATAAAATCTTCCTCTGAACATTATAGAACATGACCATTTTGATAATGTAGGTGTTACAGTATAAGGAAGAATAATATTTGATGGGCATATGCTCCTACATACTTTCAACAGCCGATTTGTGAAAAACCAAAAAGTCATCAAGATGAGATATTGGAACCTTATGTATGACTTTTCAGAGGTGTATATAGATCTGACTATTTTTATGGATGAATCAAATACATGCATGTCTGCAGAGCTGTGATTACGGAGGGGATATATGTGCACAAGGCGTTTTCAGCGATTTAGTGCTCGAACTCCTTCATGACATTCAGTGTGTTACTCGCAAAAGTTGGGTGAACTTTATAGAGTATCAGGTAATATGCGTAGCCATGAACATATGGATGATGGAATGAGATGGAGAATTGTCAGTAAACTGGAGTAGCTATGGAGCTCAATGTAATGCCTAGTGTCGTCTGCAATTTGTGGAAATAATTTCAGGACATAAGATCTATACTGAGTACTGAGAAAGGTCGACCAAGATCCACAATGATGAACGAGGATTGTTACTTAGCACTTTAAGTACTACAGATTCACAGCTCTCACATGAGCAGTATGCTGTCACTGAAACCTGAGTTTCACGGTCTACAGTTGCTTGAAGGATCCATGAGATAGGGCTGTATATACCAGGAGAATCACTGCAGCACACAGGAAAGTGTATTTAGTTTGGTGCAGATAAGATGCACCTTGGATCAGACTACAGTGGAGCATTCTGCTTTTAACAGATGAGTTGAGATTCACACTGAATACCGATCTGGTATTCAGTCTGGAGACATTATATTGGACAGTTGTATGCCCTTGCACATGTTTGATAAAAGCTCCCTGACTGCTATGAGGTACAGTGAGGAGATCTTAAAGCCTTATATTCAGCTTTTCAGGAGCGCAGTTGGTCCCGAATGCCTGTTAATGGATGACAATGCTTGTTCACATAAGGCTCAGCTGGTCGATGACTATCTGAAATGAGGGAATATTCATCGCACAGACTGATCAGCCAGATCTCCTGACCTTAACCCTATACAGCTTGTCTGGGATACTTTTGAAGGCAATTTCATCACGCTATTCTCCTCCAAGAGCCATCCTGGAGATGAAAACTGCCTTGCTGCAGAAGTTTAATCAATGCCAATGGCACTTCTCAATTCATCCAGTCATCTTGAGAGAAGTAAAAAATCTGACAATTATGTATAACATCTTACTCTGGCAAGCAGGCAGTGACTGACACATTCAAACATACAATAAAATTAAAGCATGCACAGTATGCTGTCTCCCTTCACCGTGCATAGTGGTGCCACCCTAGCAACAGTATACTGGATGAGAAAATTCAAGGTCAGTATACATTTTAGACACACCTCATATAAAGCAAGCTTTTCGCCAGCTCAAATGGCTAAAGTTACAACTGGATCATCATTTTGCAAAGAGACAAGATTATGGAATGTGGTTGTAATATATATATATATAGGTACAATATATGCAATTTTACGTTTGTACATGTACACATGTGTGTACATAAATTCCATTAACTATACATAATGTTTTTTTTTTCCAATGATAAAACAACAAAATTATAAAGTGAAGAATAGAATTAGAGTAAAAAGAGACTAATGATCACCTCTCAAGGTTCATATTCAAAGTTTCATTTTCCTTTTTCTGTTCATCAATTTTCTCGTTTGCTTTATTAAGAGAATCTTGAAGATGTTTTAATTCTTTTTCCCATTTGAGCTCTTTATTTTTATTAGTTTTCTTTTCAGCCTAAAAACACAGTAATTAGAAGCTGCAATCACGCTCATAAATTTAAATAGTACTACAATTGGTACAAAATTAAAAAATCATAAATTAAGAATAAAAAAATTCTCATAGTGTAATATATAAGATTACTTATTTTTATGAATCATGAAAAACTAGAACAAGAGCGTAAGATCTGACTATTTAAACAATTTACGAAGAAAGCACATATATCAGAATTTAAATAGTTTTTAAAGGTAGAAATATCTGAGAATTTGTTTCACGAAATTAAAAAATGAATTACTTGAAATTGCAAGAATATTTTGCAAAACATATAAATAGTTTAAAAACTGCATGTTATAAACTTTTATTACAGAACAGGGATAATTCCTCAAAAAGTCTCTGTCTGCACTGACAACTCTTGAGAGGGGGAAAAAAAAAGCACAAGTCATTCAAAAAAGCTGCAACAATTTTTCAAGAATAAGAGAATATTAACACAATAAAAAATAAAATAGAGTTGGCTAATAAACTACGGAAAATGCCAAAATTCACAAATGAAGATAATTAACTCTTTCGCATTGAAGTTTCCTGTAACAGCCGTACATTCAGACATCTGCAGGTTGCCCAAATGCCTCATTCATTTTCTACCTGGTGCTTTCCCCCATCACATTAGCGCATGGCTCTGTAGTTTCACATGTTGTTAAAGGACAAGCCAATAATTTTATTCAAGTGACTAAAAGTAGTTCCGTCATTTGAATGCCCTTCCTTGCGTAGCGTCAACGCTCTCAGGAGAGCTGACTTGCGTCTAGATCACTTATTTTACTTCTTCCTCAGGTAGTGAAAATGTCTTGCTGATATTCTGTAGCTTCATCTCAAAATTTTCAGAAGACATAAGATATTAATACCGGAAGAAATAAATGGCATATTAGTTGGAGAAACAGATGAATCAGATTCCACTGAATACGATGAAGAGGATGGACATAAAAAACATGTATTGATTGATGATGGAGGATCATGAAAGCAAACACAATTATAGTCTAGAGCAATTTGTTTCAGAAAGTGACAAAAATTTTAACTCTTTATATAATACCTTTGAATCAGAATATTGTGAAGTAATTAGACAGAATACAAATAATTATGCAGACTTTTGTTTAAGGGGGGGAATGTTCTGTTGAATATGAAAGCTGGCAGCCCATTACCTTCGTAAATGAGAATCCTGCACTTGGCAATGAAGTGATGAAATGTGTACAGATAGATTTTTAAAAATTAAACATTATTTTCATATCTCCGATAGAGAAAAGGAGGTAAAGGAAAACAATGAAAACTTTCTCGGGTAAAAGGGCGGTTTTCAAATTAATTTAAGCTGTATAAACATCTTTTGGATGATGAAGCTGTGGTAAAATTATAAGTGTATCTAGGAATTGCACAGTACTAAAACCAGATAAGCGTGGGCTTAAAATTTGGATGTTATGCATATCTCACTTGGGTAAATTTTTAAATGTATGGGGAAAAACGAGATAAAATTGACAGTAGATTGGATATGGGAAAAGGACTGGGCTACGATGTTGTCACACATTTGATAAAACCCTTAACAAGCAAGAAACATGAACTGTTTTGAGCAGCATTCAACTTATGGTTGATTTAATGAAATCCAAATTTTATTCTTGCATAACTGCTATGACAAATGAAAAGCACTAGACAACTGAAATTAAAACATTAAACTGAAAACCCCAAATGAAAATCACACTTTTCAGGATAAAAAATTTCTAAATTTGTCGTGTATGTCTTGGATAAGCTGTGTCATGTGAACAGAAGAAAATCAGAACACAAATGTGGAAGGACAAGATCTGGAAAACCAAGACATAAAAATATTATACAGTTGCCGGAAAATTGTCCAAACGGTGGATGTACGTGTTTTGGTTCCTTTTAGACAACACCATCAACAATGCCTACATACAGGTGGTTATCAAAATAATGGAAATACCTGTGAATACGTGACATTTAAGAACGCATTTCATAAGCAATAAAATATAATCCTAATTATCACCTTTTTTTTACATATAAAAAGTATGCATCACAGTAGTATGAGGTAGCTTTAGTGAAGTTTAGTCTTCAATTTTCATCACAATCTTAAAATGTCAGACCTCACAGAGTTTCGAAGAGGCTAAACAGTAGGAGCCCAACTAGATGGAGTAACTCTGACTAAAACATCCAAGCTATTAGGTGTTTCTAGAAGTACAATGTCTAAAGTCATGACAGCGTACACACAGTGTAGAAAGGCAAGCTTGGCAAAGCAAACTAGTATACGGAAGAAGAAGCTGAGGGAAAGACCAATAGGTACTCAAGTGGACCATCATGCCTAAAAAGAAAACAACTGCAGCCAAAGTGACTGCAGACCTCAACTGGTACCTGGATTCTCCAGCGTGAATAATTACAGTTAGGAGGCATCTTCATAAACAGAATATTTACAGAAAAGCAGCAATTCCCAAGCCAATTGTCACACATGTTAATGCCCAAATGCCGTTTACAGTGGTGCCACAACCACAATTGGTCGATTGATATGTGGAAGACAGTTATATGGTCAGATAATTGTGTAATTCAGGTTACTACAAATTATCCCCATCAAAGACGATAAAAAACTTTGTATGATTTCAAGCTAGAACACATATAAGAATTAGCAAACCTGTACTCATATAGAGTGCATACTTCAGCATCATTTGAAGCCTATCCTAGTCATTATCATAAATGAAGAAAAATCGAAGGATGTTAAAGAACTTGTGTTAGATGTCAGAAGCACAGAAATAAAATGTCAGCAAACAATGACATTCAAAGCATATGGAGTGCGAAATCTGCAAGATGTGCTTTTGCGAAAGCTGCTTTTATGAATAGGTACTCCAACCTCCCTTGCTTCAGGCTCCCCTTTTCAGGGTCAGCCTATAGCATAAGAGGAAAGCTTTTGTCTGCTATATAAACCTAAATATATTTAAAAGAATTCATAAGATTTTGGTATAAAATAAAAGAAATTTTAAAAAGAAATGAATTTTTTTTTATTCACACATGCAGACAACATTCAAATATTCCTATTTATGTGAAGAAAAATAAACTTAATAAACTGTTTGTTTAACTGTCCTTTCCTTTATCTTTCTTTGTATCCTACACTTAAAATTTCAAGGAAGGATGAGGGTTATTTTCATGTTCATGCATAACTATAATTTTTATGATAAAACTATTTAAAAGGCTTTCATTAAAGTATATATTTCTTTTGAAACAGGAGTTTTAAAATCATCAAATATGTACAACTAATAAGTATTTCTCAATATACAAGTAAATGTTTACTTTCCTGCTAAGATTATATGAATTGATTCAAATCTATAAAAAATAATAAAAATGCATGATAGTAAATGCTTGATTACAATTGATTCAAATCTATAAAATACAATGCAATTGATTCAAATCTATAAAAAATAATAAAACTGCATGATAGTAAATGCTTATTGTTAATCCTGTAAATGGATGCAAATTACACAAAGGGATTTCAGTAATAAGATAAGAGAGAGAGATTTTCTATAGCACTTATTTTGATATAAATTTTTATTCAGCAGCATTAACTTGCAGAATGAAAATGTTTTTCTTACTAGCATAAAATTACAGAACTATATGACATTTCTAATTTTGATGATGGATGGCTGTAAAACATAACTGGTAATATTTAAGTTCCATCAAACCATCATTTATGAACTAAACTAACTAAATATTTCTCTTCTTCCTCCAGTGACAATGCATATAAAGGTACCATACTTTTTTATTTTATATACCAATTAGAGAAAACATTATTAAATTTAAATAAAAGTAAATCCATGCACACATCCAATTCTTCTTATATATGTTTGCTTATCATAAGAATCACTGAACTTTCATTTATACAGTGGGAAATCTTATCAATCATATAAATATACATAATTCTTTCCACTAAATTAAAACTATCACATTTTAAAACCGATTATTTAAAGAAATATTAAGTACTCAAATCATTAAAAAATACTGAGGAGAAATATAGAAAGCTACTGATGCTCACAACTGCAATCCTGTGCTGAGGGAAAACTGCACACAATGAGTGAAACTGCAGAAAAAAGACAGAAGTAATCATTTCATCATTTTACTTAAGTAGGTTATTGTTAATGCTGTAGCAACCTACCAGATAGGGGGAAGGAAGACCATTCCAACAGAAATTTGTATACACAGGCATTTTCGCCGTTTGAGGAAAACATTTTTGGTTCTTTCTCAACATGAAAGAATTAACTTTTTCATAGTATTTACGTAGCGTATTCAGAAACTAAGTACCGTTTCATTCTAGCGCCGTCGCAGCGCTGTGGTAGGCGTCCCGCGCATGCGCACTAGCCTTTTTTGTTCACTGACTTTCAATTGTCGCCATTTTGGTTGCTCTATGTTGTGTTTTCAGTTTGCTGTGCACATTCAAAATGTTTAAGACAATTAGTTCTCCTGCTGACTGCGAGATTCGTACCGTGATTAAATTTTTGAACGCTAGGAATGTTAAACCGGCCGAAATTTATCGTCAAGTGACAGAAGTTTACGGTGAATCCGCAATAAGTGATGGAATGGTGAGAAAGTGGGTAAGAATGTTTAATGCAGGTTGAACAAATGTCCACGCCGAGGCTCGGAGTGGTCGGCCTTCTGTTGTCACCGATGATTTGGTAAGGAAAGTTGATGAAGCAATTCATGAGAACAGACGCTTTACAATGACAACTCTTTCAGAGGCATTTCCACAAATTTCACGTACTGTTTTGTTCGAAATTGTGTCTGACTGCTTGAATTATCGCAAACTGTGTTCCCGATGGGTTCCAAAAATGCTCATGATGTTCACAAAACAAAGCGACTTGGTAGTGCCCTGACATTTCTCACGCAGTACAGTAATGAAAGAGAAAACTTTTTAAACCAAATTGTGACAGGTGATGAAATTTGGGTGTGTCATTTCACACCAGAATCGAAACAACAATCGATGGAGCGGAGACACACTCATTCTCCGAAAAAACAAAAGTTCAAAGTGACAGCGTCATCACAAAAAATCATGTGCACTGTCTTCTGGGATAGGAAAGGCGTTTGCTTACTGAATTTCTTCCCAGAGGTGAAACCATTAATGCGGCACAATATTGTGAGTAACAAAACTAAGGCGTGCCATTCAAAACAAACAAAGAGGAATGCTCAGTAAAGGAATTGTGTTGCTCCATGACAATGCTCGTCCCCATACTGCTGGTGTCACTCAATCGTTAATTCGACAGTTTCATTGGGACCAGTTCGATCACCCGCCATACAGCCTGGACTTGACGCCGTCCGACCATCACTTGTTCCTGCACATGAAGCGCGAGCTTGGTGGCAAGCGCTTTGGATCTGACGATGACACGAAAAATGCTGTGGAGTTGTGGTTATCGAAACTGGTGGGAAGTTTCTTTGACGATGGTATACAAAAACTGGTCACATGCTATGACAAGTGTTTGATCATTGGCGGAAACTATGTTGAAAAATAGTTGAAGACATGTATTTTCATGTAAAAATAAAATTGGATTCGAAAAAATTGTTTTACTATTTTTTTTTCAAAACGGTACTTAGTTTCCGAATACGCCTCGTATATAACTTTATAAATGTTCTATATATTACCCTAACAAACTGAAGTTTATGAATACAAAGAGTAACATAATTGCACAAATCTAGCTAATAAATGCAGAGTAAATACAATTTTTCATGATTGGTTCCAAAATGCCTCACCACTCAGCGGTTAATGAAACATTCAACATGACTATATATCATTTGGGATCAAGCACTTCATGGGCTTACTTACAATTTAGAATCTATTGTATTAAAATCATATTTCTTATGATAACTGCTTTTAATCACTATAAATTTCATGTAAAACAATAGAGGGGAATCAAATGATTTAAAAATATCAAAAAATAAGTAACATTTAAGTGTCAGCTTACTTCAAGTTCTGAAAAAACTTCTTCCAGTGTTGCCTTTAAGTTAATTATCTCTACACTAGATTTCTTCTGAGATTTAGTAGCTGAATCCAAGGCTACATCTAACTGTTTTTGCAACTGAGCATTTTGTTCCCTAAGCATATGCTTATCATCAGCTAATATCATAGCAACCTCTTTTATCCTCTCAAATTCTTCATCACTTTTTTGAACACCCCTTGATAATTTTTCTGCCTAATATTGAAATAAGCACAATGATTAATAATGATACAATGATCAAACATTATTACTTCAAAAATAAACTTTAACATAAAACTCTGGGCTTTAATAAATATTGAAAAATTATTTTGCACATTATTGTCATGGTCAGATATAAGTCTTATGCTACAGGGCATCATAAGAAAACTCAAGTTTTAAATAATCAGATCATAACATTGATATTAAAAAAGATAAAATGTGAAGTTACAGAAAATACTAAACTAAATTTTGAAAAATTATTAATGTAACACTTTGAAGGTCTAACATACCCATATCAACTACTTCCCATAACTCAAAGGATAAATTATGTTTTTTTAAAACAAAATATATACACAAATCTAAAAGAAGTTTAAAAAATCATCTTTCAAATAAGTTTCAGGAAGTCATTAAACTATTAAAAGTGTATGTCTAATAATAACCAATTATGGTTCTTTTTCCGTCCCAGGTAAGTGGTTGCTTAAATATGCCATAATTTTATGGGCTACCATTCTTAAGAGCAAAATTTTTTTATAATGAAAAGTATATTTTGATATCTAAAGTAATTTTGTTTTATTTCCAAGTGAAAGCCCTTTACAGATTTTCAATCAGATGATATGACAATTCTATATTCAAACGAATTTTTTGATAAAATTTCTATCAAGCATATGAAATGCATTGCTTTGATCATGAGTTAGCTATTGACACAAAAAAATCCAATGGATTTCGTCCAAATATCCTTTCCCCATTCCTTTTTACCCAGAAATCACAAACTATTTATTTAATGCCAAGTCCAGTTCTTTTTATTCTTAGTTTAACAGTTGCCAAGCTATTTTAAAGCTTGAAATATTAATAACTCCTTTGATAGGAATACCAATACTGAGGATTTAATGACTCATGATGCCAAAGTATCACATAATTCATTACATCACACTTAACAATACTGTGAAACCTGCCATGAATATAATCCATAGTGGTCAGAAGCACAGAAACATAAATCTGGGCATTAGTCCGATTAGAAATGGCAGCCAGCTGCCATGATATGAAAGTTAATAATATTAGTGACAACATATGTATTATCACAGGCTGTTAAGATTATGCAAACAGTCAATGGAAGAATTTGCTGTTACACAAGGCAACTATACCAAAAATAACAGCAATGTGTAGCTGCAAAATATATCTGGTATAGGTTTTATGTCCTAGTCACTTAAATATTTGGACGTGGTGACGAAGGATGAAACAAGATTCATCATCGAAAATGATGCAATTCCACTATGATCATCAATCTAGCACGTCTCAAGTAACAATCCTACCTCTGCTTCAGTGTTACCAGAAATTTATGAGCTAAAGTAGCAAAAGAAGAATAAAAAAGTAACCATAAGCAACATGCGATGTCAAAGTTCATGCAATTTTTATGTGACGTAAATACGTCTGACAGTTTACATGACCTCTGACCCAATCATAAATTCAAACTCCCTGTGTTCCACAAATTATGGAATATTATTAAATTCTTGGTTGTTTCATTACATATATTAGTTTTGACAGAAATCTTAAATCAATGTTGCTAATTCTCAACCGTTTAAATCCTCATTTCTGCTTTTAATTAATTTTCAGTTAATTTAGGTTTTTAGTTTTAGATAATTTGTTCACATTAACTGTTAGGTGCTTTCTCATGTTTGGATTATTAACAATTTGTACTTATTCTCTTGAGTTTATTTTTATATGTGCTTTACACAATTTTCAAAAAGTCTTTTTTTTTTCTTTCTACTCAATTTTCAAACATGACATTTTTAGGCCAAGCATTTTGAAATTGAGCTCTGAAATGTTTTTTTTTTTTTTTTTTTTTTAATGTTACTCATAATTACCACTTTAACAACAATAATCTGACTTTGGAACCTTGGAGATCACTAAAATATTAAACAAGGTAATCAATCAAACATGTGAAAACACCTGCAAACCAGCCTTGAAAACTTAGTGCATATGCAGTCATAGACCATGATTGCAGGACTGCCAATAGCCAGCTTTTATTTAAACTTAAATAAATAATTACTTTTCAGTTTTAATAAATAATTAGATTAACATATATATATTTTGCGATACATTAAAATTTTTTTAATGTAGCAAAAAGAAGCACAAGGAAATGAGTGAAAACCAGAAAATTTGCAAAACTGCATAGACAAATTTTAATGGCACAAATTCGGCAAAAGTAGCAAAATTTTGAAAAAACTGCATGATCTAACAATGCTGTCTCTGCCAAACAGAGTGGAACTGTGAGAGAAGCTACAAGTTCATCTGCACCTGGTGTAGCAACCTGTACTATGGAAAGCAACAATACTGGAAGATTGACAGCCCACTGTACAATAAAATGATCTTGCCTTGCAAATACATGCAGCTTTGCTGGCATTCATACAAGTGGACACACAAACACAATGCCAAAGGAATGTGGCACAACACCAACACTGAACTGACAGTGTTTATTGGTATAGGAACAACAAAGCACCACAAAAAAACTGGGTTTGACTCTATATTGGACTGGTGCTAATCAAATGCTGGTGCCCTAAAAAGCAATAATCACATCAATTTCTTTCTAATTTGATTATTCCAAATCTTAGTCACGTTGTGCAATGCCCACTGCATAATAGTATCTTTCTACATAGTATTAATAGTATACCTGTGACAACTTTGTGAAGGCGACATATTAATCCTTTTATTTATTATTTTATCATTATCAAAATTACTCCTTTATCGCATTGATTACATGCTAACTATTGCTGGCAGTATAACATTACCAATCTATGTGCATAACTTGTTGCCAGTGCCTTCTTACAACAGCAAATGAATGAGCCGCAGGTTGGACAATAGTTTGTACATAGCAGTATGGGTATTCTCTCACGCCTGATTATGTATATAATTTTCACCTGTGGTAGAACAGCTTCTTGGTTTTTAAAAACAAATAGAACAGCATTCCTGGTTTTAAAAACAAACAGATTTAAAGTCAACAGCAACTTGTATGTTCACATACTGACTCTGCCACCCATTTTACAATACATAGGTTGCATAGTTGCAATATACACAGTGTTCACAATACCTAGCTTTTATTTTTGCAATCACTGGTTGTAGACATATACTTCCAATAATAAAATGTTTTAAATGATACATTTTAATGAATTTAAATGAAATTACAATTTATGTTTGGGAAAATTTTCTAAAATGTATGTTTTGTTTTAAAGAAATCAATTTTATAAAAATTAAAAAGCAATTTTTCAGGAAAATTTTGTATTTGTTATTTAAAAAATATAGTATTTTGACTCCCGTATGAAAAAAACTGAGATATTTAATTTCAATACTACTGATATCTGACATCATTTTGAAGTTGCACCGAGAAATTGGTCATTAAATTAGAGTAATTCGAGGTTTATTTCCCTCCCTTTTAACACATTCAACGACATTCTTTTGTAATTTACTAGCATGTTTATTTATAATTTTGTTATGCTAAAAGAATTTTCACACAAGCAATTTATGCTTCCGAAAATTCTCATCAAATTTTATTACTTTAGAAGAGCATTTCTTAAATCTGTTGGTTGCACCCCCAAATGTGATCACTGAGCCAATTGGAATCATGAAAATTTAATTCAAATACATGAATTTAAAGAAAAATTTAGTCACTATCCCTTCATTATCTTCAATTTATTATATTACATTTTCTGCACTACAAGCTGAGCTGTAAAATTATATTTACATACTGAAAAATACCACTAAGCACCTTATAAACAGTGCCACATTACAATTTCAGCATATAAGAAAATATGATGAGACATTTCTGCAGTTTGGCTTTGCTTTCAACAACTTTGAAGGTAATGAACAACTTTTTTGTTTAATTTGCAATTATGTTTTAGCCACAAAAAAGATGAAGAAATAAAAATTAATAAGGCATCTTGAATCCAAACATCATATGTATGTTAATAAAACAAAAGAATATTTTGAAATACTGTTAAAATCTTCAAATAAAGAGAAAATATATTTTGGGAAATTCATGAAGGCTAGCAAAAAACATTTGCTTGCATTATACCAAGTTTCATATCTGAATGTTAAAAGCATCACTGAAGAAGATCTTGTACTGCCTTGATAACTGATTCCCTTGAAAAATATTTATACCTTTCCAAGGCTGGTAAACAGCCTTGGAAAGACTGTTTACCATCTGATGATAAACAGCAGATGGCTCTGATGACAAGTGGTTATAATGTTTTAGTTATTCAGTGTATATTGATATAGTTATTAACCCATACCTTGAGTACAGCACAATTTTCACTTTCTTCATAACATTTTAAACTTTTTTTTTTAAAAATACAGTTACAGGTTTGTTCATAATTAAAACCAGTAAAAATGAAAGCATTTAACACTATTAATTATTTTACTAATTACTTCCCTATCCCAATCTATTTATATTATTCCATTGTTGCATTTTGAGTGGCCTTTCTTTCTTTGAATGACATATTTTAACAGCATTCATGAGTTACAAAATATTAAGAAGCTTGTTAAGCATGGCAATAATATAAATATACGTATAATTTGAATTATAGAAAATACCTCACAATCCTCTGTCTGGATGATTCTGTTACATGTCTTTGGTAAAATGACAATGGAATATGGTTTGATTGCAGATTCAATATCTAAATGATGTTTTCTCATTTCATCACTAGAATAATTCTGTAACATTTTTATAAACTGTGGTATATTAATATCTAACTTATTTTCCACAGAACTATTTTCAGCACTGTTGCTTTCTGCACTGGAAATGAAATTTGATGGGATAGACTGAACACTGTTGCTTAATTTTCTGATTTGTAACAGTTCATCATTATTAATGGAACTAGTGCTTCCAAAACTTGTGAGTTTATCATCTACAACAATACGTTTTCTCAGTTTTGATACAACAGATAGAAGGGATTCTGAATTACGTCTAGAATTGTCTACACCTGAATTAACAGTATAACTTTGACTTCTTTGAACATTTTCAGTTGGTGGCAAATCAGAAAGTTTTGATGAAACAGGGCTGTATTCCTTTGCATCTGGATTGAGGTAAGAACTTCCAGAGGTAACAGATTTGTTTTCATCTTCTTCAAAAGTCTCAATAATGTTTGAACTATAAAAGGTTTCATCATTAAAACTTAAAGAATTTCGGCATTTATTGTATGCTGCTACAACATCTGCAGCAACACATACATATGTATTCCCAACATATGCAAAGCGTATGTTATTTTTCAGAAATTCTCCAATGCCACCACAATCAGCTATCATTATGTTTGCCTCTGTAGGAAAATTTTTCAGTTCATCTACTAAAATAGGATCATCAATTCGAAGAGGTCCTCTTAAAGTTAAAAGTTCTTCCAAATATCTAAAAGAAAAGAAATAAAAGTTTTATTATGCATTATAACAGATATCTTCTTATACATTTCCAGAGTAAAACTAAAATTTACAAAACAAAAAAAAAAAAAAATAAAACTGGGGGGGGGGAGAAAGAAATCTGAAAGGTTTCAAATTGAAATTACGTCCAAAGGGCATTTTTTTAACATTTTGTGCATTACCTTTATTTACTAAACATCATGTTCTTCACACTTACACCATTAAATTCAGTTCATGAGCAATATTGCAAAAAAATTTTAATTTGAGCATATCTTTAGAATTTCCAATACACAGTCTCACACGCTAGAGATATCAAAATGTTTTTTCTATACAACATTGCCATTGTAGGTTTGGAAATCCTTGTGCTTGTTATAGTCAAGAATTTGTTACAATTTTACAAAGTATGAAATCGATAATAAAACAAATTCTAAATTTCAGCTTCCAGATGCCCATATTCGCAGTAGGATTATATCATTTCAAAATTTAATGGCTCTAGGTATCGTTGTTTTATCACAATGCGAGAAACATACATAAATTTACGCAGATTCTTCATTATTTAATTTCTTAAAATATAATACAGGGCGATAGTATTTGGTGGCAACAGACTGAACAGTGAAACGGACATTCAGAGCGATTCGATGCAAAATCGCAATACAAAAACAATAGTCCCTCAGGTCACAAAACCCCTTTGGACTAAAAACTCAAGAATGCTTAATACAGCTTATATGAAAAAATACACATTTATAAAAAGGACCTGGAATTTTGATTCATTTCAAGACAAATTGGACATATCAACATTCATGGCACAGAATCACTAGAACAGTGATTCTCAAAGGGGATGCACTGTCCAGAGAAATTTGTGCCAGATATAAAAATAAATATAGTTACTTTATTATATCATTTCATTATGGATATATATGGTTCTTTTTGTCAACCTGTCATTATAATGTTAATTAACATGGTTTTTCTTGCAAAGAGCAGCCTGTTTAGTTTATACCATGCTTCATTGTGATGCTGGATCAGATGACATGAGAACAGCAGAATTTTAGGATGTGGAAATTTATTTAATGACGACATGGAATTATGACATAAAATCACATACATTTGCTTTATGGAAGGAACATCATGTGGCTTTTTAATAGCCTTTTAATTTCATAATAGTACCTCATTTACTCAAGTCATACTTAAAGATAAGCTTAATAATGTACATGCTCGTATAAGTATTAACAATAAGAATATCTTAAATCGAAACATTTCTTCTCTCACTACCAGAAAACACTCTCAACTCAGATCAAGGAAAAAGAATAGATCAGCATTTTGCCAATAAAAGAGAATGACATCATGATCATGTAACAGAAAAATACACCAAACTAAAAATGGATAAATTACTTAAAAAGAAGCATGACATTGAAGAATCTGAGTCTGGAAGTGAACAGAAGTTATTCAAGCTTTGGTTCTTGGACCCAAAATGAAGATCATATACTGCCACTATGTTTAGTATATGGATGTAAAAGAGCATATGAATAATTTTTTCTAGTAAATTGAGTGAACATTTTTAAAACTATATACTTTAATTTACAAGATAAATCAAAGTTTTTCAAGAGATTGTCTGAATAGCAAACAAAAGCAGCAAATTCTTTTAGAAGCATAATAACTGCTTCTGATAAATCTCTAATTGTTTCTTATCAAATATCAGAACAAATAGGGGAAAAAAAAAGTAAGCTCATCATACGTGAGTCAGTTTGCCTGCATGTAAAAAAATGGTCATGACAATGCTAGGAAATGAAGCAGCAATAAAAATAATCAAGATTTTTTCTGCCTAACGATACAGTTTACAGGAGTATTGTAGAAATGTCTTCTGATATCGAGAAAAATGTATATACTAATATACTGTAGTATTCATATTTTGTATGGTAAGTTGACGAGACATTACCTACATGGTGACACTCTTATTCATCCATTTTATTAATGAAGGTCAAATGGGAAATCAGTTCCTTTTTTGCAAAGTTATGGGAGTCTGCAAAAGGCGAGCACTTTGCTGTTAAAGGCCTTACATTTTTATTTATTTTTAAAAGAATGTTAACATAACTGATTACTTACTTCAACTTTGATGGCAACAACACAGAGAGAAAACTAAAAGATGTTTTAGATCAGATAGTTCCGATGTTAATCTTTACTAAAATAACATCTGTTAAACTATTTATTCAAAAACTTCACATCAATATGGATTCACAACACAGTCACCACGTTTACACATTAGGGTGAGGAAAGGCAGCTGTGAAAGGAGTACTTTCCTGTGTACACAAGTTATGACAAGAACTTTCTCCCCCCTTTTTTTGACGAGATGAAACAATTAAATTTTTGTAACCTCCTTCAGTGCGAATTTTGGATTTCCAAGTTACACTATTAACCTGATTTATTTCAGCAGCTCAATATTTTGAATATTAGCATTCAAAGGTCTCATGTCTACTGACAAAATGAAAGCATTTTAAAGAAAGCAATAGAATTAGAAAAGAAAAGCTAATGTAAGTAATTTGGAAGTGTCCATTAGTAATCTCTACATATAATAAAAGAAAGAGTCTGTCTGTGTGTCTTTCATTCGCGTTGCGCATAAGCTAATAGACCCACGGCTACGAAATTTGGTACATACATAGGTGCATCTAGACAAAAGCCAGTGCACCTCAAAGCGATTTTTTCGAAGTTCGAATTAGAATTTTTAAAATTTTATGTTTTGTGACGAAATCGCATCATTTTGAGACACAATGGGCTATAGGAAAGCGAGATTTTACTCTACACACTCCATTTTCACATCATCATGAAACGTAGGCACTTAGCTATTTTACGAACTTATATAAATTTCGCGTTTCAATAAATCCATTAAATACGAATTTATTTAACAAAGGGAGCTTAACACCTTTTCAACGGCATTTTTTTAAAAAAAGTTTATTTTAAAAAATGTACAGTTTATTTTTCTTTGATTTTTGGACACCTTAAACTTTCATCCTTGCGACTGCTTTTGCAAAAAGAATTTTGAAAAAATGATAATATTTTGTATTTTTAAAGATTTTTTTAAATGAAGTTTCCGAGTACACTTCTCACATCTTTAAAAATATGATTTTGGCAACAATTTTCTTTTCTTATTGTTGATAGATTTTTGATGAAATCTCATTATTTTGAATAGTTTCATTCTTTTAGAAATATGGGTTTGGCAACAATTTTTCATCTTATTTCTTATGTCAATGTTTTAAAGAGATTGGCATATTTCATTGTCATTTTTTTATATATATAATACATTTTATTTATTTATTTATTTTATTTTTTACTTTTTTGATAAAGTTGTTCTGCAGAGTAAAATTCTGCGTGGAATTTTTTGTTTTGAGTTTCTTCCATGTTATTTTTTGCTTATTTCACTATTTGTAAGATTTTGAAAAGTTTTGCTGATTTTTTTTCTTCAACAGAAAGTTGGTTAATTTTTTTTTATTAGGATAATTAATATTTGTATTAAGGGATATAGCTTATTTCATTGTAATTTTTTCCCCTTGAAAATATAAGATAAATTATCATCAATTATACTTTGCTTTTCAGAATTTTTTGTTTTTTGTATTCTTTTATGTTATTTATTGCTCCTTTCACCGTTTTGGAGATATTTAAAAGTTTTGAGTGATTTTTTTACGAAACGAAGTTTTTAATCCCCTTTATACTATTTGAGTTCTTAAGATTTTGCAAAGGGAAGTTGGTTAATTTATTTATTAGGATAATTAATATTTGTATTAAGGAATATTGCTTATTTTATTGTAATTTTGTTATACGTAATAACTTTGTTTTTATGAAGTTGTTCTGCAGAGTAAAATTCTATGCAGTTTTTAAATTTAACGTTTGGTGTTCCCTTCAGCCATTTTTTTTTCGTACCTTTAAAAGTCAGACGAAGGCTGGCAGGGAAGCTGCTAGTACTTACATAAATGAAACACAATAACAGTTGGAAATTTAAAAGAAAAACTGAATTCTTATTTTCCATCACTTAACACTAAACAATATGATTGGATATTGGATCAGATATCCATTCGTGGGAACTTCAAATGATTTTGGTTCATGATTTAACAGAAGAAGACGAACTGGTAGCTACGGTTTATTAAAAATGGTCAACATAAAGCAAAAACAAATTTTGGCTTCTGAGGATTGTTCCCCCCCCCCCTAAAAAGTCTAAAATGGGCTATTTCTTTACGAGTGAAAAAACTATTGAAAACAGAAGTAAGTATCAGAGATTCTTAAAAATAGTATGATGGTTTTGTAATTCTGTAATTAAATAAACCCTAATACTGTTAGTTGTCACCTAGTGTTTTCCAAATTTCAATCAGAGGACATTAATAATTTAAAAATAATGAATTCAATAAAATGAGGATTTAACAATTATGCATATAATTAAATGATACGAAGTTTAAAAGAGAAATATTATTAAGACAAATGTATTCAAAATAATATTCACACTGAAGATATGTTCAAATGTTAACCATTTCTACTTATGACAGTAAGACAATCACGGACTAAATAAAAAAGTATTATCAGAAATGACTTGCTCCTATTAGTTTGAATAAATGAGGCTTTGCAGCATAAATTTCCTTATTTTAAGCATATTTTTTTATTTAGAAATACTTCACATCACCAAAACCAATTCGCTAGTAATATAAAAATTATTACCTCATTACTCATAAAACTTTCATGAACAGAAAAATATACAACCATTACCTACCCAATATTTCATTTTTTAAGTCATCCCCAAGAAAGATTCACTATTTTTGCCCCCTTTTTTTTACAGAAAGATTCACTATTTTTGCCCCCTTTTTTTTACAAAGTACGCCTATTATATACTTGAGTATTTACTACAAATTGTAATTGGAATGATGTAAAGTTTCTAAAAATTAAATATTATGCAATATTGACTTACGAGTATACATTACTCTTGATACTTTCCAATTCAGTAGGACCACCATGTGAACCAAGCAGGTCGGAAGTATTAATTTCATTTCCTTCATTACTATCATGGGAAAAAAAAGATATACAGAGCAAGTATCTCTTCAAAATATGAAATAAATTATGATTTGATTTGCTTGAATAATAACATACATGGAAAGAAATGCACAAAAATGAAATAGCAAATAATAAATACGGAAAACATGAACTCCTTAACTATAAACTGTATCTCATAGTAATAAAGTTCATTACTTGAAATAACCAGAAAATAATAAAAACTATCTTCATATTTACATACATGATAAGTAATAACTCAGTTCCATTCACAGAAAGGTATTTAATACTAAAAAGCGAGCTATCAGATAAAAGTTTCTACATACAATTTAGATTTCATTTAGTTATTTACAATAATTCTTTCACACAGTTAAGCTACTTTATCCAAGTTTAATACAACATGTTTTTTTCTTCTTCTTCTACTTCTTTTTTTTTTTTAATTGTACAAAAAACTAACTATCCTTCTGAAGTTACAGAAGAAATATCCTTTAAGGTTACTCTTAAGACAACATGAATGTAAAATTAGTACAAAAACAAATAATACACTTAATTACAGAAATCGATACTATTTACATGCGTTTGAAAATATATATAAGTACGAGGGTTGGAACTTTAATAGTGGCAACTATTTATTTACAAGGGATACAGAAGTGATTCATGTCACCATGTTTTACAGTCCTTCAATATAGTCGCCAGCATTGTGTACAACCCGTTTCCTACGATGTGGAAGTCGCAGAATACCTGTAGCAGCGCCTGTTTTGTTGATAGTTTGAATGGACCGATCTACTGCCGCAAGAATCTCAGGAACAGTTTGGAAGCGAGTGCCACGAAGTGGTTCCTTCATCTTAGGAATTAAGTCATAGTCACAAGGGCTTAGATCTGGGGAGTATGGTGGATGATAAAGCACTTCCCAGCCCCATCGCTTGAACAAATCAGTCACAGCTTACGCTGCATGCGGTCGAGCATTGTCATGCAAAATGAGAGGAGTGTTCTGCAGAAAGTGTCGCCGTTTTTTTCTCAAAGCTGGTCGGAGATTGTGCTCCAAAAATGAGCAGTAATACTGCGCAGTGACGGTCTGCTGTGGGAAAACGGTATGCGTTAGGATGACACCATCACAGTCGTACACGAGAATCACCATAACATTCACATTGCTGGGGTTCTGAAGAAATTTCAAACGCCGTGGTGACGCCATTCGTTTGATTGGCGTTTCAGTTCTGGCTGGTACGATTGGGCCCAAGTCTCATCCAGCGTAATGATATGGCGTAAAAAAGCATCTCCTTCGCGCTCATAGCGCTCCAGGTGGGTTCGGGCAGCATCGTATCATAGCCATTTCTACATTTCCGTCAATTGATGTGGAACCCATCGTGAAGCAATTTTTCTCATGGACAGGCGTTCCTTCAGAATGTGCAGCACAGTCATATGTGCTAATCGTGTTTGTCCGGCCAGCTGACGAATCGTTTGGTGACGATTACTGTCCATTAGTGCGGCAACAGGTTGCACGTCTGCATCGCTGACACTCGGACGACCTGGCGCAGCATGTCTGCCACCTTTTGGCGTCCTTCACTGAATGCTTTCACCCATCTTGCAACGGTTCTGTAAGGCAATGCAGATTCCCCGCAAGCCTCTTGAAGCCCTTGATGACACTGTCGTGCTGTACGACCTCTGGCACATTCAATTTTTAAACATCGTTGTTCTTGTTTTAAAAACATCCTGACAACACTTACTTTAGACCGCGAGCTAATACAAGAATCTGTTCTTCGCGTCACTCTGCATGCGCGTGACGTAGGCAGGACGAGTCTTTTTGCTGAGAGGTAAGGTAGGTATGTAGTTCACACGTGGTATACGTGATATTCTTTGGTTTTGTTGCATAGCGTTTTTTTTCAGCTGTGTTGCCACTATTAAAGTTCCAACCCTCGTATATATAAAGAACTATTTAAAAAAAATCACACAATAAATGAAAAAAGACAAGAATTTTCTTAAAAGTAATTCAAAAGGAACTTTTACAGGGAATATATCTATCCCTCACATGAATGCAAGCCTGACAATTCTCTATGTAGTCAATTAAGGTAATAGTTCATTCCTTAAATCCTACTGCAGTTCATTCAATGATTTTGGATAACACGGTTGCTATTTCTTCTTAACCAGAGAAAGAGCTGTCCCATTAAGCAGTGGTCTCAAAACTTAAATTGCTCACAGGCTGCATGCACAATCCGAAAACAACTGATGGGCCAGAATCTTATTTGAACAAAATTTAAAATATATCAATAAATTTAAAATTTTGCTCAAATCATACACAAATAATAATAATAATATTGTAGAGCGAAAAAATTTCAACATATGCTTATTTTCTACCTGAAATCTGAAGTCGGTACCTTCAAATAATTTTTCTTTGGTTACACTTTGTAATACAAATATACTGACAGCTAAATCTTACATTTTTCAGACTGACGCTTATTTAAAATAACTCCAACATGTTTAATTACTCATTAACTTAAATAATCATTGAAATGAAAGAAATTATAAAAGATTTTTTAACTTTTCAGCGAAAATTTTAAAAGTAGGACAAAATTGAGAATAAATAACAACTTGTGTCTCATTCTCATATTTATTATACTTTTTTTTCACACGTAAATAAAAATACATATGTAATAAATTATAAATGTCTCTTATTTCTTACGACAGCTTGACACTTGATAGTATTTTGATTTTGACAAAGTTTGTAGCCTTGGAGAGAAATTACTATTATCACAGACTGTAGATGGTCATCGATCAATCATTTTTTTAAAAATTAATTTTCAACAGCAAAGAAAAGCTCTTCACATATAAAGGTACTCCCAAACAAAGAAATTATTCTAATTGCAAAAATTCATATCAGAACTCACTTATTTTTGGACAAGTACAAATATATTAATAAAACCTAATAAAATCTGTATCTTCAAATTTATGGAACAAGATTTTTATCACACTGTAAATGAATCAGCTCAAGTTATTGATTAGATTTACTGATGCATAATTCACATTAGTTTTTAATGGTAATGGGAAAATAATGTAAATTTGGACTTCGAATAATTCAGATCTTGAAATCTTTGTTATACTGTATTCATAATTGAAATGTCTTTGCAGGTCACATAAAATTGCTTCAGGGATTGCAATGTGGCCTGTGGGTGGTTAGTTTGAGACCACTGCCATAACACTTCAAATGAATTCATCAGTTACTCAAGCTGGCCAGTGTACTTTCCAAATACCCTGATCCTTAGGATGTGGGCTAACTGTAACTTTCTAGGAAAACGGCAGATGATTTATCATGCATTGTGAAAAATTTTGCCATCTTACAGCATTCAGAAATCCACCAACAAAACAGATTATTATGAGTAATCAGATTCCTATCTAAACTAAGTTACAGATCCCCTTGCAAGTGTCCTTCGCAAGAATGCTAAACTAAGTTGTTTCATTATGAGGTTCCTTCCACCATCACACAGCTCTAATAATTCTAACACCTTTATGTAGAGCACTTGGATTCATTAGTGAGCATTACTAAACTCCTCTATTACCTGCTCCATATAGCATGTATTCAATTAAAGTATTTGAATTACTCTGCATAAATGTATTAGGGAAAACATCAAATGAAAAAACTTCCATTAATACTTCTCTCATTTGAAGCTTTTTTCGTACAGCTGAAGCAGATATACATCCTCCTGTTGCTAACAGTACACTGAATTGTATTTATAGTTCTACATCTGGCTAAAAAAGGCAGCTATTAACAGAAGTTGATATCAGTAGGTAATTTGGAACTGCTCGTTTTGAAATCAGTACTCAACACAAAAAGAATTTCATAAAAATAAAATAAAATAAAAGATTTTCTGTAATTTTTAACCATTTTGGCCCTTTAGCCCATGGCAGATGTATTTCTGCCTACCAACTGATTGCCTTCTTTTAATGAAATTTCTCTGAAATACATCATACAATATTTCAGGCACAAATTTTCAAAGTTTTGGTTCCAAATAATTAATTTTAGGCTAAAATCATATTAAAATCAAATAAAATATGGCCCATATGCATCTTAACTGACTTTTTCAGAGAGATTTCATAAAGTGAAACATTGCAGAAAGAAGTAAGTGGAACACCAGAAATTCAACAAATGTTTTCACAGGTATAGTTCCACTGCACTATCCAATCCTGATCCAAATTTGATAGAACTCATGCCAGGAGACAAATGTGAGAGTCTCCCACCCCTCTTCTCTTACCATCTAATTAATATTTGAGAGTACTTTTAAGTATCCTCTTACCACACAGACACTATACTCATAGAAAAATTCATATCTTTTCCAGCATCGCTAACCCCGATACCATTCAGGGTAACAAAAATTTAAAACAAATCTACATTAGTAACACCCCGCCAAAAAAAAAAAAAAAAAAAAAGCGGTACAAAACAAATCCGTTCATAGCTGCATAACTAAATATCTTTTTTTTAAAATTAAATCTGTATACGAATATAGCTAATTAAATTGATTGCAAACTCAAATTTGGCCTACTAATGATAAAGCAACCTAAAAATTGAGAAGGGGGGATATATTTATAATTGAATTATAATACAAGTAACAAATGATTAAATGAATAGCATTCTTTCTTTTAAAAGGAAATTTTAACATGCGAACTCATGAAAATATACTTACATATTACCATCTGACCATCGACTTGGAAAAAAAAGCTGAGAACATTTTTGTGGAAAGCTAGTTCTCTTCTCGAAATTATAACTATAATGAAATTTAAAATACTCTTAGAACAAAATCTAATGGTATAAATGAAACAATTTTCATTAGATAATATTTTCTGCTTTGAATTAAACTATTAACTATATAGCGATGAAAAAACTACTCTTAGAACATAATCTAATGGTATAAATGAAACAATTTTCATTAAATAATATTTTCTGCTTTGATTTAAACTATTAACTATATAGCGATGAAAAAAAAAATATAATCACAGAATATCAGACATTAACAAAAAGCAAAAGCTACTAATATTACAGGTATAAATATTTAAGTCCTCCATATCTCCTGCAGAATGTTAAAACACTTTGCTTTAACAAGAAAAAGCATTGAGAAAGTTTATTTTTATTGAATAACTTTACATGATATTTTATAAAGCCTAGAATTGACTGTTGGGACAAACTACTGCTAAAAAAGTGTGATTTTTTTGGCGCAAAACCAAAAATGATTATTATGCGCCAAACGCGAGGTCGATGAAATCATGAATAAAGGATGTTTTGAAATTGCTTACCAAATCCAGAGGATGAAGTCATATAAACACAAGTTAAAAGCACACATTAAAATACAATACACAATCTTCAAACCAGATTATATTAGATAATAAAAGCCAGTCTCTTTTAAATAATATAAAATAAATTACAATTGACCTCTCTTCCGATTAAACGGTCAAGAGGTAAGTCACAGCTATTAAAATATTTCTGACGAAGATTATTAAAACCTGGACACTCAACTAAAATATGACGGACAGATACACAAACATTACAATTTAAACAAATAGGCTGATTTTCAGCTTTTAGAAGATAGTTATGTGTCACTGTAGTGTGACCAATACTGAGGCGAGCCAAAAGAACTTTTTCCTTTCGATTTCTACTAAAATCTCAACACACTATTCTAGGCTTGTTGTCAACCTGAACATTCCAAATTTGCTGCCACTTCTTCCGGATCTTTTCTTTGATCACATAACAGATATCTCTGAAAGGGATGAGGCGACTCGATGGTTCAAAAGCAGATTTCACAGTGACATCCGCCAGCTCATTTCCCTTTATTCCTGCATGTCTGGGAACCCAGCAGTACAGGATTTCATATCCACGACTCGTCAAGTTTATATGTATTTCCAGAACATCCACTATTACAGAGTTTTGAGTATCAGAAAAAGCTTCTAACGCTTTTAGCGCACTATACGAGTCTGTATACAATATGAATTTCTTGTGGCACAGCTTTGAGATGTACAAAAGACCATAATAGATTGCAGTTAGTTCAGAAGTTAAGACTGAGAAACCATTGTGCAAACGTCTGCCCTCTATGGTGATCTTGAAATACAAACACCATCCCAACATAATCATTTGACTTGGATCCATCTGTATATATCAGATAATAACTGCTATATTTGTGCCTGTGCTCAGCAAAGAGTTGTCTGTATATGATCTCGTTAGTGCTTGCCTTCATGTAATGCTTGAAAACATCAAGAAGCTGAATCCGTGCATTTTCCCAAGGTGGGATTTTAAAATTCTGCACTGCTTGGGGGCGCATATCAGAGAGGGAAAGTTCCTCAATGACAGGCCGAACTCTTAAAGGAAAGGTAGGCACACAGGATGGACGTGTTACACACATTATCAAGTAAGCACAGCTTATTGGGATGCTCAGGTCGAGATATAATATTAAAATATTGCAAAAGGATCAACAAACATACAGGCTCTGGACAGGAGAAGTTCTGAAAGCTCCTGAACAAATTCACAGGATCTAGTTTTAACAATACTGGTGACCGAGTGGATCTGTAAACAACTGAGCCATAGTCCAGTTTAGAGCGGACAAGCACTCTGTAAATGTGAAGCATAGAGCAACGCTCTACACCCCAGGAGGTGTTCACCAACACTTTTAAAATATTTAGAGTTTTTAAACACTTCTTTCTCAGGTTTAAAACATGAGAAAAGAAAATCAACTTTCAGTCAAACATCACCCCTAAAAATTTTACTTCAGGCGCAACTGGAATAATTGTACCCTTCAGATATAACTCAGGCTCAGGATGGAGACCTCGCTTCCTACAAAAGTGCACGCACAGTTTTCTGTTTCAAAAATGTAAATCCCTGTTTGTCTGACCATTCTTGGATCTTATTCAGAGCCATCTGCAATTGCCTCTCTATGTATCTCATGTCTGCCCCTCGACAGCTAATCTGTAGATCATCAACATAAAGAGATCCCAAGATGGTGGGAGGAAGTTCTTTTAATACAGAGTTTATTTTTAAACTGAACAGGGTTACACTAAGCACAGTGCCTTGAGGCACACCCTCTTCCCGTTCAAAAACATCCAATGATACACAGCCAATCCTTACTTGAAAAGTTCTAGTGTTCGAAATTCTGAATGAAAATTGGTAGGTTGCTGCGCAAGCCACTCTCGTGAAGATCCCGAAGTATACCATATCTCCATGCCTTATCATAAGCTTTCTCAATGTCAAAGAATACCGAGACAAGGTGACTTCTTCTTACAAAAGCTTTTCGAATGGATGTCTCTAAGAGGAGCATGCTATCTACGGTTGTTCTCCTCTTTCGAAAACCACTTTGCTAAGGCGATATAATATTATTCTTTTCCAAGAAGTAGACTAGGTGGCTGTTTATCATTTTTTCAAACAGCTTGCTTAGGCAACTCGTAAGGGCAATTGGCTGATAGTTGGAGGGATTCCTTGGATCTTTCCCCGGCTTAGCAATAGGAATTACAATAGCTTTCCTCCAGGCACTGGGAAAAGTACACTCCTTCCACACTCTATAGTAAAGAGTGAGAAGGGAATTCAGTGACTTATAGGACAGATGCTTTAGCATTTCGTAATTCACGCCGTCGAGACCCGGAGAAGACCAATGTGTTTGTAACGAAGCTTTCCTTAATTCATTCATAGTAAAGTCTCTATTATAAGACTCAGATATGGTAGAGTTGAATGCAATGGGATACATTTCAGAGCGCTGCTTGATAGAGAGAAATGCAGGTGAATAGTTTCTGCTGGAAGAAACGGCAGCATATGTCTCACCAATAGTATTCGCAATTTCTTCTATAGAGCTAATCACTTGGCCATCTTTTCCAAAAAGGAAAGCGAGTGGTCTTTATATATTCCACATGTTTCCCTAACTCTCTCCCAAACTCGCTTACTAGGCATAGAGGATATTATTGATGACACATATGAAATCCAGGAATCCCTCTGGCTCTTCCTTCTTACTTTTTGTGCCTTTGCTTTGGCTTTTTTAAATGCCATAAGGTTTCACAGAGTAGGGTATCTACGAAAAATACCCCATGCTTTTTTCTGTTTTTTCAGTGCCTCATGACAGTCACAATTCCACCATGGTTTCGAATATTTTATTATTTTTCCTGATTTTCGAGGAATGAAGGGCATAGCTGTCTGAGTAATAGCAGTTGTAACTGCTTCCACTGCATCATCGATAAGCACATTTTCTACCATTTTCTGTGTGAGCTCTGCAGAGGAAGAGAAGAGTTCCCAGTCTGCCCTATCCAGCATGAACTGAGGGAGTCTCGACATGGGGTTCGCTCCTCTTCGTGCAAGAGATAAAAGAATGGGATAATGATCGCTATTGTACAGATCACTTCCAACACTAAAATTGCAAAATGGCAATAGAGATGGTGAACAGATGGCTAGATCAAGAGCGTGGAATGTCCTTGTAGGTTCATGGAAGTAAGTGTCCTGCCATTATTCAGGAGACAGTCTTCAATTACCTGCTCAATTTGTCTTCCTTGTGAATTGGTGTTTTTGCTTCCCCACAACGGACTATGGTCCTTAAAATCACCCATTATGATAAAAGGCTCAGGCAGCTGAGCCACAAGGTCATTTAAATCCCACAGATCAATGTGTTCATTAGGAGGCAAATAAAAGAGAAATGACTGAAACTACAATATGAAAATTTACTTGTACAGCGACAACTTGAAGAGATGTTGTCAAAGGAAAGGAACTTGAGGAATAGTCCAGTGAGGTGACATCCACTGGCATGCTCACCTGCAAGGTTATCCTTCCTAACGAGAGAAAACCTCCAAAGTTTTGCATGTTGATCTGGTTTCAGATTTGTCTCTTGTATTGCCAAGCACACAGAATGATAAGCATTGATCATAGCTTTGATGTCAAGGAAATTTCGGTGGAAACAACGACAGTTTCATGAGACGAGGGTGGCCATTATAATTGATGTTTGTTCTTTCTGTGTTGCTTTTTAGTTTTCCGCAGAAGCAGATATTCGGGAACTTCCAATCTCTCCTCCACTTCCATACTATCTGAATCTAGAGATTCAGAAATCATTCCATCTACAGAACTATTGCTGGGGTTTCTATTTTTGGTTACTATTTTTGGAGGCACAGTTTTGGGTTTGCTCTGGATTGCTATTTCTTTACTTTGTATGACATGTGTTGGGTTTTCCTTTTTCTTGCTTGCAGGCTGCTGGGATTTATTTGGTGGAGTCTGTGTACTGATTGAAGTTTGGGTGGTTATAGTACGTGTTGATTTGACGATACTGGCATATGATTTGTTTGATTGAGGCTGTGTGCTTTGAACTAGTCTCCTGGCTTTGGCATATGAAATGTTCCTAGAAACTTTTATAGTCTGGACTTCCTTTTCTGATTTCCATTTCGGACAGAAACAAGAAAATGCTGGATGATCACCCTTGCAATTTATACACAATGCGGCAGCTGTGCAATTATCGCTATCATGACCAACTGACGAGCATTGAGCACATGTCAGGTGGCCACGACATGACATCTTGGAATGGCCATAACGCTGGCATTTGAAGCATCGCATAGGGGCTGGAATGTATGGTCGTACAGGACAATTGAGATATCCAGCCTTAATATTCTTAGGCAAATCAGGTGATTTGAAGGTCAGGATCACATGTTTCGTGTCAATCACTGACCTTCCTTACGCATCTTGATCCGCCTGGCAGCACTGATATTTTGATCGGCTAGCTCGGAAACGAACTCTTCTTCAGAAACAGACAGAAGGTCGACTTCCGAGATTACACCTCTACAAATCTTAAGTGTTTTATATGCTGATACTGTTATATCAATTTGTCCTAGCTTGGCTAGTCGTAGGAGGGAGGCAGACTGTATAGCCAAAATTGTATCGATAAGCAAATCTCAAGATTGGAGATGCTTTATGTTTATTGGCTCACCAATGGAAGAATGAACATACTTCTGAATTACAAATAGAGATAGATTTTGAATTTCACCAGAAGGACTTGAGACTACAACGAAACGGGGGCAATTGTTAGGGCCATTTGCATTTGCATCGGTATGTACTTTTTTAGCAGTAGGTTTTTCAGAATTGGTGCTTGTAGTGACAGGACTGACTGCAAAGTCTTTGATTAAAAATATGTGTGAATTAGCCATATTTGAAAGAGAATAGATTCGGGTCCGATGGCCCCACCCACCTCGGAGCCCAACAAGGGAACACAGATTCCTGTGTTAGGGGTAGCTGGACCTATACACAAACTGAAGCCCCACAGTCGGCTTTCCCGAAAGCAGTACTCCCGAGAGCTTATCCCCAAGCCACTGACACAAGGATTAGTGACCAGCCGATTGACACCTGTGAGGACAACTGAGGTGCCTCCCGTTTAGCTGAAGCAGAGGCCAAAGCAGTATGTTGGGGACAGTACCTCGCCCCTCAACTACCAGGACCCTCCTTTCAGCGACACGGGTCTCCAGGCACGGCAAACATGTGGGCAGTTTTCCCATAGCTCGAAAATTAGATACAAGGGTTGTTCCAGTTTCTCGTGATGAGCCCTAAACTCCGAAGAGGAAAACCACAAGGGAGAATGGAAGGAAAAAAGTATCAGGTCAGAGGAGAGGAGACGGAAAAGTGGATAGATCACTGGGGCTCCAGGATTGTGACACCCGTCTCACCAAGAAGATGATCCCCTGAAGGGCTAGGGTACCTCGGGATTGACACACCCATACTCACAAAAGTGAGCCCCTGAGGGGGGTAATGGGTGAAGATACTGTTTTATACTAGGAAATAATAACATGCAACTAATCAGCCAAAAAATATGTAGACCATAATAGGATCACTGCTGATCTGAAATTAAAAACTATCTTTGGCTATGTATCTTGAACAATAAACTTGCTCACATAAATTTTCTACATTTAGATTTTTCTAAGGCTCTTGATTAAATTAAGTTTGAGAATTCCTTTTTTACATTTTGTCCATAAAAGGATTATAATAAGAGAAATGAATGCAGCATTTTCTATTTTAAAAACAGAGGATATAAAAATTAAATAGGAAGACTAAAATTGTTACCAGTACCTGACATTTTCATAAAAGTCATCAATACTTAATGTACTGCTTTTAAACTTCTTTGGTTCTTTAACTTTTGAAGGAGTTCTGTGACTATTTTCCTAAAAAGGATTCATTTTCCAAATTATTTTCACCCATCATTAATCGTACTACTGAATAACATGATAATATAATTTTTAAGTTAAAGAAGAAATGTAATTTAAATTAGCAACATCTAACAAAAACAAAAAATATCTAAATTTAAAACAAGACACTGATTTATCATAAATAAAAACTTACTGGTAATAAAACAGTTGTAACATATGTTCTTGCATAAAGCAGCAGTTTTAATATTAAGCAAATTGTACCAGAAACAAATAAGCAAAAAATTCTGCATTGCATGCTCTTTCTCTTCATCATATTTTTAGCATTAAATGATGCTATTTGTAAGCATTTAGCTGTTCATTAGATCAACTAACATAAATAGTCTTTGTTCAGTTTATGATGAAGGATATTATATTAACACCCTTCAAACTTATTTTTAAAATTTCTATTTCAAAATATATGACATCATAATCTACTTTCACTTATTCTTCCACAGCTGCAATATTTTTAGGCATCATCAAGGTTGCCAGGTGCTTTCATTAGAAGTATCACAAAAAGAAACTTTATTACTCTATATTTATTACTCCATGAATGAGATTAAAACTGTTACATGGCAAGGCATTTAAAATAGGAAAGGGGTTGTGTGTAAGTGTTTAAAGCTAATTTATGATACAAAAAAGTTTAGAAGTAACTCCAGATTTCCTGAACATCCCATATAACAAATAACATACATTTTCAATACAACATAATATTACTATCTGCTCTTTATGCAATGAATTTTTCAGTGAAGCAAAATGTTAAGACAATATACATATGGTACAGTCTTACTTGAAACATTAGATTCATTCACAGACTTTTAATGCACATTAATACATAAGATATATGTAAAACAAATACAAATATAAAGTAGAATTTAAATTAGCAATAGCCACTTAATACTTGCTTTTAATTTGTTTATTTCCCTTCTCTATTCTAAAAATAGTAATCTTTTTCAGCACTGGATCATTTTGAGACTAATCCATGTCATAAGACTCTTACACAATACTGATGATATAAATGGAATTAAAAACTCAAACAGCCAATAATAATTTTACAACAGTATTAATTATTTCAATCAAATGCATCGAGAATTGAAACTGCCTCATTTTGAATTAATATTCCATCCTGAACACACTTTTTTTTGCACTTTGGCCTAGATAGACTGCTGTTTCTCTTTTTTTCGAAAAGCTACTCAAAATGTCCAAAATACAAACATTTTGAAATAGGCACAAATTATGGGGCCCAGTTGTTTATGGCTGGAACATGTTTATTGAAATAAAGATGAATATTTAATCTGCCTTGGCTGTCAAGTTGCTCTTGATTATGGATCAATACAGGGTTCGTAGCCACATTTTAGTTAAAAAAATAAGCACCTATAAGCACTTTTCAAGCACATTTTAGGGAAAAAATAAGCATCTGTCTAATTACATTATACAGAACTGCATAACCTTAAAAGAAAAATTAAACTTGTAATTTAAAATACGAGCAATGCAATATTTATTAAGAGAATGAGCATTATGTCAACCATGGAAAACAAATATATATTTTTTTTTTAAATTTTAAATGGCAATTCAATTTACAGAATTAGTTTACAATGAGGGAAAAAAAAAAACTATGCATAAACTATATTAAAAGATTTAATGATGAAATTTCAGTTCAAAATATAGAAAATAAATAATAATAAGCCATATTAATATATAATAAGCTGTTTGGCACCTAATAATAAATACAATTTATTTTACCACTCATATTAATATTTAAATAACTTAAATCAAAATTCTGAACATTTTCTAAATTTTCATTGCATAACAGTTTTCCCTTAACATATATTCCAAGCAAAGTAATTTAAGTAAAAAAGAGTCACATTTCTGAAATCAGAAGACGGGAAATTGCTTCCTGCAGTCATCTTTTAACAGTAAAAGCTTAACTAACCCGCATACTCGGAAATTGCCGAATATTCCGGATAGTAACTGGAAAAAGAGGAGTGGGGGAGACTATGTCAAGATTAGCCGTTCTTTAGATTTCTCGGCTAAATGAATGATTTTGACATTTCGATATGTGCATCATATAAAAATAGACTAACGGAACTGACAAATGTTCTGCTTAGAAAGCACAGTAAAACTCTTTTAAGTGTTCATAAACAAATCTCAGACTAAGCATCAAAAATAATTATCTCTGCAAAATACCGCAAACGTTATTGCGCAATACGTGCAGCATAATTCTTCCATTACACAATCGAAATCAACAGCTGCTGGTATTCGGAGAATAAAGAACTAAATAAAGGAAAAGAAAGAGACTTACTAATCTGGGGTGTTTTTGATTCTAATTTTCAACAGACTGCGTTAAATTTCCGGAATAGAATCAAATTTCGCTTGGGTTGGGTTGATCGCAAAACTTTTAGTCCTATTTAATCCAAATTGGACAGCGACAAAAAAAAAAAAAAAAACCCACTGCTTCAATATTAGAGATTTTGCAGAGAAAGGGGAGAACCTCTCAGCCTCCGTACTGTATAATGTATTGGGGGAAAAAGAAAAAACCTATTCGATTACTTTTCTTTTATTTAAGCCATTCCGAATATTATTCCTTAGAAAGCTAATCTGTGTAAAAACACACCATTTTTGGAAGTTGATCTATACTTCAGAAGTTACTACAACTATATTATTATAAATATTCATACATATGCTCATAGTACAAGCATAACGATCATAATAAACACAAATATGAACTGAACACGCGGAACAAGAATGCAAATTATTAAAATCTTGATAGAAATTCAAACGTGTGTAGTATTTGGGCAGGAGGTAAAAGAATACCGAATGTACTGGAATTTTCTACCGTTTTCTCATTTCTTTGACCAATAGAACAACGTGCACCTGTCTGTACTCTCGCATGCACCATAGGTTACGTTAACGCAGAGAAAGGGGGGAAAGCAATTTCCGGGAGTATGATTCACCATCTGACGTTGCATTTATTATAAGGAAGAAAAGTTGTTTATTTAGTTTCAGCTTTGGTACGGGGAAAAATGTGCGTTCATTAAAAAAGCATTAAAAAAACACTAAAAGCAAGGACCGCTACGAACCTTGTCAATATCTACGAAATGCAGCATTTCTACATATCTATGCTACCAAAATTTCTACATCATTACATTTAAGGCTGCTTCATTACATGCACACATGCACAAACACACATACATACATTTAGAAAACATAATTTAGAAAAACATTTGATATCTAATAATTTTCAATCAAAATTTATAAAATATTCACATTAAATAGTAATAAAAATTCCCTTTCCAGCACCATTGGTTCTGTAATTTGGTAGTACAGTTACCAATGCATTGAACTTAAAGGTGGCAGCATATTGCAGGCAAGCAAAATATGGCCAGAATACCATTTTAAAATGGCTGCCCTACTTGTGACATGCAGTGTAGAACAATGTCCTGTCATATCTTTTCTGAGCAGTGATGGTATGAAACCTATTAAAATTCATCAGTGAATGAAAGTCCAGTATGATCAGACATGTTTATCACTGTACCAAGTGTACAAGGAGTAGGAAGTTCAAAAACTCTGCGACTTCCGTTGCATATGCTCCTCTTCAAGGTCAGGTTCACAACTCTGTGAGCCAGAGTTTATTGCAACAGGTGAAACCATCATAATAGACAATCGCTGCGTGACAGATGAAATAGCAGCAGTTCTGAACATTAGTCTTGGCTCAGCACATCACATTACTCATGATGTGCTCAAGTTTCGCAAAGTGTCTGCCATAGCATCTCACTTCAGAACTGAAAGAGTAATGCATAGATGTTTGAAATTTGAAGAATTTTTGTGGCACTTTGAAGCAGAAGGTGATGGCTTCCTTGTAAGAATCATTACAGGGGTCAAAAACTGTGTCCACTAACACCAACCCAAAACCAACAGAGTGAGGAAGGAATGGCGTCATTTCTCATCGCCTAAAACCAAGAAGTTCCGGGTGCAGAAGAAAGATTATGCTGATTCTCTTTTAGGATGAACGAGGCATTTTTTGGGAACACTACATGCCTAGGGAAAACACAATCACCAGTATGTCATATTTCAACAGTTGCAACCATCATTGAGCTTCACTTTGATACTCTTCCACCTCCACCATACTAATCAGACCTCAACCCAAGTGATTACAAATTATTTGGACCACTCAAAGAGGAAAGAAATTTTCTTCTGATGAAGAGGTTCACCATGGGATGAAAGAATGGCTGTGCACACAACCACACAAATTTTTTCCAGATGAATCCATGCACTTCTTGTGTGCCGGAGGAAGTGCTGAACATCAGGGAGGCTATGTCGAAGAATGATACATTTGTATTTTACTTTTGTTCAATAAACTACACTTTTTAGAATATTGATCTACAAGATATTAAGTACTTGATCTATGCCTCTATATTCAGCCAATGCAAACAAAGTCTATGAGTAATATATGACAACTAATTTCAAATATTTAATGTATATCAACAAAACAAAAGTAAAAATCAGATTCAGATTGGCATGTAATAAAAAAACCCCTCTTCAGATTATTTATTTACTTATATTATTATCCCCCCCCCCAAATTTTAACTATTTGCATAATTACTATATTTCAAATTTTTAAAGAAGAAACATATTTAGGGAATAGCTATTACAGAAGATTTTGTATTATAAACTTCTGAAATAGCAATTTAAAAAATATGAAACATGTTAAATAATTAATTTTGGTATCTTTGTCAAGAGCTTCCAGCACTATATAATTAACACATATTTTAAAAGTCAACCCATAAACATTTACCAAAGAACTTGTTTAATTCCCACTCAGTACTTAATGCACACATGCATTTCTCTGAATCAAACAAATTTTGCTACTGCAAAAAGCAATAACTTTTTATTATATAAAATAAAATTTGACAGAATGATTAAATTCAACAGATAACATACAATGAAAACTTACATCTATAGCAGGTTTTTTAAGTATATAGAATGGTTGGGCATCAACTGAAAAAAAGAAAGAAAATTTTTTTTAAAGTTTTCCTTACAGAAAACATTTAAAAATGTCAATATGAACATAGAGAAAGTGATCTTCTAAATGAGGAAGGATTAAAACAAGCACTGCATGGTTATATAATAACACAAAGAAAACTTATTTCAAAATAAATATTGAAACTAAATATATAGCATTAGTGTAATAAAATAATAAAATCTTGTTTAAAAATTATTTACAGAACTGCACCTTATCAATTATTAAGACTTTTGAAGTGTTTCTAAGTAGCAATGGTACTCATTAAAAGTCTTATTAAAGTGCCTAAAATACTTAATACATCAACTTTATACCATCTACTTTCTTGCTGAGATCATTAATTTCAATGTTAAAAACTCAATGAATAATCACTACTTGTAAATTCATTTAAGAAACAGTAATATCAGAATTATACAATTGACAAATCAAAATTCTTATTTACACAAATATATTATAATTTATTTAGAATGCAAATTAGAATATGTTGGCTTTGCTTTCAAAAACATTGAGCAAGTTTTCAATAAGGAATGCCATCATCTTGCTCAACATCTGATGAGTAAATGAAATCGTAACCAATATTCATACACATTGAGCACATGTTTAAATTCTAAGATTGCTTTTGAAACCATGCATTGCCACTTTGTTCTATAAGTGAATGGTACGAACAAAGGAAACCAAAACTTGTAAAGGAGCAACAAAAGGGAAACAAAGTTTCAATAAGAGGAGCATTTCCAGTGAAATACTGAAACACTTACGGCTTATGAACTGGACTAATTCTGTTAGGGATACAGTCAACTGTCTATTAACTGGGAGATAGGTTAATTAAATTTGTGACTAAGCAGGACATCTAAAAAAATTGGTTTATTTTAGAATGATAGAAAAATTATAACCATAAACTATCATCATAAAACAAAACTATCTATGGAAAATACAAAAAGGAAAAAAAATACTATGGGATAATAACACAGACAGTACATAATGCCATATCACTTGAATTCTTTCTATTCTCATTAGTATAATAATCTGGGATTTCTTTTTATTCACAATAGTATATGTGAACTATATGACATTTTTTTAGTTCTTTTTGTTACTATTCTTATCATTATTTTCAAGTTATTGTTATTATTCTCATCAACTTCATTCATTTCTAATGATGTTTTCTTACATTATTTACAGTATGTTTTTTGCTTTTAACAACATTGTTGTGTACAGACAATACGTTAATCGGAAGCAGGGGTCACGAAAAATTAGCAATGTTTTCGTGAGAATCGAACCGCAGACCTCTGAAACAAGCGTGCAAACAAGCACACCACGAAGGCATGTCAAGAAGGTGGGAGAAATACCTTATATACTCCCCCTCTTAAAGAGCGACTGGGGCTTCTAGGGAACCCAAGCACCAAATCCTGGGTGTGGAGAGTCATCATCCACCACCCTTTTAGTTCAGGAGCCACTGTAGAGACATTAGGTATTTTTGGAAGCAGAAAGATGAAAAATTAGCAACGCTCCCTGGGACTCGAACCGCGGACCTTTGGAATACGTGCTCAGCGTGCAGACCACCACACCACAAAGGCATGCGAAGAAGGTGAAAGAAATACCTTATACGACTGCGAAGACGAAGAGAATTCTCGCCACAAAAGGCAAAAAAGATGAAAGAATTTAGTTCTTCGAATTGCTTTGTTGTGACAGAAGTTCATAATTTAATGACGATATCCAGATTTCCTCTTAAAAACTAGTTCTCTAAAGAGAACACAGCAAAATCCCTGTATTAAAAAACAAAAACAGTAGTGCGGAGTCGTTCTTAGGTGGTTCACAGGTTCACATGTTGTGAACCTGCATTCTGCTGCTAGGCTTTAGTGGGATAAGATGAGAAATTTCTATCTCTCAACTGTTGTCGGATTAGGTTTAATATTCACTTTTTTTGTCTTAAATTTTCATGACCAATTTGAATTTGGCTTCACCTGTTTTGGCCATATCTGATAATACAAGGATTTTTTTATTATTATTATTAAAGAAAGGATATTTTTGAAGCAGGAGAGATGAAAAGTGAGCAGCAATGCCTTCGCCAGGAATCGAACCGCAGACCTCTGGAATACGTGCCCAGCGTGCAGACCACCACACCACAAAGGCATGGCAAGAAGATGAAAGAAATACCTTATTGTTGCTTATTTATAATTTTACAAGTTTAATTTTGATGACTAGTGTATAATAGCAATCTATTTCACTTCGAAATGATTAAAAAAAGCAAACATGAGATCAAAATTAAACATGACATTTTTTCAGTTTGTCCTCACTTCAGAAAGGGACAGCATAATGAAATCTCAATGTCCAAATTAATTGTTGGGTAGTTAATTATTAAAAAAGAAGTAGAGAGAAAGAATACAAAAGTTATTCGCATATAGTGAGATGCTTCTTTAACTTTTCAGGGAAAAGAGATTTATGCTGTGCTATTATACATAAACAATGTTTGGACACACACACACACACACACAAAATCCCTATACAGTCAATTTATTTTGTCACTGGGAACTGAATAGATAAAATTGTACTTTTAATATTTAGGCGCAAAAATAGGCATAGAATTCACACTAGTTTGCAGCCCATCCAAGAAATAAAAACTAAACTCAGTGACGCAATAGCTCTAGGGGGCCACGGTTTGCAGTGGCCTGAATTCTGCTTTCTTGACCTTGGGCCCCAGAGTGCGTCAGCATATGCCCTGGACATGTGGTCAGCTTATCTCAGGACCCCCAATGTTTAGTCCCCAAGTGAACTTGGTACTCATTTTTCTTTTGAGATCCTTTTATCTATGCAAAGATTAGTCCCCACCCCCACCCCCAATACCTCAAATAATGAAAATTAGTTGCAAAATTTCCATAATAAAAACCTGATCTCATATTTTATAACGTAGTAAGCTTTTAAATGTTTTTTTAATGAGTGGAATTTGTCATTCAACAAAGATTTCACTTAGAATCTTCAGGTGTCATTTTTTGTGAATGAATCATTTCAGGGGCACTAGTTTTCATATTAATACCTTTGGCCTTGACAGCCTTCTCTTAATATAGATATAAAAACTGCTTTCAGTTTTTACTTGCTTCATTTTCCACTTTCAAAGTTCCGCTTCATTTCAACTGATATAAATAAATGTATATATATAAAAAATCAGTGGAAATATTGGTTAACTGGAACATATGACATGCTTCAACCTTAAAAAGGAATTCCTGGTTAAGCTAAATATCTAGACTTATTACTGACTACATTTAATAAAAGTAGGTAGCATCATTTAACAGTTTTTGTGATATTAATTGTAACAAACTGTATTAAAAATGTATCTGTATCCAAGCAACTGTACTAATATTTTTTTCCCTTGAAGATTATATGCGTCATGACTTGCAATAAAACTGCGTAAGTAAATAAATATTGTTGTTTAGTGAAAAGGGTTAAGGAGAAAGAAGATTAGTCATCTATCCATTCTCAATAGTATTAACCCCTTAACTGCTGTGGAAAACGTACAAGTTTCATTTCCCAGTGCAACGGTTTTCACACAGGCACGCATAGTTTTGCGATGTATTAGGGGGAAAATAAGTGCACGTTTTACTTTGTAAAAACTGTTTACTTTCACAAAATAAAAAATAAAAGAAAAAAATGAATGCAGAAAATTAATTGCTTTGAGTAAAAGTATAATAAAAATGATGCTTTTATATAAAAATGATCCTAAAGGAGTTTAGATCAATTCATTTTAGACCAGTAAAGTGTATATCAGGTTTCCTTGTGAATCAGTCTGCCTAAAGAACATATATTCTCTGACTGGTGAATGCCATGATTTTTCTGTTTTTTTGCAGGTGTTGGTTCATAAGCGTTACAAAATGGTTAGTTTCATAACAATATGAGCACGAGAGTCTCAAAAATAAGTCAAAAAGATAAATGGTTTGAAACAAATTATATCTTCTTTATTCCTGAACTACAACAAAAAGTAAATGAAAGGAGGACACAGAAAAAAAAAAAAAAAAAATCGCAAAAACAAAAGAACAGCCAATACCGCACAGTGCAGTCATACTTTCTAGCTTTAGACATTACCTCTCTCCAATTTCTCCCCACACTTCTCTGAATAGTATCATCCTCACATACTCTGTCAAGGTCATTGTGGTGTTACATTCCAAAGCTTTGCGATTAATTTCACGGGTAGCAGTGCAAAGCAAATGATAGTAGTTTGGAAGGGCATATATATACGCCTGTGGAAGTTAACACATCGACTGAAGAAGGCGTATATATATATACGCCCGCGGCAGTTAAGGGGTTAAATAAAACACAATACTGTCAAAAGTCTTTAATCCGGACTCGTCGGGACTTTGGCGATTCGGGATTATAGATCATCAGTTTAAATCTGGTAAGATGGATGCAGAAATTATAAAAAAAATATGAAACCGTAATTTTATAAAATAATGAGCAATTATGATCTAAAGGGTATAAAATTTACAAAAAAAGAAGCTTAATATTTGTTACTTTATTAAACATTTCTTTCAACGCGCGCATGCGTAAAGCATACCTTACACATAGCCAAATTAGAAATTGCACCAGAACAATATTTGATTTATTCGTGATATTATAATGATAGGAATTTGATTAAATATCCAAAGAGGGGTACATCGAGAATTAAACATACTTTAGTAAGGAATATAAGCCGAATAAAATAAAATCATCTGCCCTGAATATAATGATAGTGCTGACAGATCAACTTCCAGTTCGTTGCGCGCCGCGATGACATTAACTGAAATAGATAATTAAATAATTTTAGCTTATACGATTCGTTATACATTAAACGCGCATGCGAAAACGTATTCTGCACTCATGCAGTAAATGTCTTGCGCACACGTGTAAAACGCATATGTGCATGCGTCAACGTGACGCATGTGCAGAAAGATTTTAGCTTTGAGGTCTGGATTATGGATCATTCCGGATTATGGGTGTCCAAATTAACGACTTTTGACTGTATCAGTTACCTTTTTTTTTTTTTTTTTTTTAATTCCTCTTATTTTTTCTTGCTTGGGGGGAGGGGGAAGTGTTCTAGCAAACATGATTAAAACACAAATTAAAATGAAAATCATATAAATTAAATCTATCTAATTTTTTTTTTTTTCTTTTCAGCCAGGGATTTTGCTAAAAGCCAAGGAAAATACAGTTATCTTGATTAGATTTGCACTCTACCATAAAAAATAACTACCAGAGAACTTCAAAACATTTAACTTACCTCACATTTCATATGCAAATATCTAGAAATATACAATACTGTCAGAAGTTTAAAAACAAAAAGAGGATTGATAGAAACATTTTAAATTTCACTGCTTTCATAACCCAAATACTATTAGTACATTGAAATGATCAGTATGTAATAGGCTAAGTAGCTAAAAATTTCCCATCTGCACATGCCTAATTTATTTTATGATCGGTTTACTGACCATGGAAAAGCATGCTAGGACTATCAAGACAACAGCAGGCAGGACTTCTGAAACTGGTTTATATTCATTCATATTACAAATGAAAAGAAAATTATTTTACAAAAAAATTTTTTTAAGGAGAACCTCCTTAAATAAACAAAAATATAGAAGACACCTGAATTTCTTATCTGGCTTCAACATTTTTTCTATTTGTCGTGAAACTGATAGGAAATAGAGATTGAGAGACAGGTGCTAGTAAAAGTATAGTAATTAGATGTTAATAAAGGATCCTTTTCACTTTTTGTGTCTGTTGCAGAGAAAAAGAGAGTATTTATCTTCCCTTAATGAGAAGTGAGCCAAGGGCAGCCCATAATGAATGTGAATTTTGAAAATGACTTGTTACACGTGAAATTGTTTAAAAACGTTTCATTGTAGGAACTAAACAGATGTGACAGCTTTGTAAAAAAAACTTGGCTTGGAGCATTTGCACCATTAATTGTTTACTTGCTCCCTGAACTATGATGCAAACAGAAGAGTAGACAAACAATGTTTTCGTAAGAGACGTTTTGTCAAGGCACGATGCTTCTCGGAGAATTTCTCATAGCAAATGAGAAGAGGAAAGTACCCTATTTATCTTTCTTGGGGCAATGTAGAAAATATATGCAGCACCTAATTTTAATAGCTATGCTTTTATAATTGTTTTGAAAAAGGTTGTAGTAGATAGGAATGGATTAATAATTAGGTCTGAAGCTGTATAGGAAAGTTAAGAGGCTTTTGTTCCATTTTGAGCTTGCTTTGAGTCTGAAAAGCTAAGAGAAAAAGAAGAAAATGAAGGGATAACTACAGACAGGTGGATTTTTTTTTTTTTTTGTTAATTTTTTTTTTGAGAAAGAACTAATTACTGATGATAACTAGCAGAAAGGTGCACAGGTTATTCCTGAGATGCAGACAGAACATTTTATACGTGATAACTAATAGAACAGTGTGACAATGGAGGAGAGAAAGCAGAGTAATATGAGTGTAACTCTTGCATATGTATGAGACAGAAGAAAACTTAAGAAACAAGTTTCAGTCCTGTAGAAGATGATCAGCTGTATTAAATGATTAAAAGATGTAGAAACTGAGAAGAAAATGCGATTAAAAGTATGAGGTTCTCGGCATGTGTTCCTGAACTACAAAAAGTTTGTTCAGAACTGATATTTAGCATAATGAAATAAACAGCTCCACTTTACAAATGATATCAAACTATGCCAAGTACTTAACCGACTAAGTTAAAGGAAAGTTTCATGAACTCACTTGCAGTCTGACTGCATAAGTTTTCTTTAAAGATTCCAGATTCCTGTAGCCTGCTCAATGTAAATACTCTTCACCTCCTCCTTGCATGCAGTATGATAATGTAAAACTAAGTGATATAAAAATTTTTTTTTGTGTGTGTGTGAATTTAATATATTAGGAAAAGATGTATGTTTATTTTGACCTTAATATACTATTGTAGTACTCAGGAAAATATATAAAAATATGAATAATAATGAGTTATTTATGTTTTCTGTTCGTTACAGTACAGTTAAAGAATTGTAAATGGAAATATATAAATCGAACACTGGGTAAATTACTTGCAAATGTATTTGTACGTAATTGTTAAAATATTCATAGGGAAAAAAGATTATATATTTATTAATTTTTAGTACTTCATTATTGTGCCTATATTCCCCTCTAAACAACAAATTAAATAAATTTTATTCTACACACCTTATCATGGAGAAACAGTGTAACAAAAAATAAATCAATGCAATCATTAAAATGTAAAAACTAAGTCTATAAATGAAAGATAATAAAACCTGAGAGTTTTGAAGTAGATGGAGTTTCAGCTTCTGAAAAGAGCTTAGGCTCGGGATTTGAAGCAACTGTAGTCTCATTCTGCTTGATTTCATTAGTACATTTACTTCCTTCTTTTTTCATTGGAGGTACAGGAGAGGCATTGTCACTAGCTACTTCACTTGTCACATCAGAAATAGAATCACACTTGCTATCTCGACGTTTTCGCTTTCGATTATCCCTCTCTTCCAATTTTCTCTCTAATCTGTCAACATAAATAACATACAGAAATTTTGTTTATGTAAGAAAGCACCTTAGACAAAATACTATAAAATTAAATTATCTTAAAATTTAGCTAAATAACTAATCCTCAAATTGCAGCTTGGCTCATAAGAGGCATGCTGTCACCATGGGATTATAAAATATTGTAAGTATTTGAATTCTCTTTTATAGTATTTTTTTTTTTTTTTTTTTGCATTATTCTAGTATTGTGTATCATTTTATTTATTCATTGTTTATAGTTTGATAATTTTGGGGTTTACTTTGTGTTCAATCTAATTTATGGCCACAACATCTTGTATTTAAACATTTGTTACACAAAATTACAGATTAGCATATAAACATGCATCTCACATGCTGATCATCCCACAGGGATAGTGTTTTTTGGCCAGCAATGCACCTTCTAGAACTGTTTGTTGGATACATTTATGTGAAAAAGTCACATGAAAGTGAAATGACTTCGGAAAAAAAAAATATAATTTAAAATACTGCAAAATGTCTTAGATGTTTTAGAGTAAACAATGAAATATATTCAATGAAAGAACTTCTACATATGGTTTTAGTTATAGTTATAGTAGTTTGCAGTAATTTTGTTGGAATGGACAATTTTGTCCAACAAATGGGCACTCTTGCAAAAGAAACTTACTCAATGCAGAATTTTCAGAGTAAAAGTTATTACCAAACTTGCAAAGAAACTCTAAAGAGGTAAGGAGGGAGAAATAAACTAATTGAATTAGTTTCTGAGACAGAAATTCAGAAAGTAAAAAGCATAAAAAATACTTGAAAACACCAATGCTGTATAGTACAGGTGTGTGTGTGGGGGGGAGAGGATGCATAAATGAAACATCAAACATATGTAGTTTGTGTGACAAACCCATATGTAGACTACCCATATGTAGAAAATAACTATGTCATGTTACTAGACACTGTAATAAAAAATACATAAGAAGATTAATAGCCTATTCCATATTAAAAAGTCCTTATTAGGTAATAACTATAATTTTTGTTTCAAATTTTGAAGTCTTTTATGATAAATTAAAATAATACCCTAAAATAAAAAAAGGTACTTTAATATTTTAAACTGACTTGACCTCATGCAACCATTTAATTAAAACATCATTTCGGAATTTTTAAAAACAGATATAAATTGAATTTGTGTTACTGCAAAGTAATTTACACCTTTGTCATTAAAAATACACTTCTGTAAGAGTCATCTGTTAATCATAGTAACTCCTCTTAGTCTTTCTTTCATACTCACCTCTTTTCGATACAATTTGCATGTTTTCCTTGTACTTTAATGCTTAATCATAGCAGCTCTTCCCCCTCTTTTATATATAATATTGCATGTTTTCCTTGTACATTATTACTTAATCATAGCAACTAACTCTCCTTCTTTCATTCAAAAGAAGCTCACCTCTTTTCGATATAATATCGCATGTTTTCCTAGTACTTTTATATCAAGATTTAAGAAAGTTTAACGAAACATTTTAAAACAATTAAATTCTGAAATATTTATTATTGCTCAATTTAGCTTCCTTCTTTACGTTTTAATTTAAACATACTTATGCATCTAGATACCAATAAATTTTTAGCTACTATAAAACTGTGAAAATAATTTCAGTGATTTCATCGCTGTCTACTTCTTTTCTTCTGCTGCCTTATAGGTTATTTAAGAATCATTAAAGAATTTTCACATTTTTAAACAATCTAGTGTTTTATATGGTGATTCAAAATGATCATTGTCACACTTCAAGATACAAATTTTTGTGCTTCTATAGTTGAAAAGCAGATAAAATAGATGTTAATATTACTGTTATTCCACATTTCAAAGAAATCATTCAGAGTTATTGCTTTCAATACTATTATTTTTACTTATACAGTCAAAAGTCTTTAATCTGGACGTCCATAATCCGGACCTCAAAGCTACAAACTTTCTGCGCATGCGTAAACGCATAATGCCTTTACACATGCGCATAATACATTTATGCATGCACGTTTAATGTATAACGGACGGTATAAGCTAAGCTAAAATTATCTAATTCAGTTAATGTTGCAGATTGCGTAGTTCCTTAATCTTCGAATTGGATCCGGCTTATTATTTTTTGCAGACTGTTACAGCAATTTTATAAAAGTAAGCTTGAACTTTTGATTACGTTAAAAAGAATTTCCGATTCTGGAGTTGCCAAAGGATCTACAAAGCGAAAGCATGTTTCGATGTCCATCAAACAAAAAGTGGAATTGATGCAAAAAGTGGATAAAGGCATATCATTTGTTTCTCTAACTATTCCGAAATCTGTTTATCAATTTCATGCTGCTCTGCGGGGGAGGGGAACGTCGCGATGCACAATGAACTGGAAGTTGATCTGTCAGCACTATCCTCATGGCAGATGTTTTTATTTTATTCGGCTTATAATTCCTTACTAAATGTAGTATTTCATCTCGATGTACTCTGATATGATTTAAATCAAATTCCTCGTCATTATAAATATCACGAATACACATCAAACAGTTTTCTGGATACAATTTTCTAATTTCGACTATGGGTAATGTATGCTTTACGCATGCGCACGTTGAAAGAAATGTTTAATAAAGTAAACAAATAAATATTAAGCTCTTTTTTTTGTTACTTTTTAATACCCTTTAGATCATAATTGCTTTTTATTTCATAAATTACGGTTTCATACTTTTAATTTTATAATTTCTGACCAAATTTTAAATTTCTTACCAAATTTAAATTGATGATCTATAATCCGGAATCGCCGAAGTCTCGACGAATTAAAGACTTTTGACTGTACAATGTATTTTGCTACTTGTACACACTATTCACATTGCTATTAATATGCTGAAAAAGCTAAGCAGGATAACATGAAAGGAAGTAATATGTGACAAAAGACATTATTCTTAATAATTTAATACTGCTTTATTTTGTGTCATTCAATTATAAAATTATTCAAAGTACTCTTTACTATATAACCTGAATTTGTCCCGAATGTTCATCAACAACAAAAAATTAGCATCCTTCTTCATACCTTTAACTCACCAGTTTTACATAAATCAAGGTGTAGGCATTCAGATTTCAGTTTAAAACCTGACTATTATTTAAACTAAGCAGTTACAAATTTAATAATTTACCTTCAAAAATTCAAAATACAAATCATTAAATAATATACTAATACTTAAAACAAGCCATTCAATTTAACAATGTATAAAAATATGGGGGGATAAAATATTATTCCACCATAAATTTATACCAAATAGGAACTTTGGACTTCATAAAGAAAAAAATATTCATGACATACCTGTGCAATTTTTCATTCAATCACTTCAATAAATACAATGTAACTGAAGTCCACAAACTCTCATTATTAGTTATTCGAATAATGGATAACATTCAGGAGTGCCGTTTGGGATTACACGGGTTTCCCTTTTGTAAACTGCTCATGAATATTACCAGGTTCATCATACCAAATGGTGAGTGAAAAATGGTAAGAAAGGACAATTAGTGTACCACAAGTCTCATGCAAAAACAGATGTTTACTATTTTATATTACAAGCTGAAAGATTTATAGAACAATATCACAAACCGCCATCTATGATATTTCAATCAAAATAGGAAAATATGACATTCGTTTTCTTGAAGATTTGTGTACTGAAGGACAAGGTACCTTTTGTTCACTAGTGTTGCAACCTAATAATCATAAAGGTTAATATTCCAGATCTATAATAATGTAAGTTTGTTTGGCTTGGTTTATTTGATTATGGCAAAACACTTGAGGGCTATCTGCTAAGGCAAAGGACACTTTTGAAAGGAACTGGCTCATATATACATTACACATAGCAAAAACCAAGAAAATGCCCATACAGCCAACCTGTTTGCTGGAATTCAAATTATGGACCAAACTACCAATGTTCAGCGACTTAACTGCTCGGCCTATAACATTAAAGTCAGCAACAGAATAAAGTTGTAGCCATTCTAGATTAAAGTTTGGAGCCTTTTTATCACATTATTTCCAGCAAGAAAACATAAATTTCTGTTTTCTCAGTACCTAATTTCAGATATAAAAATATGATTTATTAAAATCTTTTTTCCCGGAGGGAGGGGGTGATGGAAAGTGCTTTAAATTTAAGATTAATAAACAAAAAATTGAACCCCAACATAATACTAGAAAAGCAGCATCAAAATAAACTTACTTAGACTTTTTTTGTTTTGTTTCTTTCTTTGACTCTGGCAACTGAAACTTAAAAAAAAAAAAAAAAAAATATTATTAAAAAAAAAAAAAAAAAAAAAAAAAAAAAAAAAAGAAAAAGAAAAAGAAAAGAAAAGAAAACTCTCTAATTGCAAAATTTAAGTATAAAACATCATTTACTAATTCTGACACTGTTCAACCACTAATGGAGGTAAATTTAAAGCAAACTGGCATATCTTACATCACAAATAAAAAATAATTAAATCTATTTTGTTGAGATCTTAATCTACAATGAAACTGTCAGCAATCAGTATTTTTGATCATTTTACCTCAAAAGAATAATAGAAATAATATTCCTTACAAAATAAATCTGAAATGTAACTGTAATTCATACTTCAGATCTCTATTTAAAATAACAATAAAAGGGGGGAGGTATTCAGATTTTAACATTGTACCACAGGACTTGTTAAGGTTTTTCATACACTCACTGAGCATCGCAACTCACCAATCTGCTCCTGGATTCACTCCCACTAACTTGTAACAAAAATCACATCTTTAGAAATTAAATTTATGGTTTCACAAATATAACAAACAAATTCATTCTCAATCTATGTACTTAAGGATCGTATTGTTGCAAATTAATGTTTACTAATATAAGCAAAGGCAAATATTTCTTTAAAATAACAAGCACAATTTGCTGGTACGAGATTGAAACTTTTTAAATATTTTGAAATCTTTCCCTTTCATTCTCCTTCTATTTGACTGAGTAACCACACCCCCTTGTTTCAAAATTCTGGTTATAGACTCTAAAAGAAAAAGCCATGTTATGTTGCATTGGAATATTTCAGAATTTTTTGATACACTGCATTCAGTTCCAAAATTTTTTTAAGCTTCCTCAACAAATATCTTCCTTTTGCTTCCTGTTTGAACTTTTCTCTCTGTAAAATGTGTGCATATATATGTTGGTAGACACATTTTAATAAATGCTGCTACAAATTTCCCAAAAAATTACTAACACTTTGTTAAGAAAATGGCCTGCAATTTTTCCATTCTAAGACTTTACTTAAAATTTATTTGCACAATTACAAATAGCTTCTCTGATATTATTCACACACTCTAAAATAGAAATCAGCGAAGTAATTATTACACCTTTTTCTTTGCTGTACAAACAAAAGGTACAGCTTGTTTTCATTGTTACCATTATCTTCATTAGTACTACTGGCAAATATTTTCAAAGCTTCTTTCATTACGACAAGTAAATTTTTTTTGCTATGGTAAAGTCAAGAAACATTACTTAAAAAGCTGTTCTGAATAGCATGAAATTGAAATTAGAAGGCTGCATTTAATTAAAAACTAACAAAACAGCATTGGCTTTTATAGTATTCATGCCACAGTCTTTTATGAAGAAATTCAATAGTTTAAAAACTTTACTGTACTAATTTCTTCACCTTTGAGAAAATACATGCTGCTTATAGCCACCTTTTCTACCATGTGGAAAACTGAAAAGTCTTTTCCATTGTGCATTATTTATAGAAATTTTGGATACTTTAATGCAATGGAAATTTTAGCCTCTATTCTAAAAATTCACAAACCTAAAAAAACTTCCAATTCAATTACAACTGAAAAGAAGCATGTCCTCCATTTTCTTTGCACAATCCAAACTAATGGAACTGAATAACCTGCAGGTGGAAAGTTTAACAGCCAGAATTTACAGATTTGTGATATCTACTGATAAAAGCCAGCAAAATAATACACTTACCGCATGAAAATTATGTTGCAATTATTTTGCCAATTATCGTATGAATCAGGTAGTTTCATTTTGCATACCATTTCCCTTGTCCCCAGGCCCCATTTAAAAAAAAAAAAAAAATATTTTACTTTGCTTATTGTTTTCAAGGAATTTCTGTAGAAACTATGCAGAATTGATTGCAGCTAGAATATTCCAGACACTCAAGTTGAATGATATATAGGTACCCACCATGAATGCTGCAAAAAATAGACCAATCCAAATGGGTTTACTCCCTCATTTTAAATATAATAAAGGTGAGCAAATGATCACAGCTGGAGAAGTTGGGATGATTCCTAGAATTTTCATATAGTCTGCTATTGCTGCACTTACTAATTTGTTTTCATGTAGCTGATTTCATTGCTGCAATCATCTCAACCAATTAAGTGAAATTCTACATTTGTTTCACAGCTTTGATGTCAGCAGAACCATAAGATTTTCAAAGTTAGTATATGTTTTACTTACATTTTTAAAGCTGTAAATTTAACTTTTATTCTCAAGAACGTGAAAAATTATTATTTGTTCAAGAAAGGTGCATTTTTTTTAACAATGCAGATTTAAAGGTGAGTTTATTAAAGAGTTTTAAGTCCACTTCTGCAACTAGTGAACAACATGTAACAGGATTTTTCTCACTTTTTATCCGAGTTTTGATTAACCAAGGTTTTGTATTATCTGAGGCCAAAGCATTAAATAAGCAAAGTCACTAAAAGATTCATGCTCAAAAAGTAAACAGTCTGTAAACTTAAGTTTTAACAATAATTTAAGTATTAAGATAAGAATTCCATCATTATCACATTACAGATTAGATAACATCATTCAGGGAAAAAACTCTCCCCACAGCAAATTTACAGCTCTAACGAAACAGGTCTGAATTTTAAAATATTGCTGAGAAAGATACCAGCATCAAAAAAAGAACAATCAACTCCTGGCTACAAATGAAGTAATGGAAAGATGGTTTTTTTGGCATGTGCAAACAAATTTTGGGATAACAAGCTTAAGCTTTTACTGATAGGGGAGGCAAAAAATCCAAGGACATTTAAAAATGTGAACGTTGAAAATCTAAGAACAAAAAAAGCATTTGGGTGAATTCAAGAAGTCATGGTTCCAAGAGTAGTTTCTGCCAACTGTTAAGTGATGAAAATAATTTGTTCCATATTGCAGTCATAAGTAATTTAGGACAATGCTTCCAGCCATCCTGATGAGCATCAGCCAGTAGTAGAGAGATCTCAGCATTTTTTTTTTTTTTTTTTACTTTCTAAAGTCACCCCCTATTTAGCCTTTGGGCCAAGGCATTTTAGAAAACCTAAAATGAAACTATCGACACAGGCTCATTAAACATTTATTAGAAGATCTAGGAAAAAAAAAAAAAAACAGTTATTGAAAGATATCAGTTATTGGTGGGAGAAGGATAGAGCAACATGAAATAGTCCAAAAGCTGGAAAACTATTTTGCCAAATGAAAACGACAAGAAGCCAAGAAACAGATGGTGAAGAATTAGTAGCTATTTTAAATCAACTACAAGCTACCGAGGCAGTAGCAAATGAAGATGTGAATGACAGGATGAACTGTCTGATGAGGCCATTATAAATTGAGTCATGCACAATAAAAACTGAACAATAGTTCTGATGACAATAATACTGGAACTGTTCAAGTCAGTCACTGATCAGTCACACGGATGGTTTGAATGCAATCAAAAAGGCATTGCTTTGCTGTGATGAACACAGAAGAGCAGTAACACGACACACAACTGAACAATATTACCATGCTGCACTGTCTAAGCATTATGGCGGCACAAACACGAGACAGTGAAATGAAACAGGAGGCCGTTACTAATTTTTTTAAAAAAATGTGTGATACATTATGTAAACTGTACAGCACCTCATCTATATTACAAGTACAAGTTTTCAAGTTACAAAACATGCCTAGTCATTTTTGTACATTAAGCTGCAGAAAAATTATCATTAAAGACATAAAGTAAGAAATTTAGAACTAAAATTTCACAAAGGCTAGAAAATGAAATTCATAATTAATAAATTTCAAATAAACATATACATGGTCTTTGTGAAATTTCAGTTCTAAATTTCTTACTTTATATCTTTAATGATAATTACATATACATATATTTCATATCACTATGTATCTGCACGGATCTTGTATATTACTAAATACTCTACAGTTCGTACAATAAGACTATAGTATTCAAATTTTCTTAATATGAATCTCTGTTATCTGCATTAGCCCAGTGCACATTCTTTCGGATAAAATCAGGTTTCTACTTTGTATTAAATTCAATGAAGAGTATGGAAACACATATCATTCATTATAGATAAAATGCTTAATGCTGTTAGAATAAAAAATAAAGAAAGAAGTAAAAACTAAGGAATCTTTTTCACTTACTGTTTTGCCAATAATGCCCTCCTTCGTAGTACTTGTAACTTTAAATATTACCCCTTCACAATCAGGAGTAAAACATGGCTGTGCCAAGAACTCCTATAGAAGCAAGTTTAGAATAAAATTTCCTTAATTAACAATTACTATTAGAACAAAACAGAATGTTTTCACATTCTGCAGAAAAAGAGGAAATTACTGATACTTAAATGCATCATTGGTAGGGACAAGAAAACAAGTAAAAACGTTTGCACGTTATAATATTGCACAAGTCTACTTCAGTCAGCAGGATTTCATATATAAATAAATTTTTTAATGGTTTAAGAACAAATATACAATAAACAAAATGTAGATGACTTTCTCTGAAGCACAAATATATTACGGAATGCTATTTACAATTCCAAACATAATCACTCCCACAGAATTTGTACACATTTCTTTATTTGGATATCATCAACCAAAAATAAATAAATAAATGAAAATAAGTTGAGTAAACAGGACTGAATATGTTAAAGCCAATATATATGCCCTCATGCTTGCAAAACTATTCTATGAACAATTAAAAGTATGTAGTATGCATTATTCATTATTATTAAACAATCTAATTTTTAACACAAAACAAGTTTAATAAAATAACTATTAAAAAGTGTCTTGTAATTAACAAAGTACAAACAAAATTTTTTGAAACACATTTAAAATTTATAATAATCACACTTACCTTAAAGAAAATTTATATGGTCATTATAAAAAGCTCCTTTATTCTAAAAATTATTCACTGAAAAGCAACACGATTAAAATCACAATATAAAGAGATTTTATAGTTTAAAGTAACAGGTAATTATAATTTATTATGCTGATTTTAGAAAGTTATTAGAAATAAATATTTTTGTCTTTTTAAACTGAAAGTTTTCAGATATTTTAGCTTATTTATATTTCTTTTCTTCTCTTTAACTACTTTTCTACGTTGATTTTATTTTTGCCTTTTTAATCTAAAAATTTTTGATATATTTTAGCTTATTTATATTTCTTCCCTTTTCTTTAGCTTTTCTATTTTGATTTTCTTAATTAACAAATCAATATTCCTCCTGATAACTGTAGCATCCTCTAAGTACCTGCTAATTTGTTAACATTTCTGAAAAGAAAAAATTTCACTTATTCCAAAATTATAATTTAATATTGGATCATCCCACAAATTCATCAAATTTTTTATGATAAACACAAATAAGGCTGCACAGAAACACACAAAAATCGCATAAGCACCCTTTTGATCTGACATTTAAGAAGTGAACTTCTGTTTGTTGAGAGAACTACTGTCTGTTTCAGAGAATTTTGAAGAAATGAAAGTTACCTGAAGAGAGAAAAATTCAAGGAGTAAGGCGTGCTGAATTGGGTGAGGATGAAACAAATCCCAAACATATTTAATTAATGTTTGCCTGACACTCGACACTGAGCATTGTCAAAATGGAAGAAAACACTTCAATCATGTGTGTTGAACGCTGTTGAGATGTTGTGCATTGTCGTTGTTTGAAATGTGACGTTGAGCATTGTTGTGACATTGAGCAAAAAAATGTTGAAAATGTGATGTTGAGCATTGTCAAAATGGAAGAAAACACTTCAATCAGGGGTGCTTTGCATTGATTTCTGCTTTTAAAACAGACATTTAAGAATAGTATTTTCTGAATTTATTGTCTGATTTGACATTGAGAATTCATTATATTCAAATCTTTTGCAGTCTTACCATACACAAACACAAAGGATATATATTTCTGAGATGTTGATGCCACTTGATGTTACTAAAGGAAGTTTATTCAGCTTGTCTAACAATCTTTTTCTTATAACATCATACAGTTGCCACTTCTCGTCTTGTGTAATGAGCCAGCTCAAAAAAGAAGCTTTATTTCGTTTCAGCAACAAATTAAATGCCGAAATTCGAGAAAACATATTCTGCTCTGCTAAATTATGGGACATACATTGGCTTACATATCCAATTTTCTTCAAATAATCATATATTGCACTGTCTGGAATATCTAACCCCGCTGATAGTTTCTGACCTACATAACATGGCTTTTCAGAAGTAGCTTCTTTTAATACTCCCTTATTTACAAACAATAGATATTCAGACAGGACAATATCATCGAGGCTGAAATTTCCATGCTTAAAGTTCTCAAACTGCATCATTAGAAACAGCACTTCATCCATATACAGCACGAATTTTACAAGCAGTCTGACTGGCATTTTTTCCCTTTTTAAAAAAATAAAAGAGCATAATCAGAAAAAACCCTATTTACCCATCTACTCCAATCAAGGTCACTCTCCTCATCAACAGTAAAAAATAATTAGGAAAATAAAATGCTATGATTTGGAAAAGTGTAGAGCTTTCTGGATGATCCAATATATACAAAGTAACAAAAAATCTTTCGACTGGATATAGTCATGCCACCCAGGTTAAATGACCCTACAGCCCTTTTGTTAATGATTTGCAGCAAAGCAACAATCCTACGAGCTGTCCACAAACCATTGACAGTCGACACTCACTTATGTTTATGTCACTTTTAATCTGCCTGACAAGAGAATAGCTCTGAGTAAAACTGCCACTTTGGCATAATCCATTAACAAGAGGGCTCTTGGCTCCAATAATAAATTCTCTACAAAATTCAGATACTTTTCATCTCGTTGCTTTTCCCGAAAATTCTCCAAACAACACGAGAAACTCATCATGCCATGCAGAAATTAATATTTACTTTAAATTTTTGTTGTGTTTAATTAATTTAGATCCATATTGCTCAGGTAATTAATTAGCAGAATTCAAGTTTTAAACTTGGTCATTTAACTTATTTCTTTAAAATTAAGGAAAATATTTTCATTAGTCTTAAAGAATAATAAGCAGCTATTACAAGCTGTTCACAACATGGATTTTCTAGGAAAGGGAATGTGTTTCAAGTAATGTTTGAGTATTATCAACACTTAAAAGTAAGAAATTTTATCAAGTTGAAACTTATATACAGTTTGTATTAAAATGTTAAATCTCTTGGTGAACTAGAAATTTTAAGTCTAGCTCAGTTAATACAGGAATTACTTAATTTAAGTATGTTTTTATTTGATTAGCAAGTTCAAGAGTCTTCCATACCCTACTCTCAAAAATACTTTCGGCTTGTCTTATATTTTGAGTGCCCCCTGATGTAGAGACACTATATGTTTAACAAACACCCAAGTCTTCTCTAGGATTCAAACCAAAGCTTTTTGGTATGTTAGTCAAGAGTCACTAACCACTACCTTAATTGGGCAGTGAGGTTGTGGTGGAAATCAAAAAAGAATCATCAGAAAATGTCAGGTGGTTATATTTTTTAGGAGGATATGATTTTGTTCTTTTGCATAAGGGTAGGGAAATCTCATTCTTTTTGGCCTGAAGGGATGTTGTTACCTTAAAAAACAGGATGTATGCTAGAGAAATCATTGCCCTTCCAAAGCATGCCTCTTGTGACAAGTGGGGGCATAGTAACTTTAGCAGTGCATCTCTGATTTTATATATGAGGATTGTTGAAGCTGTTACTTGGGTGGCACAGTTCTTTATACTCAGCTGATTGACTCCAAGATTACCTTCCTTGCTGTCTTACTATCATCGTGATTTCAATACCAACCAAAATTTGAATAACACTGAGTAAAAAACAGATGCATATTTTCCTTCCCTCTAAATTCACACAGATCCTTCTACTTTTAGAGACTTTTAGACTTTTTAGAGAAAACTAACAAATAGCTTAATATTTTGAAATTAGATATTATATACGAAATTATATACAAAATATATACGAAATTAGATAAAATAAAATTAATTTTAACGTAATTACAGTAACTTTTGTTTTGTTTTGCTACAACATGATTAAAAAAAATCTGCTTTATAACATTTATTACATTGTCTAAATTTCAGAATCACAGTATTCAAGGTAGACACTTTTAAAACATGACAGATGAAAATAAAAACATTTTAATATTTTTCTTAAAAATACAATTACATATATTAATTTTATATTAATGAAACTGTATAAAGTTATTACAATTATTAAGAAAACTTGTAAATGATTACTTGTAAATTATGAAATTCAATTTCTAAATCAAAATTTTTGAAGATAAAATGATTTTGAAATTGCTAGAAAATGATAAGTTGTTAAACCTGGCTACACACAACAAAACAATTCATACTGCAAAAGGGAAAAAGGTTGTTCTGGGTGCAATAAAGAGAAAAAATTTAAACAGTAACCTCATTATCTGTCAACAGATGCCAAGAACATCTGCACTACAAATATGATGACCAATCGCCATAAATTTTAGCACTTTTGGCAAAAAGCTGCAAAATTCACACAAGATTTCAAACTGAATGAATTTTTTCCATTACAACTGAAAAATTCACAAATGATAGCAGATTTTTTTTTTTTTTTTTTTTTTTTTAATTTGACTATTCATTTCTTCTCCAAAGGAATGTTTTAGATGGTCACCACTGTTTCTTGTGGTGCTACAGCAGAGAAAGAGATGAACTCTCTGCAGAAATTTATGGCTCTCCTCAGATTTAGATTGCTTCAATACCGGTAGATTTTTTTTGGAACTCTCTTCCTCTTTTAGGGTGTGATATTCATGTCTTTTGTCCCTATCCTTGAAGAATTTTTAGATTCACTGATAACAATGGATGGAAGTGCAAACTTCATGAAATTCAACATTCTTGAATGTCAAGTTTTTATCACAAATGTTCACTCGTAAGGTCAAGTTCAGTGTCTAAGAAAATATTTATCAACACAGATAGACAATATTCTTGTTGATTATATCTGTTTTGAAATTTGGGTGAACAAATCATGCATCTCAAAACTTTAGTTCTGAGACAGCTCATTGCTAGTTTTCAAAATACGCCTATCTGCAATTCAAAATACGCCTATCTGTGACGAGCTGCAGAGTTGAATTCTACATTTAATAAAAATGTCAATTCACCCTCAGAACGGCAGTCACAGGAAAGAGATGGAAATGTTAGATGAGCAAAATATTGTCCATTTGCAAATTCTGGTTGACATTCAACTACAAAAATTGCTTACAACAAACCTCAGGACTTTTAAGGATTGCACAAACTCTCTCCCACGCAGAATACATTTTCATAACACATAATTTATAATGCAAAGTAAAGGTAAGAGTTAATTCCATTAATAGATTCTAATGAAATATCTTTAAATGTATAACTAATTTATTTACTTCATATGATGGCAAATAGGTTCTACTTTACACCCTTAGGCTCAACTGCATTTTTTTACATGGATTTATAAATTTTTTATCTAAACTACCAATAAAATGCTTAGAAATGTATTAATGTAACCTTTTCAGACAGTCCTTTGGAATTTTTCAGTTCTTTCCAACACTGTGGATGATAATGAAGAGAACAGTGTTCAGAGCAAAACACAGAAAAAAATCCTTTGAAGCCAGGATCTGAATAATAGATAGGTTGATTGAACTGACATGCATCATAAAGACATACTGCAACAGGAGGAGGTGGATTTTCACATTCTTCTATCAAGGCACCAACTACAACCTAAATAAAATTGCTTGTTATAGATATGTTTACCGGATACACAGGATAATGTATTAAAATTAATTTAAAAAAATAAAAATGCTAAAAAATTACCTTTAAATGTTCAGATTTTGTATCATCCATTAGAATGTCTAATTCAGGCCATACATATTCTTTGAAACGAATACCTTTCTCTAAGATATCATGAACTATTTTCAAATAACTCAAACTGTCCTTAAACCTAAAAAAGGGTAAAAATTTAAATAGCTATAACATTTAATTTAAAAACAATATTCTTTACCAGCTTCAAATACTTCCCACATTAATCCTATAACTGATAAGGGACAAATAAATAAAAGGTAAATTTGGCAAAATGCTTGATAGCTCGGACTTGAAAAGAGTGCATTCATACAGTATCGTTTCAGGAAATTATCTCATAATACACTGAAGATGGAGAAGAGAAACAGCTAGAGATAGGCCAGCTCTTTAAAGGCATCACATTGGAACCATTCGCTCACTGAAGTGAATCTGTTCTTTTTAACGATTCACTGCTCACTAACAATGACCTTCATGAATACGTTCGGAACAGGCATTGATCAAGAGTGGTATGCAAAGATGGAGGGGGGAGCAGAAAGTATTGAACAAGCAGTGGGATCACTGGAATCAACCAAATCGCTCACTCAACTGTACTTTCAAGATTTCTTAAAAAAAAAAAAAAAAAAAAAAAAACTTCCACACAGAACAAGAATTAATAATTAAATTAAAAAATCCTAAGTTAAAAAACAATGAAAACTAAACTCCCTTGTTAAAGATATTACATTATTTTATTACTATACTTGATATTTTACTGCTACTACAAAGAACAGCGTAAAATTAAATTTTTAGATTGGAGGCAGATCTCAAAGAACAGGAAATTGTCTGCTGACAATACTGCCTTTTTTTTTTTTTTTTTTTTTTTTTTTTTTATATCTAATTTGACCAAATATTGCTCAAGGTTTTTTTTATTCGGTATGGTACATATTTTGTTCTGCAACCTTAAAAAAATACATTGGCTGGAAAAATTTATGTTTATAAGTTTTTTATAAGTTTATATGTTTATAAGTTTATAAGAAGATTTAAAGAGAAATTCACAGCTCTTGATTACAAGGCTTCCATTAGTAAAATAAGTAAAGAAATAAAAATATAATTTATTATTTTACATGAATATTACAATATTGTATAAAAAGGGCAATACCTAAAATACATAGCTAGACTATGGCACAGTATTAAAAGAATCAAAATGAAACTCAAAGGAACAGCTCTGAGGAAACGAAAAGAGCAAATAATCAAGACACTGTAGGAGCCAGATTTCTGACTAGAGCAGGAGTGATCAAAAGAGCGAATAATGAAGACTCTGAATGGATCAGATCTGTGGCTAGAGCAGGAGTGATTAAAAGAGCTAATAAGCATTATTCCGAAGGACTCAGATCTGAGACTAGTGCCAGTGTGCTGACAACTGGAAATCCGAGGAACTTGTTTCTACAGTCTACATACTTGAAAAAGATCCTCGCACTGCCAGATGGGGGGAGAGATATGTTGTTTTACTTATGTTTTGTTTTTTAAATACTAGATGGAACACAAGCAAACAAAAAGAACATGCATAAACACTCGGCCAGAGATGTTTCTGGTAAATAATAAACCAAAGAATGCTAGTGTTTACATTAAAAGGAATGAAATTTTTGGCGCCTTCCCATCAACAGCTTTCCGCTAACTGTTAAAGCACTGCTGTTCCGTTTTTGCCTGATCATTCGTTCAGTAAAGTGAATCAGTTCTTTGAATCAGTTCCTGAGCGGATCATACATCGCTAGAAACAGCCATGGAGCCAGCTGGAAATTAGAACACTGGCACAATTTATCAGTGCTTTGTGGCTCTAGGCCAATTTTTTTTTTAATTTATGAGTAACTGATGCATTAACAGTGAAACTTCGGTTTAATTTGCTTTATGGTATATGTGGAAAATATTAATGCTTCTGTCTAAGGAAAGTGCTGCCTTCATAGAGACTTTGGTTCTAATTTACATCATACATGGAGAAAACCGCAACATCCACGCAGCTAATTCATTCACAAGGATTTGAATTTATATTAAACAACAAGTGTTCAGTAGAATTAGCCACTAAGCTATCACACTGTGATATGAAAGAACTTCAAAAATAAAACAACTAATATATTATCTCACTTACACAAGAATTTGCTTCTAACCTGGCCACACCCAAGGCCCAATTTTTTTTTAAATCCTCTAATACATTTTCTTGATAATTCCCAAATGCCCATCACTTTCCTCACAATATGCTGCCATAAATGCTTCATGTACATTTCAGAAATCCTACATATGCATTTGTTACAAATTTGAAGTTTTTTTCTTGCCACTAGGACTGCAGCAGATATTTCTTGGAACTTTTATGGCAACACTGCTCTTGCAGGGGAGTATGCATCATCTGGGCAGCTATGAAGGAAGCATGTCTCTTTAGTTCTTGATATGGAACTATGCAACAGTAATTATAAATATTTTTGCATATTAAAGTTTGTGTTGTGGAAACTACAGTAGTCTATTAATTTGACAGATATCATGAAACGTTATTCATTTACAAGTACTGGAAAAATACTGATATACAGGTAATATCCAAGTTATAATAATACTTTCCTAGATGGTGATGTAGATGTTATATGAAAAGTAAATGCTCCATTTCTTCAATAACAGGCAGCTTTTAGACTTTTATTTAGACAGGTAACTTTTACTAAAATATGTAAAGAGGTTATCACACATGGCTACAGTCCCTGCTAGATGGGACTTTTCTGAGAAACAAGATTCTGGTAGAATTAGTTTAAAGGGAGGATTCCTAGAAAAAAAAGAGCCCTGCCTGAAGCGAAGTCCCACCCAGCTACGGAAGCAATGATGTCGCTACGCGGGATTTTTTCAAACCTCACCGAAAATGTCTCGGGTCCCAGGTAGAGATAACCAATCAGACGAAAGTTCTGCTTCTAAAGGATCATGTAATAATAGATTACTGTTTGGCGTCCAAGTCTTTGTAGTAAGTGAGAAAGAGGAATGTGTGTTTCCTGGAATTGTGCAGGTTCTGAGAATTGTCCCTTTCGACGTCAAGTCCAGCGTAGCTGAAACATAATGTGATTGGGGGCCTAAGATAAATAACATGGCTCTCCAAAAAAAAAAATCTAATTTTAATTAGTTACAGTTCCTTCCATAATTTTTAATTTGGTTATTTTCCCCTTTCTAACCTAAAAGAAGGGTCCCTTTCTACCCTACATGCTTACAAGAAATCTTTCAGAACTGAGTCACCTCAAAATCTGCCACATGCTTCTTGATACTTTTCTGTTTAAAACAGCAGTCATCAATCATTAGAACTTCACAGACCACTACATACATAATTTTATATTTGGTGGACTACTAATATGTATTAAAAAAAAGGTAAATACATTTATACAATAATAATCAGCAAACTACACATATTGCGTTCCCATTGAAAAATCACATGAAAAGTACACAAATCTTACCTTCTTGT